TTTTTCCAGAGGAACTGAAAACCTCGAGTTTTTATGTCTCTGCCAAATCCTTAATTTGTTGATTTATTGTCTAACCAATCCCCAAACCACACTTGTGTACGCATAAACTAAAGTCTCTTCATTACCCAGAAACACAATTGCTCGGCTGCCCTCCTGCACATTAAACAAAACCAGATCTTGAATCAAGTAAAATGCACATCAATTATCTTGTGTAGGCAATAAACATGAATGAGCCGATGGATGCAACAAAAACAGAAAAGCAAAAAATACCCATGGTGTAAATGAAATAATAAAATGCAATAAAACTTTTCCCTTTTTAATTCATAAAAATCAACAAGACAATAAAATCCTCACCATGTTCGCCGTATCATCAGCACCCAAGTGCCAAACATAGCATTTTAGCTCTCGTAGCAAATGCGAATGTGATGACAGATAAGGAAACGTTAAGAGAGAGAGAGGAAGCTCTAAAGTCAGCCGACTATAAAAATGCCGTAAAAATATTCATTACCGACAACTTGAGCAAATAAACGAAGAAATTATGGCTCTGCTATTAAACTTACTTGATGATGCAGCGTAGAGAATGGAAAACAGATCTAAAAAAATGCGAGGGAGGAGATACAAAGTCTCTGTTTAGGATTTTCGTAAATTTTATACAAAATGACGACCTCGTCATTTGCTAGCAGACACGAAACATCTCATAACTATCAGACCTACCGTATACATATTATCTTATTTATGCATATATTTATCTATAGCTCGTCTGGTGCAACTAATTACTTTTTTATTTCCAATATCGCAAACGAATTCAGTCAGACTGCTCGTTATTTGGTAGTGGACCTTAATCATTTAGGTATTTAAAAGTGACACATGTTTACTTATTCGCACTATCAAATCTACAAATTACGCGACCAGAAGCGCGATAATAAAAAGTATTAAGTTGCAGGTTGGAGCTCATTACTAAGTGAATATTATTGTCGTATCTCGGCTTATTTATTACGAATAATTACGCTATGTACGACACAGAAGGTGGGTGCGTATATGTAGTTGTTGAAGTTATACGAGTAAACTGCTGACTTTTATATCGTGGATTTGTTCTCGAGATAGATTTCCTTCCAGATAAGTTCACCCTGTCTGCCACACTAGACCCCAATAAATTAAGGTGATTGATCTTTATCTGCAAAAAGCTAGTCTAATTTTTATTCTTTATTACATCCTTCATTATTATTACACAATCTGATTCATTCACGTTTCTGTGCTCTGTCATCACTTTCTTCCCACCACCTTCCAACCATGGAACTGCACTTAAGTTGCTCACGTCGTAAAACTAAAATGCAAAAAATCTTGTTGTATACGAACTGAATGTGTTCCTTTGACGCCGTAGCTTCTGCATCATTTACCTCAATTTACATACAACGTACACACAACTGACAATACAAACAATGACAGGTGTTGTTTCGTGGTTAATTATTTCTGTGGCTCCAACTACGTGGATTATATATCATCATTTTCGTGTGGTAGGAAGAATGCATGTGTATGTAGTAAATACGTCCATATGTGCATGGCAAATGTGCTGGTGATGAGGCAAATATTTGCTCAGAACTTGTTTGCTGTGTGTGCGACAATAAAAATTGCTCAAGTAAAATGTTATAGAATATTTTTTTTCGAATGGAAGGAATTAACGATTCCGATGCTACTGGTTTTATTTTTATTTTGAACGTTTTTATTTAAACTTTGTATTATTTAAACTGCTTTTCAATTCCAAAGTGTATAATTTAATGACGGCGCTGGGGATCATTATTTGCATTTTAACTGCGAGCCATCTCTTTATTGCATACATTTGAAACATTTTATGCTTTCCAAACCATACAACATACATCTGCATCTGTTTACTCAGTCTTGTCGGCGGGGTTATTATTATGTCCAACAAACGTATCCATGAAATGAAATGCATGCACAAAGTGAGGAAAGTATTAAAGTGGATGGAAACCAAGAAGAGAGGCATCACACACACACATTTTCAGTATTTACAGTTTCCTCATGCCAGTCATGTCGTGCCATTAATGGGCTATTTCCACCCTGTTTACATTACTTTTGGAAAGCCTGCCTGCTACACATATTGGTCGGGAGGATGTTTATCTCCATGTCGAAGGTTGCGTCTAAGGTTTCGGGTTCAGAAAATGTGTACGAACGTGGAAATGTAATGATGAGAGGGAATCCAACTCCGACGAAGAGACAGCAAAACAACATTTCCATCACAGGATAGAAAGAAAAGCCCAAATCCTGCACAAATCGCCCCATTGTGTCATTGCAGTTTAAACAATATTGCAGCTTGTGTTTGTAGTGTTGCAATAACGACTGTTCCACAACTACGACTGGGTTAATCATTTTGATCAAAGAAGCCACAAAACTGTAAAGTAAGCTTCAAAGCCGACTTTGTTTCAATTCATTCAAGTCAAAGCATGTCATACATACGCGAAACCACCACAAATCCAAGTCGTCTCCTTTCTCCTGCTCCATATTCCGTTATGCTGAACAGGAGGAATAGTGGTGATCTGCTGGTACATGCATATCTCTGCCTACTATCTCCTCTCAGCCGTTAATTGGCCATTGCAGAAATTCCCTCGAGTGTTTGCTTCGTGAGTTGTGTTCCAACCTCACAAGTCAGTGATCAAGAGTTGAGTTATCTGTCCAAAATTAGTCTTTAGCACACCCACCTTCATCCGTTATTAATGAATGACTGAGTATAAACGTGCATATGTACCCAATGTGTTTGTTGGTAGTTAAATTTCCTACGGCCTTGGGCAATTACCACAACAGTATCAAACATTCAATCAGCTAACCATCATTCATCAGAAATCATGCCAAAATAATCATAAAAAGTTCATATTTGCTTTGCAATAGTCATCATTAACATGATTGCTCTTAAACCTAAAATGTTATTTTATGTATCCTCGCAAATCTAGAAACTATTTGATGCCAGACATGAAAAGATTTGAAAGAGGTACTTTTTATTTTACTTTCGTGCCATAATTAAGGTTCCATCCACTTGATATGTAAATACGTCAACTTCAATAATTGTGACAAGCTTTTTTGTTCCAGATTGGGCTTGTTTGGGTTCAGGCTTGTAAAAAAGACATAAGAGTAATAATAAAATTTGACAAATAAATCATCTACGTTAGCACTTGCACATAATCATCACATGGTTGAATATTGTTGCGGTTTGGCTTTGGCAAGTATTTTACTAAAGTGGGGTAAAAACGCCATTAATGATATGAATATTGTAAATGACGCCTCCACGTCTCTCAACTACTTACTTCCATATACAATGTTTGCACTTTATTATTTATACTCTCAAACAACGCATTCAGCAAATAAGCTCGCCAAATTAAGATGCATGCAAATTGCAAAACCTAGCTCGTAAACATTTATTTTATAGGTAACGGTCTCTGCCACCACCGCCATCATGTTACGTACAACGCGAGGATATGTATGTGTGTGTACACTTGTTAAAACCCCAACCCATTTGAACTAAGAACAGCAAATCTCATGAATACGAAATGAGGATATGAATTTAATTTGTTTTGCTGAATTTTGAGACATAAAATACGAAGCTTCTCAAACCCACGTTACTCAACTAGTTTGGACATTCTCGCTATGTTTAACATTACCTTTGAACTTGTTAATAGAAACGAAACCAATTTGCATAAAGTGACAAACTACCTACTTAACCAAGTCAATATTCGGGATCAACTTCAGTACATATTTATGCATGTGTAGAGAGAGGCTTATACATACTTATGTACAACGCTTCGTGCATTTATGTAGATTCAGACAGTAGATACTAGACATTGATAGTGTTGAGATTGATGAATTAAATATCCGTTAATCGTTTCTTACAGTATTAAATATCGTGAATGGAGCACTCATCGAATAAGAACCACGTTGTGTCAAGTGTCAATTGCTCAATCGGTTGGGTTACAATTTACAATAACGCGTCATACTTGAACTTTTAATTTAATTTAAATAGACACATACATATATAGTCTTAAAATACCCGACGAGCCAAGTCAAAAGGAAATATTAAGACGTATATATTCTCCATGCTTTATAAAATCTAAAACAGCGCAGAATAAACGCTCAAGTTTTTTTATTAATTTTTACAGTTATGTATTTATACTTTAGTTGTACATATATAATTTATTTAGATTAGCTGAGTATCTAAAAAGACACAACTTTAATTTATATCCCATCAAATCAAAAGTCACAATCCGTCCAGTCTGTCAGATATATTGGTAATTTTTCTGCGCAGCGATTTTTTATTGTAATTCACTAATTCATTTTATTCCAGTTTGTTTGATTTTACAGCAAAAATGGCAAAGGTCAGTTCAACTTGTAAATTGAAATCTCAGTTAATTGCGTATCACCCCATAGAGAGTATACCAACAAGTCACGATTTACATCTATGAAGACGAGGAAATCCTTAAATGTGTAAAATTTGCATGCACTTAATTTTAACAAATTTACAAGTCGATATAAAATTTATTAAACAGGATTTGCATGTTTTGTTGTACATTTAATAAACCAGTTTATTTGCTAAAAACTTGTCAAGAATTTTCCCTAATATATTCAGAATTCAAATGCATGTGCACAATACATATACACATCTGACATTTGCATATTCTGTATGTCATGTTGTTGGTTGTGTTTTACCGTCCCAATTAATTGTTACTTATTTGTCTTAATGCTTTCGAAGCCTAATTTATTTTGAATATAAATGAATTCAAATTGTCGAATGTGAGATAAAGTAGCTCCAATTTGTCGGCTGTTGTCAATCTTGTGATCATACTTAAATGTTGGCAAACCGGTTGAAATGATCTATCAGTGTACCTTTTCGTGCCCATAAATCACTCTTCTATGAATTATGAGATGACGCTTGGGTTAATCGGTACATGCGAAGTACGTACATAAATATTTAAATAAGTTGTAATATTTGTACTCACTTGTGATACTGTGCCTGGAGAAAGTTGAACTCTTCCTTGATCCTCTCGCATGATTCTTGTATACTCAATTTAAAGGGTTGACCTGGTTGTGGGGGACCCTGCAATACATTGAATTTAAATAATTTAAAAATTTAAAAGTCAAAAGTGGTACTTAGCTATTAAAATACTGTCATTAAAAATGATGTGCATTCACTAACATCGATGTCAGCAGACGCTAACCATTCAGCTATACTTTCTTTCAATTATAAATCGGGAAAATAATATGGAATAATTTTCTTATCTAAAACCCATAATCTGAGGATCTGCGCACTGCCTAGTGTCATTAGCAGGAGAGAAAAAATGAAACGGAATAAAATAGGTTTTCAAAAGAATAATAGAACGAAACGAAGAAAGCTTAAAGATGGATATGCAAATAAGTAAGTAAAGGCGACAGCCAAACTTCGCTAGCTTGTCATCAACCGAACCAAATTTTAAACCTTTAGTGTTTTTTAAATTTGACTCTGCTCCCAAGGAATTGAATGAGTTAGCACCCTTCACTTCACGTCTTGGAAAAAAAAGAGAAAATGCTATCCACATACTCCATCAAATAACTGTTAATATTTAATAACGCATGTATCTCACATGGCACTAGAGTGTGACTACAAAGACAAAGAGTTATTTTTCTGCCTGTAGAAAAATGAGCATTTCTCGGATTATATTGGAAAAAGTGGATGCACATGCAACATGGCATAACATAGTACATCCCACTAATAACCCTTCGCAGTCAGTCACTCATGGCTTGTTCAGTTCCGTTCCTCAGTTCAGTGTTCTACTTTTGAGCGAGTAAAAAGTGAAGCCCACCGGAATACCCGGGCAGCAGCAAGATGGTCGTGGTGGGTGAAAAAAATGTAGATGACAGGAGGAATAAGGACTCCTGAACGGAATATTAAGCGTCAACACCACCACCATCTTACAAATGAACCTTCCTCGTAATAAATTCCCCTCAGTCCAACAAGCTTTTTCTACTCCCTCGTCTCCGTCTTCTCCGTCTTGGTCTTCTTTCTGTGATGTCTTTCTCTTTCTTTCCTGATACTTATTCCACCAACTCTCGGGACCTTTATTACATTTCCCCTTTTTCTTATTAGAGCTTGTTCGTGTTCCTTATTCAAATTTAAAAGAGGTCCCCATGCTTGGCTGGGGTTACCAAATTACGTTTTTTTGTCTTCCTCTTCACTCTAAGTTTCTAATTTATATTAAAATTGAGGTTGCAAGGAAAGAAGGATGAAAATTGGAGGGGAATTTTAAACAGGCAGACAAGGCAGGAGCAGACACGGCGAATAAAGTAATCATTTTCCAAGTTTTGCTTTCCACCACCAATAAAAAGTGGTGGTCGTAGTAGTGACATTCAGAGAAAAGACCAAGATTCTTTTCAGACAGACGGCTGGGCTTTCTCTCCTCACGCCTAAGCCATCCTCCTCTTAAGGCGCATACATTATCATTCTCGTCCCAAGAAGAATAACATATTTACATTTCCTTTTCTCCATTATAATGCAAATTACGCAATTTGACTTACCGGGTGGCGGGCAGCGGCCGCGGCGACAGCTGCATTCATTCCTCCGGCGTACATTTTACACTACACGGACATCACACAAGGGAATCGGCACTCAGGGTGCTTTCTCCAGAAAAAATTAATAAACTAGGTCGCACTACACACTTTGCACGTTGGATCAGTTGAACCCACAACACTAAAAAAAAGTTGTAATGTAGATTCTTGGTATGTATTTATTTGGACTTTTGTATCGCGTGGATGAAGTTGGGACGAGAAAGTCTATTGTTTTTATATACAGTTTTTTTATATGTAGTGCTGATATCTTAGATAACCGTCGTTTTTAAATGACCCAATATTATTTAGTATGTCAAAGTAGAACTCAAACAAACATTTGCAAAGTTATTGCAAATTTCTGAACCACGGCATAATCTAAACGGGCACCATCATAAAATATTCATTGGACAAGGGAACTACATTAGGTAATGCAGTAAACAATTTAATTCCATCAGCAAACCACTGGCTTATGCTTAGTATGCAATGTACACTTGAGTTTTTGATGCACATAAGTATGTCAAACAAGTTATAAATTAAACTTTATGATTCTTCGTCCAAAATCAATAAGAGAGTATATTATTCCCTTAATTGTTTCCAGTTTCGGGTTGCTTACAGAATTGTTGTCATCATCATCCAATGCACCCAAATTCTGCATGAGCAATAAGGACGCACAAGTACGTTCATCACATCAACGGCAATCACACTGCACTAATTAATTTTCACCACGACGTCCACCACAATGATGCCACTTGCCATAATACACCTTTCCGGTGGTGCGGTGTGCGTAGTAATCCAAATTCAAGTAATTAAGCAATCATAACAACATTGCAGTTCCCACTAAAGTGCTGAAAATATTAATATGAATCTAATCTCCAAATTCGTAATTTTTCCAACTATGTCTAATGTTCAAACTGATAAAGAACAATGTTCTGGTGAACAAGAACGGTTTGGCACCTATCTGTCTATGTATGAATGTGTTGTGGTCGTCGCCTCGGTTTGCTTTGGTTTCTCCTATTCACAAAGAAGAAGTTGTAGGTACATGAAAGCTCATGCAAAAAGACGGCGAGGATAAATTATAGCAGGAATCACCACCACAATTTCAGTTTATGTCGCGAGTGACGTTCCGTGACGTGGTTGGAATTTGGAGAATTTGAAATCAGGAAATGGTTGCGGTCTTTCTCTCTCTCTCTACGTTCAGTTGGATCTCTTAGTTTTATTATTCCGAAGCGGTGGTGGTATTTGGTTGGTTTGCGTTTGGTTTTGTTTTTAGTGGTAATCGAGATCGTGGTCAAAATTTTCTGGTTGGTCACTTATGTTGTTTTAGCAATAATAATAATATTCGCCTTCAAACAATTTGTAAGTCATTCCATCAGTTTAGACGATAAATGCATGAGGACTCCCCAAAAGTTCCTTAGGACAATCCTACTCTGACAGAGTAAAAGTTTGGGTAGTTTTGAACCTGACCTATCTCAAGCTTCAAGGACGAAGGGGATAAGATCGACCCGAGGGATTGAGCGTGACCCCAGGATGAACTGTCACTTGGTTTATCACTCCACTTCACAGCATACCGTTTCGCCCTCCGTGGACCCAATCGAATAAGTCTGTAAGTGGAAAGACGCACTTTTTTACTCACTCACTTTAGCGATGGGTTTTCCGTCTTATTTGGCCTCACTCACGACGAGCATTCCAATTCAAGCAAAGTAACAACTGGCAGAAAGTGACCCGGGTATTTTCACGATGATTTTTCGGGGTTTTCAAAACCCTGCGCAAGAGATGCAATACAAACTCAATCGATTAAATACTAAACAACTGATGAAACACTGGTAGTCTAGTCACATTACTTATCGCATAAAAACAGGGTTGTTCCCACCTGCAAATACAAAACATTACTATTATTTTGACTTTCCTATGAGACACGTACATGCATTTGTACGACATGGGATTGACAATAGTAATGCAATTTTCATGCATTGAATTTTTTGATAGTGTGGTTTTTCAAGTTCCTCTTATCAGAATTTTAAACTGTTTCATGTGACTGATTTATTTTTAAACTGTACAAAAGATTGTGGTTACAACTTGAAATATTACGGACATCAAGTAACCACAGCTTGGGAATATTTGCAAGGAATGAAAACCGCCGATTCGATAAGTTCACCACCGCCACCGGAAGTTACCATACATATTATGTACATTGTACATACATGGTGATGATGCCATTCATTTATCAAGGTTATTTTTTGCGTGGTATATTTTTGCAAATTGCACAATTACCCACGAATTTTACACAAACAGTGGAAAAAGGATGTAGCCAATTATGTAAATAGTGGGAAAGAGTTGTTTTTGTTAAGGTTAAGCTAACTCACTGAGCACTGCTAAGAGGATTTAAAAGATTACTTTAAGTGGGCAGACAATAATAATGTGTGCGTGTTATTAGAATATTGTGCTCCTGCTCCTGCTCGACAAGAGTTTTGTTATCAACTTGTTTAAAAATTGACAACTTTTTATCACTTGTGATAATTTTCCTGATTGTCGATCTACATACGTACTTTAACATTTAGTGCATACATATGTAGCTCACCAATGCACATGTTACGAGCATTATGTAGGAGATTATGAATGACTCATAATTATATAAAAAAAACTTTGCTTAATTTCCACAATCTTTTAATTAAATTAGTGATCAGCATCTAACTAAATATCCTCCTTCATTCCAAATTACAAGGAACCACTTTGTGAATCAATCGTCAATCTAATCCTCATCATTCATCAGTCGACATTAAGTCTAATTAATTGAATTAAACAAATAAATTAAATCCGGTCACTTTTTCCTCTTTCAAGCTGTGGATGAATGTGTACGTAACGAACGAAGAGCTGTGAATGAACTCATTTTTTGCACGACTAAATATATTCCTTCCCTCGGAAGGTTGAAGCTCATTTCATTATTCCATCCCATTTGATTGATGATGAGACGAGATCACGAAACTCTCAACTGCTCACAAAACGCAGGTCCACCACACACTGTATTTCGTGTAATGGCATTATACGTCCGTACGTATTATTATTATACAACCAATCCAAATCAAAAAGCAAGATTAATGCTTTTATATAATAAGTAAACGTTGTTTGTTTCGTGCTTCATTATTACTTTGTGTGTGTGTGGGTGAGAGAGTTTGTGTGGAGCATGAATTTAAATACTTTTATTCCACTGTTGCTTGCTTACTTGCAAACTAATGACAGCTAAATTAACTCAATTTCATGCCGGGTGATTAGTTAATTCTCGTTAATTATCTGTGTCTCTCTCTCTTCCAATTCAATCATGCGTTTGCATATGTGAAACGAACAGGGGAGATACATGTACACAAACATTTAATGGGCTGGCAGCATGGTCGTGTAATACGGTGCATGTTCATAATGATAATAATGGTAAAATCTGCCTGAATAAAACATGCAACAGTCAAAGTACCATAATTTTACTTTTTAAGAGCAAAATGCACACCCAAAATTTATTGTAATTGTTGTTCCTTCCATTTCCCTCATTCGCCATACTCTGTTCTATCATAGCTGTGACATGGAACCATGAATAATGCACTAGCTTACTAATAAATTCTTGTTTTTATTCAGGTAATTAACGGGGAGTTTAGAAGATAAATTACTACGCAAGATTTGCATATGGCTCATCTTCTTTCTTTACAAAGTATGCATTTTTTATCTGTTTGCTAAAGAAATCATGCATTTTGTTCTTCATACATCTTAATTTACTAGTTGTTTTTCAGGTACTGAAAATGTTGTCAATTGAAATAATTGAACAACCCGTTGTTTGTTTGGACAGTTTTAATTGAAAATCATCTCAAAGAATGTTAAAACAATGATAATCTATTTTTTAATAAGATTTAATATAGTAAAAAAAGTTAGTAGGACATGTTCTTCTAATCTTAGGTATTACGCTTAGTAAATACTATAATCCATGCAATATATATTATTCACTTTGAACTCACTTGTCGAACAAACGGATCAAACAATTGGAATTATTGGCAGCAGAAGAGTTGTCCCAATCTCACAGACGCGACTGAACACACGGCGTCACCTTTCACTTTTCCAAGCCTTGGTCGTAAACACCGTCTTCACACGTGACCTCAAACACTTTGAAATTTTATATCCCCACGGATCTTGGAGATGTATGAAACCGGCAGATTTTCCGAGATTCAGCGAAACAAGCGCACAGTTGTGGTCTCGACAAGGGTTCAACGTAAACTAAATGGATTGGATGCGTCTCATGGTGAACTTCGCATTGGGTGACTCTCTCTCTCTCTCGCTCTCTCGGTCGTCGTCTCACTTCGGCCCCGCACACATGTCGGCTTCCACTATTCCATTCTCTCATCTCTCCTCGTCTCATGTCTCGGTGTGGTTGTGGTGAGTATCAAACGGCGTCAAAATATCACGTGCCACATCATCGCAAAAGTCGCAACGCTTACTTGTCCTTATTAGTTGGCTCAGGTATTCCGCGCCGTGGCAAATTTCAAATTCGTGAACGATGGTTATTTATCTAACGTTTATTTACAGCTATAAAATCTGTCAAATACAAAAATGTAAACAATTTGGGTGCATATGAATTTGGATAAAAAATGTGAATCGAGAATGAAGTGGAATTCGTAATGCTTCATGAAATTAAGTATTTTGTTGCATCCCAGATTTCGTTGGGAAACATGTCACATCCTATTTTTACACCCTCTTGAGCTATCAGAAAACCGGGCTTTTGGTGGAGTGTGGTGGTGTGGGTGAGTGAGAGTGTTAAAGCAAAATGAACAGGAGCGAAAGCATGACACGGACATCAAGTTGTTGATGTTGATTTGAGTTTGAGAGTTGCTTTAACTAAACGTGCTGGGAGTTCCGTCATGATCATCATCATTCAATAATGTTTTAACCCCACCAGCCAACAACGCTCTTCAAATATTCTATTTCCACTGTCTCCTTCTTTCTCGCACACACAAACCACGAGCATTTTATTATTATTATCATATTATTATATTATCTCTGCCAGGACGAGGAGGATGCGTCCGCAGAGTCAGTCCTGTCCTATCTCTCGTCTCAAGTGTGAAGACGCTCGTTCTTTGTTGTTTTTGTGCATTCTCATTTCTTTAACATGTCACCGTACATATATCCATATTTCCTTTGGTCGCTAAATCTCACCCGTGAAAAAATATGTGCTATCCAGATAAAGTTACCCTTCCTCTACATAATATGTGTCTATATCGTTGAACAATTCTCGTTATGCAATTACGGCGGCAGTAATGTATATGCATGACAGTTCTATCTGACGCTGAATTTTCTGATCATGTACATATGCATACTACTAAAATACATATGCAGCATATATATTACGTACATTAATAGTAGTATGGCTAAGAATAATCATTGTATTTTCACTCCCACCACGAAAGAGGACATGCATATATATTTATTTATTTAATGATATTACTACAACCACACTTGTCCCATAATGCCAGTGCACACTCCTCTGTTTATCTTTCTCCGTCGTGTTTAATGCTCAATCTCCACCACTCAACTCTTTCTGTTCGGGATTGAGACGAGAGATGAAATGAATAATCCTCTCGGCTCAAAATAATATGAGGAGGAGAAGAAGAGGTATCATCATCATCATCATCTCTCCCTCCCATTAAAAGCATCATCTTCACTCACTCTTTATATTCTTTATTATTACACAAAGCCGTGACTGAGTACGGGCAAGGCTAAACTAATACGTAATCACGAACAGCCATCCCATCCTTCACGTTTTTTTATGGACAAGAATTTAGTTAGAGAGATGCATTCTTTCAAGATTAAAGCAAAGCAAGCAAAGTGAGTGAGCCGAGTTCACACTAATTTACACTTTGTTCATCGTCTTTTACCCACCAAAACGGACCAGAACTGCATACACACCAACAGTTGCATTGCATACACAAGTACGCAACAACTTGAGAGCAATTAGGGCTGCAAATTGTTTTAAATGGTGCCGACGCCGGATGAATTAGATGCGGGGTGTTAATCATGGCCTATTGTTGGAAGAAATTATATTGGACGTGATGTGAGTGAATGTGAGAAAAGGCTAATCCTTTAAATTTTAAATGGTCATTTATTGTTAAGAATGGTAAAGACAATTTACATGTTATTAAGCTTGTCAGTTGTTTTTGCCCTTCTCGTGAAATAAAAAGCAATCATAAAATTATTATTTCATGATAAGGAAAAAAGGGAGCAGTGTTTTTAGTGTAAAGCTTCGTCTTAAGACGCTTCACTCATCTTCGACAAAGTGCAGATGGCGTTTCTTCTTTAATAATCAGAACAGAATGTGGTCAAAACTTGGGCGGGTGACATATTGTGTGTACCCTCCCCCCGAAAAGATTTTGATTTCTCCCACATAAAATATATACTCGTCCACTTGGGGCATTACCATTAGGTGTACGGTGTGTATATATATATATTCAGGTCGGGTAATAATTCACGTAATGCAGCATTCCATCCAGAAGAAGAGGAGGGAGGGCGGCGGGCGGACGTGTAGGCACATTAAAAATGGAATTGGCTTGGGATGATACGGTCAGTTAGGGAATTGAAAGGGAGGAGGATTGTAGGATTGCGGTGGCTCTCGTCGTCGTCGTCGGAATGCATGCAATGCGGGCATTATTGTCAACTTGCGTAAAAAGAACCCGGGAAGTCAAGCCAGGCAGGCAGGCGAGTCGTGGTGGTTGGGCATCTGCCCATGAATTCATGGATTCGTAGATTGGATAAAAGGGAGTAAAATAACTAGTTGTTCGAGTATTTATACGAGTAAAAACTGTTCCAACCCTTCACATCACATCAACGAACGTAGGGCTTAGTTGGGCAAGTGCAAAGATGGCGTAGTCACATTTGTACAGCTACAATGTTACAAAATCACGAGGGTATGTCAATAATATTACAGCCTAACCATGATACCCATGACAAAATAAAACATAAGGATACTTTATGACCCAATGATGAAAAAAATATTAAACTCCTGAGCGAAATTTCTTTTGAGTTGACACTTAAATGGCTATGATTGGGGAAATCATAGAACTCAAATTCGGTTAATGTTACTTTTTTGCATAGTTTCTAGACGTTGATTAAAAAGTCTATTTGTACCCGTTTTTGAAGTGAGTGTCATGAGCATACCCCGGACAAATATTTTTTTATCCTACCCTACTCATGTTGAGCTCAACACGAGTAGGGTAGGATAAAAAAATATTTGTCCGGGGTATGGTCATGAGTGTTTCAATTTCTTCTTTCATGGAACCGTCATGTGCTGGTACGAGTAATTGAGATAACGACAGTGTTTATTGGTTTTCGGAAGACTCTTTGTGAGAGTCCGAACTTTTTAGTCAGGTCCGGACAATTTAGTGTTGAGCAGGTCTCTATTGTCGGATGAAAATTGCAAATTTTCTCTACTAAGCGAAACAAAATCCTGAGTTTATATAATCGCTACATCTATCTATACGAGTTGACCTGTCACGAAAGGGGGCAACTAAACCAAGCCCGATCAAGGTCAGGGCTGAATTTTAGGGACTTCCCCTCGTATTTTTTAAAATTCTTAACAGTTCTTAAAAAGTAGTATGCAAATAAATATACAAGTTTTTTGGGATATAATATTGCATAGATAAATGCGCTATGCACCCGGACCTGGTCATCCTCGTCGACGTACTAATATATAATATTAAGAAAGAGAGGGAATTTTGAAGCGAGACGCCGATGCCAAAAAATTGACCACGTAGTTCATGCCGACTGCCGCATATCCTCTTTACAAAATGTAGGAGAAGAAGTAGTTATCTTGCCACTGACAGAATGTTGGTCCTTTCAACAACAAAGATCCATCCAGCCAGCCAAATACTCTCCACTGATTTCAAATATTCGCTCCTTCTTCTACCAACTTCTCTCCACGTGGAGTCCCACCACAAGGCGACCAATCTGGACGCAGCGTCAGAGCTGGTTCAGCTCGTCCCTACCAAGCTACAGCTCCAATGCCACGCGGGGAAGGCTGGATCCGGGCGAATACCGTTCTGGGCACGCCTTCACTGTTTTGGCAGCTCAGTGTCAATTCCACGTGGGTTTCCAGATTTCCAACGTTGAACCGTTCGCTTTTGCGTCAACCAGAGAAACTACACTCCACTCCGAAAGAAAAGAAAGGACGCGACATCGAGTCAAGACAAGATGAAGAAACAGACATTTACGACGACGATGCCACAAACAACCACGACCGCATTCGAAATGAAAATAAGTTTGTAACACGATTTGTATTATTAGCATTTATTTGTGAGTATTGATACTTCATATGCAGATGAAATTGGTTCGTAATTAAATTTTGACAAGATTTTTTGAGTAGTCTGTATTGGGTCCACAGGAAAACATGCTAGAATCTTTAAGCTGCATCGGGTATCTCATGCATGACAAGCAAATCCTGAACTCTTGAATTCATGGTACATGTTTTTCGCAAAATTATTTTATTTAGGGTTAAATTTTAAATTTTATGAATGCGTTTGTGTTTCGCAATGCATTTTCTGTCATAGCAGGTCGATTGTACTCATTACTCAATAAAGCATATAATATAGTATCTCTTGAAACATTTATTAGTTCTTATACCAGGTTTATCTACTGAGAGCATTCCCCATTTTTAGCCCTAGTCAGGACTTATTTAACCGTTGTGTCTTTCGTCTGTGTGTCCGAGATATAGCCAAAACGGCTGAACCGATTGAGTTCAAATTTTGCAGACGGATTTTGCAGATGTTGAAAAAAGTTAGGAGTTAAGTTCGAATTCCTTCAATTTACTTGTCATCTACTGTGTATATTTTGGTATAGGTGTTAACCCGTAACTCGTTTAGTTGACGCCTCGGTATTCATATTCTCTTGTAAATCTCATATTCATTAAATAATATGTTATTTTTACTCTGCTCTTTCACGCTGCTTAATTATAAGATTACAAATTGCATAAATCGGGCAAAATTGATGGATTCAATGTGGTGTGGTCAAGTGAAAGTGGAGATAAAGAAGCACATAATTAACGAGGATGAGCCATATACAAATAAATCAACCTGCAACAAATAATATAATAATATTCTTAACATCCTCCTCATTTTTCGTAGTTTATTATTCGAGCTTTCTCCTTTCTGCCGTCTCCATTTGCAATGTAAGCTCAAGTTTGAACAACCACCACCACCACCATCGAGGAAAGAAAAGAAAGAAAGATAAATAAGTTGGGCATTCGCATTACATAAGCTTAAGCCCTTTATCCACTTCCACCGCACATTCAAACTCGTATTTGAAACCATCCCAAAAATGCAAATCCCAAAACCAAACTTTCTCTTCAAATAAATTCAAACAAAATCAACTCGAAAATCCAATCCAATCGAAATTGTAAACTTTCTTCGAGTTCTCAAATATTCAAATTCTTCTCAAATTCAAAGCCCTGAATCCATAATACTTTTTTCCAGAAAAAGAACAGTACAAACACACACACGTAGCGACTGACTGAGCAAAGAAAAGAAAGAAGACGAGGTTCATTTTTTTGCCAGACCATTATATTACTTCTGTTCTGTTACCAGGAAGGATCGAGGAGGTCTGCCAACCAGCAGCAGCAGCAGCAAGTTTTGTTCATGAGAAAAGTGTCAAATCTTTTGTGTAGCCATCTTAAAATCTCAACAACGCGAAATCTCCAAGTCCATGGTGGAGTTCAAATTCGTATGAAAAATCTGATGCTCCGTTCAAAAGGAAAATGTACGCTCAACGCCCATACGGCTTCAACACACTCCTGTTCGGAAAGAAAGTTCTACACAATGCAATCAAACGTCCTCCAGATATGTAGATTACTTATGTGTCATACCACTCCATCCTGCACTCATGTTTGGAATAAATAATATTACAGTTACTAGATATGAATTCTTGATTTTTTTAGCATTATTATGCATACACAATTGAAAGCAGCCTCTTCTTGCAAAATTATTTCTACTATCCGTTTAAGCAGATATTCTTAGCATCAAGTTAAGATTATTTGTTTCACGGTGAAAAAACTCCCTGTAGCTTTGGTTTTCAATCTTGTGAATATCTGAATATACGTATTTATCAACAATGTAATACAGCACTTACGACACCACACTTTCCCTGCTTTTTTTCCTTACAGGTCTTTCCAATTGAGAAGGAGATCGAGGTGGCATTCATACTTTTTGTTCAGCAGCAGCAGTGGTGTCCTCATTGTTCGTCAATGTCAGAAAAAGAACGTACCAGAATTTCCTTTCTTTCCCTTGCCTAAATTTAAGGAAGATTATTTAGAAGCTGGATTCATTCCCTAGAAGGTTTTGCATTCTTTTATACTTTCCCCCTTTTTTCAATTAATTTCAAACATGTAAATTCTCCCCTTTCTGAAAAATGCCTGCTTCCCCTACGTAGATCTCGTGGACTACGATGTATGCATTTTAAACATAAGAGTTGATAAAATTTGTTATAAGATGTGAATATTCTATAACCGTCATCTTGCTTATATGCAAGTGAACAAATGGATCATTTCTTTCATAAAATAAATTTGTCCCGTCACTCACTCCATGCATCCGAATGAAATTTAACCATCAATAAGAGAACGTGTTCGATTTGGGATAAAAAGTAGTAAATTCAGGTATTTTTTGGCAGTTTAAAACTGAAACTCATAACCTTGCCTTGCTCCTTAATAAATATCTAACAAAGTTGGAGTGTGATAAAGATTATCGTGAAAATCCAGATTTTGTTGGTGTTGTGTGGGGAAGGGTGAAAAGAAGTTGAGATTGGTTGGCTGGGGGAGTGATATCGCATCCCATCGACGTCACACCTACATACATATAATAATCTGAAAAAAAAAATCAGGAAAAGTGAAGGGGTTGGTTAACATGGATTTTCTCCAGTTGACTTTACTAGTTTCTGGAGATTCCCATTTTTATGCGGGCTGTGTAAAGGAAAGGGTTATTGCTCAAGTGGTAATGGAAAAGTGCTCCAGAGAGGGATTGATACCGGCAGTTTATCACATTTCAGAAATGACTAATTAAATAAATAAATGATTGATATTTTTTTAAATAATGTATGCATGATGCAAATATTTCTCGAAATGCGCATATAGAAAATATATTTTTCCAACCAAATCTTTATTTTGAAAAAAACCAAAGCCACATAGGTACACATAAGGGTTAAGTAAAAGTAAAATTAAATAAGTTGACATGTTAGTTGACTACGACTAAGAAATGAGAAAGTTTAATGTGAAAAACAGGAGCTGATCATTACACACACATATATATTATTAATAACCAAAAATTCATCTAATTTTCTTCTTTATTTACTACATACAATCATGTTGATCTCACATCCTAAGACTGCGTATGATTAAAACAAACAATGACAATCCTTTTACTTACTCCAAGTAATTACTATATTACTAATAACAGGTGACGGTTTGTATTCGTCTGTTCGTTTTCCATCTTGTTGCATCATAACTATTCAAGGATCGAATTAATACTACTCGACCGATTTCTCATTCCGCTTTGTGGTGTGATGTGCGTGAACGGATGAAAGCTTTTGATACCATGCATACATACCATGGCAGTACAGATACATCAACTATATTTTCTCAACCAATTCTGACAATAATCTTTGTTGCATAATGTTGTTGTTTTATGGCAACTTTTCTTCCAGGGAGTTTGCAACCAACATACCATTCACTTCTTACGACTTTCTCCCCAACGACTTTCTGCCCAAGAAAGTGAGTACACAAATTGAAACCAAATTGACAAACTTTTGACAAAATTTTGTTTAGCATGAAACCACTAGTTTATGCATAAACATATTGTATACCTTACGAGTTTTGGGATTACAGCTAGTAATCTGTGTCGAAAGAAGGTAAATTTTCATCATCCAAATTCAGAATCAATTTTTTTACAGAAACAATAAAAAATATTGAAATAACATGCTATGATAATTTGAAGTATGTTTGTATTATTATCATTAAGCCTGATGGTGTCTTTCATTCTTGTGGTATTGGAGTTAGTCCATTCCCTTAGCCAGTGCAGATTGCTTTATAGTGATCTGTACGTACCGTTGAACCTTTTAAAGTTGGACTGTTGTTTAATTTTAATTATAGGTAGACTGCAGCAGAAAACTCGGATTTTACATCGCTTCCTTCATTTTCGTTCCATTTCAATTCATTTAAGATGTAAATGTGTGCGTTGTGTGTTGCGGTTTTACCCGACTGGAGGACGTCAAGTTTTTTTCTTATGAAGGGTTGACGAATACCGAATCTTGTAAACCTGCTTCAAATCGAGTGACCTCATATAGCGTCGCATAAACTGGTTTCTCAGAGCATTCTGGTGCCACAGATTCAGCCTTTGCACTTGCCGGATGTTTGCCACTTTCGACCATGCGGGGATGGTACTCGACGCGTCTCAGATGGCGGATAATTGTTGATACAATCAACATAGACTCCAGCTAAGAAAAAAGAAATAAATATAAATTAATCATCAGATACAATACGATAACGAGCCAAATATACACATAAATCGACAGAAGATGGCAAATAAAACCTTACGTAAAGAGCGAGCAATTTTAATCGGATCGAATCCCCGTTTTATGCTAGTATCCAAAAGGGTATCATTCCCAGACAAGTAAAACACGCTATATTTGTCACGTTGATCCCCAAAAGCAGTATTTGCATAGCTGTATGGATTGCCTTCGAAAAAGGATGTAATGACAAAGTGACAGCACTCTAGCATCTCAATGTATTCCCTTCAAAAAGAAAATTATTGTAAAACTGAAAATCCAGTAGTAATTGACATTTTCATTTTTAGAATACGTTATCTGTAGTATATAAAAGTTCTTACCACAGTTCAATATCTTTCGATTCTTCGGGGTACACTGTGTGTAATTTTTTCTTTTCTGTATTTTTCAAAATCTTAATTCCCTGATGCTGACGTTTAACAGCAGCATCTATCCACTGGTATGAATCATTTGCAACATCTGACATTTCTACATCTGAATCTTTCATCATATCCAATCCATCGAAAACAGAATTTGGTACATATACGAAAAAATTCTTGTGGCAAGTCAATCGTTTTATAATTTCCATATATTTCAGAGTCGACTCCATATCAACAATGACGTAAACGGGTTTTTCATCCACACGACGTTTGGTGTTCCTTAGGCGTCGTCGACCGCCACCAACGCCACTTGCGCGTCCTCGTCGCCGGCAAGGTTTACCATCATCACGATGTCCAGCACCTCCACCAATTTGCTTTCGAAACCTTCGTCCACGTCCATCCCGGTCTCTATTACGTCGTTCACGATTTTCAAGCTTCATTTCTTGATACGCCCGAGTTAAACGACACATGTTCTGCAATTACAAATCATTTCGTAATAAATACAAGAATTATTTATATGTATACTGATCAGCATAACTGTATAACTAATTCATGTAATTTTTTGTACCTCTGGTCCTTCATTCTTTCCAGTCAGCAATTTCTTGATTCGTGTCGCCCTCATGTGACGCTTCAACATTTCAGGATTGGGGACAAAAAACTTTCGACTTTCCTCGGCATACATTATTGAAAAGCTTTCCGTCTTTGTCATCCACATTCCAAACTGAAAGAAAGTATTGCCCAATTATTATTTAACATACTCTCTATTTAATATAGCCCTAGAGTGTGGAACTTTGATGTGTATTTAGGACCCAAGACGTCTGACCAGCAATAATAATCCCAAAAGCCAACTAATAAAATTGTTCATTTATTGTAATAAACAGAAGAAATTACGTACCGTAATGAAACGACCAATTCGAGTAGCCAACTGAAAAATAAATGTAATTGTAAAAATGTGCACACATGGATAAATTGTTTAATAATATTGTCAAATGTATATAAATAATATGTACATGGTGCATACACTCACCTGCTCTTGAGATGTTAACTGATCATTTATTTTCAAATCACGGAGAAACTGTTTCAAGGCTGGCATTCCTAACATTGATCTATCTTCTGACAGTTGAAACTGGAATAAATTTTCTTTCGACCTAGACTCTTTCCCAATCTCTTTGTCATTTTCCGTTAAAAGAGTTTCCCAGTCGTTGGCTAGTTCTTGGTTGACTTTTGTGTCGTTCTCCCTGTCACCTCGTCCTTCGTCATCATCGTTCACAACGTGTGTAGCCCAATTCTTCGATGTCAGGACAGTCAGAATTTCACAGAGTTTTATGAGAAATATTTTTTCTGCATTCGCAGCCAATGCATCTTTTACAGCAGGTGATGTCTGCAGCCAGCGGATAAATGGTGTCAAAGCGATAAGAAGAGGCTCAATTTGGGGTTGACATTTTAGCAAGCTTTTAACTTCAATGCAAGATCTCTCTTCTCCACCTGAAGATGACTCGCCATCCCCGAACGGTGTTTGTTTTCCTTGATGAAAAGCATCCATTAATTCCTGTTGCAGTCCATCAATGCTTTTTTGTGAATTATTTCCACTGCCGCTAGTACTAGGTTCAGAGCGACCGTTGCTTGATGACGAAGACAAAAATGCCTTCACATTGAAATCCATGCCATTTGCACAGTTCTGATCTTCTCGTGGATGACTGTCAGTGCTGGCGTGACGCTTAGGGCGGTCTGTCCGATCTTCTTGGTAATCATATTCATCCCCAGATTCTGATTGATCTGATTCTGACCATATATAATCAGAATCATCCTGGTCATCGTCGTCTTCTTCACCATCACTTTCATTATTATCGAGTTCTTGATCTGACTCTAAGCTTTTTAAAGATGGGATTGAACTCGAACGGAATCGAGGGCCTCGGCAAGCGCCAGCTTGTTTTCTATGTTTCTGTTTTATTCCCTTTAATTTGGTGCTTTCCTCGTATTCAGGCTTATCATGGCTTAGGATTGGTGGGATAGCTTCCCCCTCGCAATGGATTTGGGGGTTACTGTGTGATGTAACAACATCATCCAAGTCCTTCCCACATCGGGAGTGACAGGACTCTGAAATCTTGTGGATTGTTGAATGTCCTTCTAGAATTACACCAAGTTGCGTGACAAGGGTGAAGAAGACTGACATGGCAAACGCGACAGCAGGAGATGTGTGTACAGAATCTATATACAAACATATTAAAGTATCATCATCAATTGTTCCCACATTTCATATTTGGATTAAACAATAACAACTTTAAATGTTAATTATAGTAAGGTTTCCTTACTGTTTGTCTGTAATCTCCATACGACCATAACGCTAATCGCAGCAAATTTAAATAGTAGTTTATCGTCCAAGTCTGGGTCGTAAGTCATCAGGCGCTCGTGAAAATTGTTCAATACTTCCTTGCAAAACTGTTTAAACAAATAAAATTGTATACTAAAGTCGAAGATGGGAAACGACCAACTAATATTTTACAAAAAATTTTATAGATTAAGAACACACTAAAGTACATACCTTCTCATAATTGATTGGTGTTTCTTCAAACAAAAGTTGGAACAGTAACCCAGTGAATCCATTACACAATAGCTCTATAGGTCTAGGTTCAGGGAGAGCTGGACGCCGAGCAAATTGTACCAGTCTTGCGTCAAGCATATGACGAAGGTTTGGAAATGCTCCTTCATACGCATTTTCAGTTAGAGTACTTAAAATAAGAACAAGTGATATTATTTTGCACTTATTGTTATAATGTTAACTGAAGAAAATTAAGGTCATATATAGTACCTGTACAACAAGTAGTATACTGAATCAATTCCCCAACTTTGATCAGAATAAATATTTCCCAGTTGATTTAAAGCAAGCCCTGCACTGGGATTCATTAGGAACGCCTAATCAATAATAAATAAAACAAAATATTGTACATTATCATAATAATAATAATAATTTCAATTCCCATCACCCATGTAATATATTTGCATATATTTCAACTTAATTTTGTAATCTTGCAGTTCTTTATCATATGTAATGTTGAATTGCTGATCTTATCAAAAGTGCAATTACCTGTGTATACCACTCCTGAGCTCGATGAAAATAATCCGTATCACTTTTCTCGTTATCGAGATATGGTGATGATTTTGCATAAATATCCTTCATGTATCGATAAAGATCCCCCATATTAATGTAGCACATTGCAAGCAACTCTACAAGTTTTTTCTGATCCTTTACGTCATCTATGTTTACAAATATGTAATATTTTAGTAATTACTACTTCTTAGTAGTAAACGGGGTATATATACACTACAGACAATAATATTTTTTGCCAAAATAACTTACCATCAGTGGCAGTCCTTGATTTCTGAATTACCAAAGTATTGGTATTTAAAATGCTATCAAGAGACGAAGGATGCTTCATGATTGGTTTCGAATCCAACTCAGCTGCCTCCTGGATTTTCATGACAAAAAAATGAAGTCTCGCGATTCCAGTTTCAATGTGGGCTTTAATATAAGCCAACTGTAGGGGAGACCATGGCTTTTCCTAATAAATAAATCTCTATTAATGATCCCATTATTTACATTTTATTGATTAAACCGAGATGAAGATTTTTACCCGTTGCAGTTTTCTAGCCCTCTGGACTGCATCATAATAAACGTGTTTCCACAATTTTTCTCTCGAACAAAACCCGTACAAGCTTGGCGAGTAGTTAGAAATTAATCCCTCACACAAATTCTGTATCTTGAATCTGGTTTCTAAAATGTCGGATGCGAACAAATCCTCTATTTTTGTGCACCTGGAACTAGCGACATTTAGAAAACGAACAGTTTCTTCAATCTCTCTGTTAAAATTACAAACATTTTCAATTACACTTTGATCTGCTCAAACAAATCTGAGTATATATCGAGATTTTTAAATTCTTTGCATTGTTCTTACTGATACACTTTCTTGGCTTGCTCCACGTCATTCACTTTTGAAGCCTCATCTAATTCTTCTTCGTCGGCCACGTCTAACCAGCTCAGACTCATTTTTTTGATGTTCTCGGAATATCGAATTCCTTTCAAGAATGAGGAGTAATCTAAAAATAAGACAAAGTAAGACCAAATATACTTTTACATTCTGAATGCATCGTCATGGATTAAAAATTGTAATTTTACCAAAAATTTGTCCGGCATGGGATAATGTAGTTATAGCGGGGCTCACTCAAGTGGTCAACTCCAGAAACATGTTGGTCACATTTCGAATTTCATCATCGTCCCATCATCTTGACATCAAATATACACCATTACAAGGGAGCGAATGTGCTGTGAACTTGTGGCAGACATTTGTCCGACTACCACCACCTCAAGGCTTGCAAAGACGATGGTTCCTTCGTCAGCTTGTTCTGGAAATATTAACAAGGGTTTATCGAAGTGATTGTAGAATGTCTAAAGTTCATTACACAATAACTCAAGTTGTCAAATAAAATTATTGAGAAAATCTGAAAAACTATAATTTCTTCTTCTAAACAGAGGCCCACCACAACTACTGACTACTATTACAGAATATTACAAAACTAATATTTATTCATCCCTTTTGCTTTTAAATCGCACCACTGCGCACTAGAAACAAAATGTTTATTTATAAACATTCATTGGCCATCAATTAGCTCAGAAAAAGGGTGGACATTATTAAAATAAGTCACAGCCGAAACATATATAAAGTACCTGCGCTCCTTTATGGTTCCGAGAATTCTTTAATTATTCACGAACGATGAGTGAGTCGTTGGTTCAAGTAACTTACTGATGATGAAAATCGTCCAGCCAGCAGATGAGGAAGGCCAATTAAACTACGAAGGATGGATGGGTACTGTTGTGGGAATATACGTGGTGTATTACTTAACGTGTTTATGTGAATAATAGTCCTTCACAAACGAAATGTATTTAGTTAAATAAATGATGATGCTGCTGTAATCAATGGTGAACTGATGGTGGAATCATCATGATGTTTCGTTTGGCCTGCTGATAAGCCACCTTGTTATGATGTCTTTATATTCCAAAAAATTGTAGGCACAACAAACGTTGCCAAATTCCTTCTCGTTAATTCGAGTCGTACGTAGTCTCAATTTCTCATTCAGCGCAAAGCCAACAATTTCTATTCGTCTCGCCTCTCAACCATCGAGTTTTGTATGGCAAACTCAATCCTTGAGAAATAATAACAAAACAAAATTATCATTTTCCAATTCCAAAGTTCTGAAATTCTGAACTAAGAAATATGGCTGTTGAAAATTAAGTTTGTTAATGCACAAATCACAATTGAAATTCACAAATTGTGCAGGCATATAAAGTTTACATTTAACCCATAGTCCATTCTACACAATCCCGATTTTATACTTATGTGACAACGTACAAAGTAAGCAATGTTGATTAGAAACATTGTCTAATAGTAGTGTGAGTGATTAACATTTTTTGTTGAAAATTACAGCCATCAGCAGTAGGCATTCCCTCATTCAAGGTCCGGGGACGATGGTGTTTCGATTCCTTCTGCGCTACTTCTCGAACCATCCTCATCTCATTGATCGTTTGTCAGAGTCTTATCCTATGCGTCGAGCGGCCCAACTGACGGTCTACCTGTTCCATCGCTCCAAATCCCTGCTGGAGGACACGGCCGTGAAGCAGAAAGCCATCCAGTTCAAGGACAAATTTGCAGACGAGCTGAAAAAAGAATGGGGCAAGGCTCGAGGTGGAAAATAAGTAATTAGATAAATGAGTCACAGGTACCACGAAAAGGATAACGCATTTATAGTCAGCCAATTTGAGCCAATTAAATATATATATTAATGCCATCTGATTAAGAAGGATAAGAAACTAAAATCTGACCTGTCCAATAAATTTGTAATGATTATTACTAGTAGTATGCAAGGCGAGAATCTTAATAAATATTAGTCTACTAGTATCGAAATAAACCAGTACACTAACACACTTGACTTAATTACTCGAAAAATTATATATTCTTCCAAAATTAATAGTCACCAATATCATATCAATATAATACAAAATTTGTGAGTGGCAAGGACTATTTAATAATAATAATTGATAGTTGAGGTGGAATGGGTATGGTATACAAGGTCACCTACTGACCTTGCAGGAGATTTCACAGTGGAAGACTTTGAGTGAATTCTGGAAATATTACACAATTCCATGTTCTTCCATTTTTTTAATCAAATTTGGCACAGTTTCGTCGATTCTGAAAATACGAGTAATGCATATACTGAATTATAAGAAGAACGTTACAATTATGATAGTAAATATTGTGATTCTTACACAAGGAGCTCTCGGTACTCTAATTCTTTCTCGGACATGTCAAGGTTCACAGGAACTTCAGAAAAATATTTTTCTTTGAGCTTTTTGACGCTAGAAACTTTGTCCAAACAGTCTTCGCCCATTCCTTTTCTGATAGACGATATAAGATGATTTGCATAAAATTTACGAAGGCGGCTTTCCCTTGCTGTGTCATAGGGTTCGGCAATTTGATTTGCATTAATAATCGTCCAGGATTCTTTTAAAGCTCTAAAATATGCATAAAAAATAGTCCCGATATAATCGTTTGCAAGGCATACTATATTATATCATCAAAAATATAATATTTGCAAAAACTAACGAAAGAATCAATGTCAACTTTGTATCCAAGTCTTCTAGGCTGGGTTTACTTTGTGATTCAAGAACGTTCTCTGCAAGTTCACTCATTCTGAGCAGGGTTTGGCCAAATAGAAGCAATCCTAAACAAAGCAAAAATTAACTCATACCGAAGGGTCTCCTTTTTTATTGCTCACCATAATGATCAGATCTCCCTGGTTGGATTACTTGCATCTTTTCTAATACTATATTAAAGTCAGTCATGTATTTTTTGTGCAGGTTGAACGAGAACGCAGGGTCTTTGTTAGCTTGAACATTGGTGATGTGTCGAAAAGCGGTTGCTGCTATGTTCAATAGAGCATATAAAATTACGGCGTGGTCGGGATGAACAGTTCTGCCAGAGTTCCTGGCCACAATGGACTTAAGTTCATCATACGCGTTTGGACTCCTTGTCGCAGTTTGTATCTTTTCTTTGATTGTCGAAACTAGTTGTTCCACCTAACAAGTCAGAAATTAAAACAGAAATTCCCAGATTGGACTTAAAAATAAATACGAGTATAAGATCGCTAAATAATAATTTTATTTAAAGTAGACGTATATTTTCTTACAGCGCTCTGACGTGTTGCTCCAGTACAAGCAGTACAAGCACATTTCCATATAAAAATATCTTTAAATCCTTGAGTGTGGTTTGGGTTTGGCATGGGTAACAAATATTGACATTCTCGTTTGCCATCACCCGTCTTCTTGTCGGCTGGGCATTTAATGGCAGAGAAGTATGTTCCGTCTACAAAATATAAAGAAATGATTCCTATTGTGCACTCTATAACAAGAAATCAAAGTATTTAAATAATACCTTCCGTAGAAGACTGACAACGTGCACAACGACACGGGGGTAGTAGCAATTGTGTAAAAAGGGTCAACCTCTCGTCCACAGTTTTGCAGTGGTTACTAATCATAATATAATTTATTGTTAAAAGCTCTCCCGCTGCCACCTTCCTTATCGTTTTGAAAGTCGCTGTAAGGTCTTTCCCAATGTATGGGTAGCAGTTAGGAGTACAATCATGGGTCATGACGCGTCCCGTCGGTCCTCCGGCGTAGACTATGAAAGCAAGCCTGTACAATATTTAGAAAGGGATAAGAAAAAATTTAGTTCGATTGAATCTTAAACAACCATGTAGCAATAAAAATTATGTTGTAGATATACTGACTTGTTTTTTGATGTGCTATGTTGAATCGGGGGGCCCAAGATGTTACCAAATAGTACTTCTAAAATCTTTTGTGCTTCTTCTTCTCCAACCTTGTCCCCCATTCCACATCGTTCTCTAACGAAAGGAATTGCTAACTTGAGATTAAAAAATCGAAAATATGCAGGGATAAAAACTGGAAGATTCATAAGCTCTTCCTTTAGTTGAGGGGGAAGCATCACAGCACGAAGAAGTCCCAAATGGTAATAAAACTCTGGATCCCGATACAATTTTTCTTTTTGCAACGTCTCCCAAGTAAGCCCCCTTTCCATGAGAATTTTACATTCCTCCTCATGGACCGCTTGACACTTGGTCGGTCCATATTTTGGGTGAATATTTGAATGCAAGGGCCAGCCACACTGGACACATTTGTTAACCATCAATCCGGTTGCAATGGTTTGTGTGACCTCTCCGTAAACCAAGACTTCGTAACAACCAACACACGTCCACACCAAACGGTCCTCTGAGTTCAACATTTTGGTCTTTACGGAAGGTGGCATTTTCTCGAGAAAATTATTAAAATCTTGAGGCGATGGAATAGCCGGAAATGCCAGTAAGGGCTAAATTGCAATTTAACCATAATAAAAATAATATTTAAATGTGATATACAAGTGTAATCATACTCGATATCATAAATTTGCCGTTGTACGAAAGCAATATAACAATTATATATTTGTTAAAATGGCCTTACCTTTCTCTGGAACAAGACATGACCGGGCTCCAAGTCTTCAGTCGCCACAAAATATGAGATTCCTTCAGGTACATTTTGACTCAGTGTGCATGGACCATGTTCCAGTTTCCAACCTGGAATAAACACAAAAGACCATTACAACTTGTAAAATTCACAAATCCAACGAAACGCATGTGTTTCACGTACCCAGTGGCTTTTTCGGCAATTGTCCACAATTTGCTTTGTGTCCTGCTTTCCAATGTTTGCTCTGATGGTCTCGAGAACAGTAAAAAGGAATTTCATCTGCTTCCTTCCCTCCTAATAAGGAGATGCACAAGCAAAGAATATGATTGAGGGCGAATAAATTAAATAAAATAAAACCGAATGTACAATATTTAATACAAACCTTTAAGACATGATTGACACCGAAGGGTCGTCACTTCTTCGCACACAATGCATTGACCTAGCACGGTCACCGTAATCTTACTGCGCAAACCATCAAGCGACATACTTTTTATTGTAATTCAGAATAATAATATCAGAATCAGTATCATAAGAATTATTATTATTCGAGAGAATTATATTTATTTTTGTGAGATTCTGTGAGAACTACAATATCACTGACTGTCAGCAGTCAGTCAACTGTTGCTTGCTGCAAGTCTTCTACACGCTATAAAAATGCTTGTTGGATTCTTCCCTGAATCTAAATCCGGATTCGGGAAAGGTGACATTCTACAAAAATTAGATGCCGTACTTTGTGGCATGGTGCTTGGTAAAAAAATAAATCGACAATTTTCTTATGTATCTTTATCATCTGCAACTTGAGATATTCAATTTATTTCAGCTAAACAAACAAAAAATTAGTAAAATGCTTACTTATCAAGTAAAATATCCGCAAACACCAAAGTACATACTGATAATAGAAATCGTAATACGTTCAATTACTTTGAATAATGAGCATTACAAACTATTTAATGCTTGCCAAGAAAGGCTAGTTCTTCCACCGTGCTCTTCCGGCCGAGAATATGATTCCGGTGAGGAAATCGACCAAACCTTCGAATGATTTCATGATAACCTTTCGCATATTCGTACCACCCTGGTTGACTCTTTTTAAACACCTTAAACAGCTCTACAGCTTGATCCTGATCCTCCAACATTTCAGAGTGGCAGAAGGGCATGATGCAAAACTTTTTCTCTGCGTCCAGTTTCAAATCGTTGACAAAACCTCGAGCTAGGGCGATCTTTGCGACTTCTAACGCCTCCGCCCCCGTCGCATACTGTCGGGCACTGCCTCTGAAAATGTTTCTGGGCACTTGGTCCAGGAGGAGGATCAAGGCGAGGGTGGACCTTGGCTCCAGTGTCCACGTGGCAGCGTACACCCCACTTGCAGCCTTCTCATGTTGTTGCAAGAACCTACATAATTAATCATGGAAATAAAATAAACACAGGATTAGGTTTAAGTGATGCACAACTAATATTGAAATGACGAACCGTTGTCGGATTTTGGCATCCCATGAAGGGGTAGACGAAAACCAAAAAGGACGCTCCTCACCGTGAGGACCAAACCAAAAAGCAAGGATTTCCTCTGGACTACTTTCACTTGTCATGACTGTAGGTGGTACTAAGACGGTGTATGAATAATAATAGTAACTATTTGTCGTAATATGCTGAATGTGTTGAATTTGAAAAATAATGTTATAACGTAATAGATAAAAAATAAAACTATAACATAATTATGGAGAAAAATGGTTTTGAGAGCTGTGAGAGTCAAGGTTTCAACATGAAAATGAAAATATACATATGTGCATGTGCATACATACAACGCAACGGGCTGACTCATTTCAATGAAGCATGTGGTCATACTGTAGAGAGTCACCTCCTAAAATCGACTTTTTTTGTTGTAATCAACCTGTGCTTTGTTATACACCGAGTAATGCCCGTATTTGCCAAATCATTTTGCACCCTATGTCATGTGCAGGCTCAGTCATATCCAGTATTTTTTTATGGTCTCAGAAAAACAATCCATCACGCATTTTGGATGATAAATGAGTAAATGCGTTCCAATATAATTTTATTCAACTGCACTAAATACATGCATATACACATTACTATGTGCGTTGAGGGGCAAATGAATTAAGTGCCAAGAATTTTTTTTAGTGCAAATTACAAATTTTGTTTCATTTAACCTAATTTCAGTAAAGCACGATTTAACTTAGGATATCCTTAGGATATCCGATAGCATTTTGACGATTCTTCAAATTCTAACCATTTCGATTCAATCAATTAGTGCAGGTAAATTTACTCATCATAAGATACAACCACCACACCCCGCCCCCCGACACCTTTTGGGAGTACTCTTGTAATTACTACTACTGAAAGCACACCAAAATGCACCCCCTCCCCCAAGACCATGAGATTTGCTCCCTACTTTGAGATTGAATTTGGAAGGTTCCAAGTTGACTGAAATGTATATATGCATTTACGGATTTTAAGTTCAGACAACTAAAATCCCCAAATGGGATGGTCAAGTAAGTTATCCGAAAGTTGAACTTTTCAAATGGCGTGACCACTTTTTATGATTTTGGGTGATTTTGTATACAGAGCCTTGTTTTAAAAAATTTATGGCAACAGCCATAACTACAGATGACTTGCCTAAATAATAATATCCACCTGCCAAGATTATTTGACACTTTATCAATCTATAAGGTTACGACAAATGGCCGAGTTACAAAATAAATTTTCATTTTTAGAAAACTAAAAATTGTTGAAAATATGCCATTGGTTACAGTTTTGGAAATGTAATTTTGTAACCGTCATGTCCGTCTGTCTGTCCGTCTGTCTGTCCGTCCGATCATTTTACGATAACTTTCGTTAAACTCGGCCTAGCGACTTTAAATTTGGTATACATGTAGTATGTGACAAATGAGGAGTTAAGTTTGAAGATGGGCGAAATCAATTAAGTGGTTGACCTGTGGTGGTCATCTGGGTGGGTGGAGTATTTCAAAATCCTCGTTGAAAGCTGTAAACTGGCATTGAGATTTCTAATGGTGTCTAATTGAAGAATATGAATTTAAATTGGGAAAATTTCCGACTGGAGGGACCCGATACCATACCGATTTTTGAAAATTATCCATCGAGCTGAAATTAGTGCAGAGATTGCTAATGGCCCCTGATGAAAGAATATGAATTGAAATTGGTACCATTTTTATGTGGAGGGACCTTTAAGGGGGTGACCCATATCGATTTTCAAAAATTGTATTAAAAAGATGAAATTAGACACTCGTAGAAGACTGAAATTTGGCACGACCCCGTGGGGTCGTCTGACTAAAGTTTAGAAGCTGACACTGACCCTGACTCGGGCTAAACAATCGCTGCACACTGGGATTTCAAATTTAATTTTCGAAATAGTACCCTCGAGATTTTGATCTTAAAAAATCAAGCTAAAAATTACGATGATTTCATCTTAACGAATTAAATCTCTATGTCTGCCCATTCAAAAGTTATTAAAGGTCAAAGTCGTTGGTACACACGACCATGGGACGTGTACCAACGATTTAAAAAATAATTATTTTATTTGTAACTCCACCATTTGTCGCAACCGTTAAAAGACACAAGAGTTACCTAGATACTAAATGTCAAGCAATCGTGCCTACCTGCCGTACATATTTTTCTTCGAATTTGTCATTTTATAAAGTCATTTATGACATAAGTAATATCAACGCCCAGGAAAAAAGAGATTTAGAAGAATGTCAAACACTTCGTCGGATGGAGACGAGCATTGTGCAAAATGCAATGGGATTCGGAAAGACTCTTCATCATCACACCTGCTGAACCCTGCTCCAAAACCTACAAACCCAAATACCTGTGGTAATTTAAACTGTTTTGATAAAATTAGATTATCGTATACATATGTAACTATTTGTCCCATCGGGGTATATCGATTTTAAATTAAACGATAGTTGAAATAAAGACCATGACTGCCGACATGACTTCTCAAGAACCAGCGAAAACAACTTTGCCACATACATTTCCTGATATTGATCGTATGCCTCAAGGTACAAAAGATTTGCAAGTAATTTTATACTGTAGGCTTCAAATTCAAATTTTTACGCAGGCGACATCCCCAAGGACTCTCTGCTAAAGAACATTCCACATTCGGAAGTCCCCTCCGCCTTGAGAAATAGACGGAAAGTTTCAAAGTGCGATCGAACTTCAGCTTTTCCTTTAGTCTCGGATGAAGATCGAGCAGTGATATCATCCCTACGTCTCAATTTGGAGACGATCCAAAAAGAAATGCTAACAAATAAGCCCGGTTTGAGTCCTTGGCAGACAATACTAATGTCGATAGTCTTCGTTGGTTTGACTCTGTACTGTGTCAATATTTCCGGAAGGATGCGCTCAATGGAAATTGAGGTGCCCCTAATATGCTATTACTATTAGTTATTGATAATTATTGCAGATGTTTTAAATTAAATTAATTGAAAATACGATCACATATGCATAGATTGATAAAATGAAGCAGGAAGTACTGAAATTGAGGTACAACGTCAGTGTCGTCCTGGATCCTCCAAAACAAACCAAAGCTGGCTGGTTTGACTATGCGAGATGGGATATGACAGGAATCGGGCAGATTTACTCATCAAACGGTGGTCATGAACACGTAGATATAAATCGTACAACTTCAAATTATGAAAACCCAACTGCCATTTCCTCTCGGGGTAATTTATTATTATGCGAATTGTTTCGTTAATATTTTTCGAGATGATAACGATTTCATTATATAGGTTCGTGGTATCAGAGTATCATCCAAGTCTTGTCTGGGTGGAAGAGCTTATCGAACCTAACCGAGACATTTGGTTACGTATAACAAAGAGGAATTGACTAAGTTAACCTTCTTTTCGAGCTTCTCACATTGTTAGGATAAAATTCGTCGACACAAAGAAAGAAATCATTTAAACGCATACGTACATCTTGTTTTACATTATTCGTATATGCTAAAAACGTCTCCACATAGCTGATTCGCTCAACTTTGATTTATGAACAAATACATTTAAAGTATTGCAGCAATAACAACTCGATCGCATTATTTACCAAAATTAATTATTAGTAATGTTCATATCATATTATCTTTGGGTGATAAATCATCTAGCGTCGAGCAAAAGTAACCGTTTTTTCTTCAATAATAAGCACTCATAAACGAACATTAATTGAGAGGAAACCTCAGTCATGAATATCTTTCATACGTCATACGTAGACGCCAACATTTCCATTGTGAAAATATTGAGCTAGTAGCATTACTAACTCCATATTGTATATTGAATATATTAATGTTTCCCCCCTTAAAGTCCTCTTCTTGCTATTAAGCTTGGCTTGGCTCAAATTATGTTTATGCCTTTCTTTCGCCATCATCACGACTTGTCCGTCATGGACTTTTATTGTGTAGGCACTATACGTAGGGTAGCAGGTAGGTACGGAGGGTGGATGTGATACCTGATCTCCTTCCTCTACCTCCTTCAAGAAGACTTATATTGGACCAAGGAAGCAGATGTTATGTCATGCCACGATGTTTTTGATGGTGGTTAAAAAGTAAGAATGCAGCCCAACGTCTCAACGCCCGTAAAAGCAAGGTTGGTATACACGCGAAGGTACGCAAACTAAAAAGTATAAGCAATAAATGTTGCATAGAAAGACATGGATGAACCACATCTACCAATATTCATACGTAATGTACATACATACATAAATATAAAAAACTACCTCAACTTCAGGAACAGGTCTTTAGCACCACACACCACATCATGGATTGTTGATGTTGATTGCATGCAAGTCGGATTTTCGAAATGGAAACCCGAGGGGCAAATGTATGCAGGGAGGAATTAGAAAATTCATTAACCCGAAAATATTTTAATAAATATTTTTAATTAAAATTTATTTTCTGTAATTCTTGAACTATATTTGTAAAATGAGCGTAGAGTAGACATGCAAATTCATGGAATGTATACTTGCAGTGTCGTATTTATGTGTACAGTATTCCTGACAGAATTTGTTAAACCTCTCAAACGAGCAATAACTCCCTGCGGCCTTTTCCTCTCGGTTGCATTGTTGAATTGAATCTTGCTTGATTCTTAAGAGTTCAGTCGAGTCCAGTTTAGTCAACAATCTGTACACAAGAAGTGTAAGATTTCAACCAGCCAACACAATGCCAATGCCAGGTAGTGTATAGTCCTGTAGTATTTAGTAGTAGTGCACTGATGGCCATTGTGTATACAGATTCCGAATAATTGTAATGTCCGTTGGCATCGTCCTTTAAGTAACACCCATGGATCCCCCTTAAGGCTCAACACGGGGATGTGATTCCGGAGATTCTGAAGAAAGTGAAGTGGAGTGAGTACAAGAAGTACCTTCATGTTTGCCTTTTTAGAGCGTGTACATACCGTGCATGTACATTATACAAGGCCCCTCCGTTTTCATACATATCTGTATATGCCCAGACAATAACCATGTAACGTAACATTGCTGCCGTAGTTGAGGACTATAATTTTGAAACATAACAGAAGTGGTGGTGGTTGTGTGGACCCTTTTCCTTGAGCTCGTTTTTTATCATCCAAGTTTACATTAACGCTGAGAAAGAATTTATGATACAAACCAACAACCCCGAAATAAATGGAGAAATTATTAACAGAGTCGAGCAGGCGAGTTAGTTGTATATACATATAAAATGTGGTAGCAGTACGCACTTACAAGTTGTACAAATATTCAGGATTAAGAAAATATAGAGTTCCGTTCAGTGAAATAAAGAAAGTGAATGAAGGGTTGCTCCTTAAATAGTAAGTGCTGAGCTGGGGAGAATTTCGTTTATTTGTTTGGACTTCGATTGCATGGCAAACACTGTAGGAATTTAGCACCAAAAGCGGTGAGTGAGTGGCTTTGGACGCTAAAATAAGAATTCATTTCCTGAACAAGCGAATGCATGAGAACTCGTGAATTAGTAAAATCCCTTAAATGGGCCTGATCAGATTTTTAATCTCGATAAGATTAAAATAAAAAGTGGTAAAGTTCAAAGTGGAAATTAACATAGCTCCAATATAATAAATAGCGCACGAAATAATTCCCTCATGTAGCAGCCGGACCCAAGACTGTATACTTTCATGAATTACATTGTCAGAATTTACACAACGAGAAAGGACCAGACTGAGCAAATTGCGTACCCGTCCGAAATGAGGTAAAATTCAGAACAAAACTATTTACGTTTGTATATACAAGTATATATTCAAATTAATTTTGGATAGTTATTAAACTTGCAGGTATTTCAAATTATTTTCTGGCTTAACATAAATCCCACGCTGGTGGATGGCCTTCAACAACAACGGCACCCAAGGAGGTCCTTCTTATTCTGCGGCAACAGTCAACAGCATGGAAGAAACAACTTCCTCTCAAAACGGTAACTGGCCATTTTCTGTCCGCTACACAGCTTCACCTTATCGAAAAGCACAGTCAGGGAAGATTGGTCAAGTCTCACAATCTGGACACAACAACCATCAGGGAGGCCATGGTCACTTTGACCCTAATCCGCTCCCAGGAGGGGGCGGATTTCAACCTCATACATCGAATATGAACTTAGTCAACCCCCATGCACACCTAGTTTTTCACCACCAACATCATAATTCACAGCAACAACAAGTTCCATATCACAACCACCCAGTTACTTTGAAACAGAAGCATTTTGTTGCTGAAAATGGGGCCCCGCATCACCCAACGCACCATCATTCGTCCACTTCGGCAGCACAAAACCACTTTCTCGACCTTAAACAACACCAAGAACATCAACAGCACTTGATTCATTATCGACAACGCCAATATGACCACCATCATTACGGTCTGCCCCTCAATCTAAATGTAGCCGCACTTCCGCCAGAAGTATTGATTCAAGCGTCGCAGGCCACCTTGAACAAGACGATGGACATTGAACTGCAGCAGCAGCGATTTGAAAACTTTCAGAATTTTCAAAACTTGGAATGCCTACAACAACACATTCATCTACAGCAAACTAATTGCCATAATGGTCATAATTCCGAAAAGGGAGAATTAATGAGCAATTGTTATAGAATTGGTCCAGAAAATCATCACTTTAGGATGCGGTATCCACCAGTAAATCCAAGAAACCGGGTTCTTAAACTCAGTGGAAATTGTAGCAGTTTAGAACAGGTATTTAACGCAGTTACAAATTTTACCTTTTGCCATTTATGAATCATCATCACACTTGAACCAACTTTGCTTAAATATGTCTAGACTGCTGGAGGTATAAGAATCCTCAGCGCATTTTTTGTTGCAAACGCTGCTGCAGACTTGACCAGATAAATAATCCCCTGATTTGCAGATTGTATTTGTCCCCTGTTGTTACACATACATACCGCATGCACGTACGAATATGCATTATCTTTCTAAACTTTGTTGTAGAGGATTACTGCGAACGAAGCAAAGAGATGCACACACACACATTTAATGGTGCAATGTATTCTACAAGAAGCAATAAATAAAGATTATAAATGACTCCGGCCAATTTGGCGTGTCAGAGTTTCTCATGTTTATCATGTAAGTAAACGACTGCAAAGTAAAATAATATCTAAACTATGTCTAGTACGATTTGGATTTGTATATTTAAAATCCATTGTGCTCGTCAAATAAAGTTATTCACGGCAATAACAAGAATAATTTGAAGGTCATTTGAGAGTTGTGACTTAAAGATCAATAAATAGAGTTTTTTGTATATTTATAAAATTGAGTTGAAATTATAGCAAAAGAAAGCAATTTTAGGATATTGCTAACAAAAAGTTTCATGATATAATTTCATAACATGTGAATAAAATTCGGCATTACAATGCATACAAACAAGAAAACTAACAACTTAGCTAAAGCCCTCAAATATAAAGTGACCGTGTCATGAGCAAAAAAAATACGACAAAAAAACTCCTTTGCATGCATTTGACAAGTTAGCAAGTTATTTTGCTATTTCCCAAAAATGCTGTCCTTGCCGATCCGATGTATCGAAAATCAATTGTATTATTTAATTCATAAATTAGAATTCTGTATACGGATCGTCGTTTCCCAGTCACAGTAATACCGCAGCATTTTGAGTCCGCATATATCCTTGCGTAATGCATCGCAGCTACCACATCTATGATGTGTCACAGTTAGCACAGGTCACGCTCCAGAGCCAACAAACAAAAGTTCTCAATCCAAGCGATTGAGTGAAATATGATTGACGAGACAATCAGAACAAGTGAGTGGTGAACCTAAATAATTCTGTAAAATATTCCACTTTTGGTGCAAAGTTGCGCATGGTTCAACAAAATTTAAGTCTTGGGAGTAAGTGTTTAGTATGTTTTTTTTTATTTTGACTAAATAATTTGCTATAATTTCAGGTGGAAGGACTTGACGAAGGCTACATTGAAGAGTTAAAGCTCCAACCGCAAGACAATCATGGCAGTCCACATCATTCAACGGCTGGATTTCCTCAACATCAGCAAAACTTTCTACTGCAGCACAATCAAGTACCCCATTCTCAGCCCCCAAATCCGCACCTTCCACAAGTTGACCCCTACTCGTACGCATACGACTCCCAAGCACATGTAATTAAAGAGGACTTGAGTGTTTGTTCTGCATCTGTAAATTCCTACCTCAACAAGAAGGCTGCAAATCAGCAACTTCAGCAGCATCTTCAGCAATCTGGTTATCATCCCCCATCACCTGAAGCATTTTTTCCTTATGTACAGCACACTCCGTCACTTATACCCCACCCACGAAGTAGGTCCAACCATTCCCACCGCTCTACGACTGGGGAAGAAGACGGCTTGGAGAATGAGTACGAAGAAATTTGTGATGTGCAAAAATACATGAACATTATCCCAAGTGCAGAATTTGGTGGTGAAATTGGCAGTAGCCTTGAATTTAATCAGCCAAGTGTAGAAGATACCACTCCGTCTACTGACATCCTCATCAATAATAAGTCACATAATGATGATAACCCCGTTGCAGCTGGAGACAGTTGTCAACCGAAAGTAGAAGGTGGTCATTCCAAGCAAGCCAGTGAATCATCGCTTACTTCGCCTCTCAAAAACTTAGTGGTCGTGGGCCCCTTGCCTCCGAAGCATTTCAAAAGTTTTTCCACCTCCACTGATGACATTCTTGCCGAAGTGGTTCAAGTTCAGAAAAAACATGATCGGGTGCTGGACCAATTAAATTTGGAAGTGGAAAATCTACTTTTGAACAGTTCTAATGCCGAGTTTACGCATTTCGAGGATAAAGATGAAGCAGGATGCGATCTGCAAGAGGTAGGGAATCACAGCATTGATGGATCTGGGAGCCCTTACTCAACTCTAATCGTTACGAAAGACGCTCCTCCGTCGACTATAAACTCGATTAATGGGTCACTGCCCTTTAGGTAATAAATCATCGTACATATTTATCTACAAAAATCTACATAAAACCTCCATAAGCACGTTGTACTAAAAAATATATATTTCTGTGAATAGATCGGCACATTCGTCCTCAGCTATCAATCAACAGTTTGGAACAGTCAATGCGTTTGGCACTTTTAGTCGGAAGAACAAGCAGGCGTGCGGAAATTGGAGCAGTGGTGTCAATTGTGAAAAGCTGATTATGAATGAAATGAAAGATTGTTGTAACAGCGTTGCTGCTGAAACGACTTCAAAGACCAAAGTGAAAATGAACGGAAAGTGCAAAGACGCGCAGAACAGAGATGGTTCGGAGGAGATGTGTTGTGGGGATTGCGGAAATAGAGGAGGGTCGAAACTGAAGGGAAAGTATCAGAGGTCCATGTCTCTCATTCCCAATTGGAAGATCAGAGATCACCTCATGCGACTCCCGTTCCTGAGAAGCAACAGTCATCAAGGTACCAAAATTATACATGTTTATCATTTCACACGATTCAGTGCACGTGATTACCTCATGTGAGAAAATCTGGGTGAAGCGGTTATGTATGGTGGTTACCAGTAATTGCAAAACCAGCGTCATCACATTAAACATAGTGCTAACCACATCTAATATTTTTGCACATTTGATACGGAGATGTGATAGCTCGCTTGGTTTCGTAGACATGCTGTCCCCGATATATATTTACAATTTTACTTATTTCACACTTTTGTATTTAACGAGTGGAATGTATGACCACCAGAAATTATTATTTATTATGAGATTAATTGGTGTCAAATGCTTTCAGTCACCCTAAATTTATGGCAGGCTTAATGTTGGAGAAGAAAATTTGGTCGCAATCAAAACTTTTTAATTACGTTGTGAGTACCGAGTAATGAGATCACGAAAACAGACCTTGATTGTACTTTAATGTTGGCAGTGTGAGTTTTCTAATGGTTGACTTTCTTGTGACATTTAATTATATTTAATTATGCTTCCCATGATAATTAGTTCATTGACTTGATGAACGAAAATATAGATATTTCTCTGGGTATAAATTAGGCTTTTGTTCGCATGATTGGATGATGCAATATTGCCAATAACTTTACAATTGACAGTTAAGCTGGAAGTACTAAAATATTGTGAATAGTGTTTCAATCGACACACCAAACATGTTTAAATCTATTCATAAATAACGAGATGTTTTCTAGTTCTTCAATCGTTACCCAACCCAGTTTCACACTTGTTGCATTCTGATCTTCCAAAAGCAAGAATGGGTAACGATTTGTTTCTATTGTGTATTCATGTCAGCTTCAAACATTTTCCAGGCAACGTCACGACAAGGTAAACCTTAATAACCCAGGTAAAAGTACAATGTCAGGAGTCCTAGGTATTAAAAACGTGTGAGGATTAAAAACGTAGGAACTTCAATTGAGAAAGTATCCAGTTTCTCTCAAAAGTCATGCAGTTGAGTCAGTAATAATTAATCATTACAAGTAGCCAGTAAATAATCCATACGTATTTGTACTTTGACGTGTAAGACTGTAAGATACACCTTAACTGCTGACATTTGAATTCGGCTTTTCAAACATAATCACTTCAGTGAATCATTTTTGCAGTATTTTATTTGTCAACTACGACCAAACCTTTTCTCCTCGGTATTTTGCCACACAGTTTCATGCATATGTACATAAGTATTAGGTAGAAAATATTTACAAGTCTAAAAATAGGTTGATCAGCATGGGCAATCACACCTTCCCTTCCCTTACACAACAACAACAAAGAAGTAATTAACTACTCGCACAATAAGATGTTATCTCCATCACTAATCATGCTTATAATCTGACAATATTGGCTTTGCAGACATAAATCGGCGTAATCGTTTGGTTCGGCATGGGTATTGATTAGTGTAGTAGCCAAGCTGCGTTTATAGACTCATGTACTATTTATTTGTCTAGTAATATCCATCTTTAGGTTTATAGTCGTATATCGACATAAGATTCATAGACAGATAAAATAGGCGTTAGGTTGTTGGACAGGGGGCCAATGTCAAAAATTGCTTCGCTCCGTTGTTACTACGTCCACTACAGTGAAAGTAATAATTGCACGATCAGAGTATTTCAGTACATTTTACGATTTTGTTTATATCCGTGACTTTGAGCCCATTCAAAATATGTCTGACGATAATTTCTGAAGTACGTTACAAATAATTTTGATACATCGGTCGGATGCCAATGTCGCCCAATATTCTTGTGATGCATATTTGCTTGTAGGTCGTTGAGTCTGGTTTAACCGTTTACAAAATTTGGGATCAAATACATATCTTTGATGCGTCGTGTAAAAGGAAATGTCAATCTCACTTTGTTATTATTAGTGTCGTTTACGTATCGTTGGTGGATACATGTAAAGTCAACCAGTTCGATATCCTTTTAGGTTAGGGGATGAAATAATGAATGATGATGCATTGCTAATGACTGCTTAAAATGCTAAATACGTAGCTGGGAGAAATTTTCCTTAAGGACACGTATGATCTATAATTAGGTTGACCCTGCATAAGTTGTGAGAACCCTTGACTTTCATTTGTATCGAGAAAGCATTTATGTACATATGTAAAGAGTCGAGATACGTATGTAGACCTACACTGACTAAACCGTACGCATATCGTCATATGAAATTATTCGCTATTTGTTGACAAAGATAAACCGGAAGGGCTGTTCGGGTGTAACAACAAGGCAAGTTCGGTGACACTTTCGTTTGTACCAACTGGCAAAACTAATTAGCATAATATTTCATATGGTGTTGTACATCCGCGTTATACCAGCAACGCTTATGTATATCTACATACGCGATTATATGTACATACTACATGTACATATGTGCACGTACGATACTCTTCTGCCAAACTTCTGCCACACACACAGCATTTCCTGAGACGTCCATATTCGACAATTTATTGTGATCTGCTCCGTTGCACTCACAAGTCAGTCCGTATGTATGCAATGGAATGGAGGTGTCATTATCATTGGAGGAGATGAAGTGGAGTCGAATATGGCGTCGTTTGAATTGAATAGAAGAAGTTGAGGGTGGATTAGTTTTTTATGATTTAGTTTTTTGCGTACTTGAGCTGCAATAACGACAACACTGATCCAGTGACTTTTTCAACTCCAGCTCCGGCCATCATCATCATCATCTCTTCTTGAAAGCGTTTATGTACCTCCTCTTGCATCACCAGCAATACAACCGCTTCGTGACTCTACAAATCCTGGTCTCTTTTTCCTCTCCTTCCTCTGAACAGCATGGCCTTTCTTTTCTGGTCTCAGACTTATTTCAGTCAGTCGGTTGGGGCGGACAAAGAAATTATAAATCTTCTTGAAATCTCTCTCTCGCCATGAGGAGGCAGATGAGGAATGGAACAAGATGCGTCGCGACGTGAGCAAACAGTAGAATGTCTTCTTCCTATTGAATTTCATGTTCTTTTCTCGAATCAGAATACGAAATGGAAGTGAAGAAGTCCGTACAAATAAAACTTACTCGAGTGCGGTGAAGAGTGAATTGTCTCCTCATTTTGTCTGTATTTACTTTGGAGTTAAAAAGGCATATATTTTATTATGAAAGGGGTGGACAACTTCGGAGGAGGTTTTATCACGATTTTGCACTAAAGTTTAAAGCTTTGCACCGATTTATGTATTTTGAAAAAATTTTGAAAAAAAGACCTTACTTATGCGATAAGACACGATCATCTAGTACATTTTATAACTACAACAAAGTGTTCATATACCAGAAATTCAATTATTTGAATTTGCTGGTAAATATTACCCCGACCTCATAATGATTAAGCTTAATTAAAGAAATAAAGCGACATTGAACGCGTTACTGGAAAACTAACTATAGCCAGACTTCTGTACTTCATCATCCAGTTCCATTTTTACCATCACAATTCATTCATTAAGTTGAAGGCCTATTTCCTCAATTTCCACATGTTGTCCATCTTGTATTTTACTTGAGGAGAGATGAATCATCTGCTCCCATGCTCCCCAACGTGCTACACACCCTTCACTATGTACATGCATCTATACATACATACATGATTAGATGATATAAAATAATGTATACTTCCAGCAAAGAAATTCAAATCCATCCAAATGTCCTCTCATTCTCTATTACGCATGTATGTACATATGCCCTTTGTCTTTTGCCAAGTATTAGCTCCACTTTGTTCTTAACAACAATAAACCGCATTTCGGCGTTGGTTTCTGTTTATGATGTGGTTAATGCAACATCATTAAGTATTTGATGTAACACGAATGAATGGTGTACAGGTAGACGTTTTTGCTGGTGCTTCTGTCTTACACAAGGCCTTCGAATCGTCCCAAAGTTTTAGAACAAGGCATGAAAGTAAAACCACCCTTAAAAAATGCATGCTCCAAAAGTTTATTGTCTTCGCATTAGTCCGTACAGCCAACTTCCCTTACTTTTATTATTATCCCTTCTCTGGCTCTTCGCCATCATCCCTTATTTACTCCCACGACTGGAACAACTGCTGCATAATGTGTGTAGGTCTGTTTCTTGTGCTTACCATTAAGTCGCTATGTACTCATAGCACATATATGATCATCGTATGCTGGGGTTAACTTTATTGTTAAGTTTTATATGCACTGAGGAGAAGGAATTGTACGTAACAGCAACCCTCTTTCGACGGATGGATGTGGAGTAAAACTCGAGTGGTGTGTGGTACTCGTAGTCAGCGTATTAGTGTAAAATTTCCCTTTCATCAGTCTCAACTGAATCTCGCTTGTTCTTTAATATTAAGCATAATAACGCCATTTTTATTTACTTGTTGTTTTCGAAAATCACTCGAAACATATTGCCGGAAACAGCTCCGCAAAAGTTGTTTATTTTGCATTCCAACCGGAATTGAAAAGCCGAAATTCCGAATGCCAACCAACCAGCCAGACAACTAAATACTAGTCATAAAAGCCAGAAACAACTTGGAAGTTGCATCCACGAGAAGACTTCAAGTTCTGCTAAACTCGACTTAATTTATTTTTTGTCCTGTCTCTGATTTGCTTGGCGGAACCGGAATTTTTTGTGCGAATTCTCGTCTTATTCACTTCCCAACTTTTATACAGCATATTTCTTCACAAAAGCTCACTGACAGAGTCAGTGTCGAACTGTGAAGGTGGAAGCATTTTTTCATGACTGGCGCACTCGCCTGCCAAATTTCTGCTAACAAACTCTCTCAACGAACGTTTTACAACTTTTACATATTTATACGTTTTTCCTCAGTGGAGTGGCCGTTGTTTCAAGTTGGAATTCTAAAATGTTTGCAGTGACGGCGGAAGTATCGTTTTCTGTTCCTAAATTAAAGTGAAAAAATTCAAAGGGATACATTAAGTGACATCGAAATCCTGGGCTTGTACTTTTCAGTTTCTTCGGAAATCCGATAAAGCTAAAAAATGAAAGTGTCAGACAAACTGGGATGCATATGTGCTTATGTATAAGTACATATGCACGTAGGTAGCCAATACGCTCAATCGTTTAATTGAAACTGGCGTCTCTCCCAATTTAAGCTTGTTCCGTTGAATAGCTTGTGTTACAGTGAACTTCCATATTATTCCAGACTCCAAACTATGGACGAGTAGAGCCAGTTCACCAAAAATTTACAACCAGTCAACAACTTTTGACCAAGTTGAACTATTGCACCGTTGTGAGCTGGATCAGAAACACAGGACTTGATGACGATAAACATGGTGACATTATTATTTAGAACAGATGGATGGGTTTGTTGAACTAGCAGTAAAGAATTAATTACTGACTGGTCTGGAGATTAATTGAAATCATGAGCCCGGAATTATCGGAATAATTTAACCAACACAGGCTCAGCGGGCTCCAGCAAGGGTTCGTACTTTCGATTAGGAATAAAAGTGAAGTGATTTTAACTGATTGAAGGTGAAGAGGCGATGCAGAAATGAATTCTCTTGAAGATCAAATCATTTTGACGCACTGTAAGTCTAAGTCATTCAACTTGAATTGATTAATTGTAAAGACTCGACAAGTGTACGTACACACCTGCTTTATGCATATTTGATAAAATCAGCAACAATTGATGACGATGACGAGACGAGATGAGTAAAAGTGTTATAAAACTAGGAGGTGAACCCAGCGCGTATATATTTTTTTATACTTTTAACAGTTAGGCTGTAGGTTGGACATGATTTAGGAGTTGCCGAATATTGTATGAAGGTGTATGCAATTCAGATTTTTCCCTCTGCCCGATTGATTGGAATGGGTTTCGGTCAAGTGTTGAGTTCGGATAATGTTGGCTCAAAGTTCTAGCATGAACATGATGCAAAATTATAACCGGAAAAAGTTTGCATAAGAACTAGGTTATAATGAAAGCTGTATTCTGGGACAAACATGTCGTTGAATAAGCAAAGACCAATAGGTCATTCTCGTGGAGGAAACTGTAATCGCGAGACGATAGAAATCATCAAAAGCTGTTATTTTTGCATGTATGGATACAACTACATACATTCAACATTTGTGTGTATATATTTGCAAGCAGTAGTATAAAAATGATCTCTTTTTTTAAGAAACGCGTTTTCATTATTGCCATTCACCTGAGTGAATGTAGAAATACGCTGTTTTTATGAACGCTGTCGTACTAATTGCAGTCTGAGTCATCTGCATATAAGATTAGAATATAAAATCATGACCAAATTACTAGGAACGCTGCTTGCACAGTAAGCTTTTTTTATCTATCTATTTATGTCTGTACATATAGAAATACATGTAAACATACAAACTGTTTTACATTTGATTACACAAACCAGGAATGCTCCATTTCAGGCTACTACTTATTTATTGTAAGGACGACCGGGTTATGCTCATTTATTACATGGCAGCATCTCAAATATATTGGAAATTATTTAAACGGTTGGTCCTCATTATTAGTCATTAAACGCTATCATCTTGCCGTAAATACTTTGTATGTACGTATACATCTACAAATCCAACCTCATGAAGTTCACTCGTGTTGTTTTGTTTTTCTTGTGTGTGTACAGTGTACTGTTTCTTCCTTAAAAAATATTCATCAAACTTGGGCCAGGAGCATGCAAGTTGGTTGCATTATTATAACAATCCTGCTTTTGATTGGAAGAGAGGGGATGAATAGTCCAGGAAAATCAAGCAGTTTGCTTCCCTCACCATTTACCAGTGGTAAATTACCACCATATGCACATGATCCTCCTACATTTAATTCCTTCTATGCCAAGTACCACGATGCTACGTCGTACCAGAGCTACCACAGAAAGTGAAGGATTTGTTTGTAGAGTATGAATGCATTCATCTGCATGATTATTGTTAGTTACTTGCTTCATCGTCTTGTGAAACGAGTCATCGCTTGATCGACTCCCATATTGTGTTTCTGCAGTTGCTCATCTACGGCTCTAAATATCTCAACCTCTCATTTCTCACAATCTCAGACGCGTCTCAGACGGAGTTTTACATTTTGGTGTCATCATTTATAAAACAAAAACAAGAATGAGCATTCTAAAAATCCTAATCAGACACTCACACATGTGCACACAGTGAATTTTATTTCAGAATCAGAAATTTATGATCAAAGGATTTCTTTGCTAGAGTAAGTATTTTACGCTGTTTATGAGAAATGATTTTGTTTTTGGTCCGACGGTGAATACTACAAACTCTTTACGAGGTTCTCTTAAAGTGCTAAGTATTAAATGTCCTGAGAAAAATTGTTATTGTGGCAACGCCATATGAAACATATATATGCATCAAAAGTACGTGGTATAATTGGAATTTGAGGAGAAATAACAAAATACCAAAGACGTTGCACATTTTACGATGCAGTTTTATGTGAGAATTTTAAACTGCGTGTTATCCATGTTTTCAAAAAATTAAAGCGTTGGTGTGCAGAGTTCATGGGTTTATTTGTTCACGTAGTAAACGTTTTCTTCACATTGTTCCTTGAACTATTCCGATATAATATTGCAATAAAATAATGCATCATCTACGGATTCAACTTTGTGGTTCTTTCATCGTGCATGCTGGGCGGTGGTGGTGCTGATGACATCATCCACTTATTTAGACTTTGTGTGAGAAAATTGCACTGCATAGTGTTCAATGAATACTGAATCGGACGTAGTCTTACAATCGTAAATATTATACTTGTTAGCCTTTAGTTGGCTGCGATGATAACGCTAAACTTTGGTGGCCTAAAAGGAAATTGATCTTGGCATTCCCTTCCCCTCTCATCGGCATTTTGCTTTGAACTTTGATCCAGTTTAACCATGCTCATTGAAATTTTTTATGCGTACTTATGTACAACTACACGGAACACTGCATACATAAATAAATATGTCGCTGGACTCAAAAACTCGTCTTTACTCTCCATTTAGTCCATGTTTTGTTCAATACAGCAAATTTATATGTCAAGTGACAAACCGCGTTGTACGATTATTTCCCATTTTTGATGGTGCAGTGCATTATTTTTAGTTTATGCCAATACGTATTATTAGCAAGTCAACTTGTGAGCGTAGAAGTATGAAATTGGAGAACAGTTAACAGAAACCCGATTCGAATTTAATGCCACAGTCAACATACTCTCGGCATTTAAGCTAAAGATTAAATATTCAGGATAATCAACGACATGCATTAATTCAGAATGGCACTCCTACGTGTTACTGCTATGAAGTAGAAAGTATGTGATCCGAATAGGCCACCCAGTTTGATAGTTCATGTAGCTTCAAGAATTGGTCTCCAGTTTTCCTGCATTTACCTTCTAGCCTTCAAGCTGTTATCTGTTTAAATATGCCCATTTCCTATTGTAAACACGTTGGAGTTACACAAGCAGTTATCTCTCTTCCACGGAAAGATAAAGTTTGGAACGTGGGATTTGATGAGACCTGAAAATGCACGAGCAATGATATGAAAAAACTAAAAACATTTAAACCAGTCTGGACAGCCTAATTAATTTTGCTCGATGATTGCAACCAGTTAAGTAATTTTTTCTCATGAAAGAAAGGAAATGCAGAGGAAGCATTTTTTGTAATACTTCTTAATGAAAGTGACAGTTTTAATTGTCACTTGTTCATTGTTAACATTTATTCAGCTTACCAGCTCTCATTAACTGCAAACTTGCGCACATATAAACCTGGCTTAAATCCTGATTGTTCATGTTCATACGAATGAATTCTCTATTATCCCGTGCATGAAATGAAGTGGGTTTAATAAATTTAACACAAATTTCCTTCTTTCGCATTCATTATGCGTGAATTTTCCAAAACCGCAATTTCCATCCTGAAGTTCCACAACAGCATGCATCCATTTCATAAATAAATAAACAACCCAAAACCATAAATTTTTAACATGCAAGTGTGCGTATCCTCCCGTATACGTACTCGACTAAATATTGTATTTATATCCAACCGATTAATATGATAAGGAGCAGCAAGCTTTATATAACTCTGAAAATCAGCTCCTTTAAATTTTCCCCTCTTGTTCACCATTTGCAGACAAAGTGAAGAAGAGCGAGGGATTGTTGCCCCACTCGCACTCCATTTCCGGTGGCGACTTTCCATCCCTCCAGCAGCAGCAGCAGCAGGCCAACAATAAGCACGCCAACAACCAGCACTCGAATAAGTGCAGCATGAACTCTGCCGTGGTCACCGAACAGCAAACCTCCGCTCCTACCCCTCTCAAGAACAGGGCTTCCTCCGTCGACGAGTTGAGATCAACAGGTGCGTCACCTCACTGATTTTACATGCTCATATAAATACACGCTATGTGTACATTGCTAAACTGAACATACAAGATGCACCCGGCTACCCGTCCGGAAACTTTTAATTGCAAGCTTGATATTACCGTCTTTTTTGACGTGTATAAAGAATAGTCCGCTCATTTTCGGTCAATTTTAGTTGTCAATTAATATCTGCAACCCAATTGTAGGCAATGTGCTAAATAAAAAAATATCTCCGCTTCTCAAAATGCTCTCTTAAGTAATAAATGTGTAATAAATTTTCGACAGCCACGAGACGAAAAGGAGTGGTAGTAGCTTCACGGTTGTATGTATGTGCATATTAAGCACAACGTTTACGTTGGCCTGGGTCATTCATTCCACTCGATGATAGATACTCGTTATGATAATTTGGTATAAAGTTGAGATGTATAATACTTATTTAAATCTGTAGGGTTTTATAATGCATTACGTACAGCAACATATCATGCAGCATAATAAGTCTATAGTAATTTGTGTGGCAGTATTTTATGTGTGGTGAATGTGTTTCATGGCCAAATCTCAATTCTTCTGTTATTGGACGGACGGCTAGCGAGACTGGCCAAACCATCATCATTATCACTATGCGGCAGCGTTGTCGTCGCCATCCTGCTAAATTCGCAAGCAGTGTAGTTTATGTCCATCTGCAGAATGGTTGTCGATAGGTAGTGTTTTACAAGGGTAAGTTGTACAAGCATGGTTTTAGTCAGTTCGTAGTGGCAGCGCTAATTTGTACAAACTTTAGATAAAGTTGCTTGCTAAAACTAAAACTGAATTGAAGGTTGCAGATTAGTATTTTAATGACGTTGTGCAAGTTCTACAGTGCTGATGATGTTAATGGATAAGCAAAAGCAAAGTGTGCACTAGTAATTTAGCGAGTTATTCAATTAATTATGGAATATTAATTATCATTGGTGTATTAGGAAAGGAGAAACAAGGTACCAAACAAAAATACAAGCTTTATTTATACCATCGTGACTTATGTATATGTTAGACTTCTTTTGTCAGTGCATGTGACAAGCGTCTAACTGTTATCAACTACAATATCGTATTTTTTTTAAATTCCAGGAGAGGAACACTGGTATTCTGCCGATTCGGACACGGAACTCGACAGTCTCACAGCAATTGCTCCTCTACCACCAGCCCATTCCCCTCCAAATGACCAAACCACACCCACCTTCAACCTGAGTGATAATAATGCCAACAATCCAAATGTTACCCCCGTGAGTGTAAATGTGAACTCTGTGAGTGTGAACCTCCACAATCTCAACGGTGTGAACCAGGACCAGGAGAAAGTGAACTTGAATTTAAACTACCACTTGAAAGGAAAAACTTTTCCCTTGGTGCAAAGTGTTGGGAATATTTATTCAAATTGTGGTAACAGTGACTGCAATGGGTCCAGAATGGATGTCGCTACCATTGGGTAAGTGCATGACAAATTATTATTTTCTCAATTTCTCATCAGCACACCAGTAAATATCCGGCGTGGTTCTTCTCAAAACAGAATTTTCTATAGAATCATGATCATAATGGAGGCATCTCAAAACAATATTTGAGTGTAGTTATAGGAGTACATATGTAAGTAGGAGATGATTGCCTTGACTGCTGTGGTACAAGTGTTGCACGAGTGTTTTAGCTGGAGAATACTTAATGATAATTTGGCCTTGGATTTTTTGAGGCATTTTTCTTCATGGAAGTTTGAAGTTTTTTGTTGGTGAATTTTAACATGAGCTTTGACTACACACATACTGCTGGCAAATGTTGGGATGAGAATATCGGATCGTGAGGAGAGTGAATGAGAGTTGAATCACAATCGCATACATAATATGTACACTTATCATTGAATCTCATCATCATCTATCATCCATTTCGAGTCATTTGAATCCACAGACAACCCACGCTGGCAGCCGAGTGCATTATGCAATTAAGGCGAAAGGTGCATGCATACAATAAAAGAGACTACATAAGACAACAGGCTGTACATTTTGGAGCACGTGAGAATAATTTGCATTTACAAAACACACTTAAAATGTCGCTTTAGTTTTAACCTTAGCTGATCAAGTTTAGCATTAAACTCGAGTTGATTTTGTATTGGGTCGTAAAATTCATGGACAAATTTAGATACATTGTAAATACAGAAAAGTAAATTTTAGTGGTATGCGCTCATTGTCACAGGATTCGTAATGTTGCCAAATGTCTGCTAACGACGTCTGGAATACAATGAAATGAGGGTTGAAAGGATAATCTCCCTTTTTGTCTTCATTTTAGATAGTTTTTAATTTAGGTACGCGCCGTATGTTGCCGAAAGATGATAGTAACACACTCAAAATGCATGCAACTACTTACATAGCTCGTGTTTTTACACGGCCATTACTGCTTCTGTGTCCAATATTTTTGGTAACTCTCCGTCTCAAAGGTGGCCTTTTGGTAGTTATATAAAGCATAAACGAGTAGTTTTTTGGGTAGGAATCAAAGGGATGAACACGAGGGTGAAATAGCTCTCGGGTATTTCCTTTGTACAACCAATTGAATGAGTGAATGAGTCACTTTTTCAAGTCGAGTTGTACATATCTATGCATGCTCTCCTGGTTCATGCTTTATGCGGTATAATCTGCTTTTAATTGTTAGGAATTGATTTGTAAATTCATAATAAATCCTGATGGTCCAACTAATTCCGACTTGTTTAATTGGAGAATTGAAATTGATGACAGCGATTATTGAGCACATTTAGTTCTCACGGTATCCAATTAGTTGTCAAGAATGTGTGAGAATGTCTTAAATGCCGTAAATCAGCAAAAGGAACACCTCACTTCTGACTAGATTGTAATTAAAGAGAGGATTTGTCAGCTGATCTGAATGTGAATAAGACTAAGGACAAGTATTTTAGGGTCTGCATATTATTATGTAGTTATCACTTACTGTCTCGTTTTTCAGCACGTTATATGTATGCACAAACGCATAAACTTTCAGCTGCACAGTATTTCAATATTGTCACCTAGCCATATCATGTGTGCAAAGTCTAGCAAATAATTGTGAGATGATTAAATCTACACCATGTTTAATTACGCTGTATTAAACAAATATCACAAGCTGTTATCAAATAAGTCGCAGCTAAGATTCTCATGCTTTCAGTGACAAAAAAGGTCATCTGAGTTACATAACAATTAACAGATATCCACTTTCTTAATCCATTTCCTATGTTGCATTTTAGTTTGCATAGGAAAGACAAGCATTTTATTTTTTGCTTTATTGCTCTGATCCGTCATTGTTACATAATCTGGTTTGTCACAACTTTGTCCAATGTATGTTGAGCTTTACTTTGTGCCATTGTTAAACATATCCAAGCTAAAACAGTAATAAAATGCAACATTATTTATGTTATATGACATTCACTATGAACATGAACTCTTACTTCTGTAGTTAAATGTAACATGATATTTATTCCTCTATTTCTTCACATAATTAATGTAAACAGTATGATTTGAACCTGACAACTTTGATATTTTATTCGTTTATTCGACCCCAATAAAACCGATGACAAGACAAAACAATGAGATGATAAGTAACATGTATGCATAAGTATTGTAGAAATATTTGGTAATCTAATTTTCGGGTCAAAACTTGCCTTTAGCAATTGCGCATCTGGAAAGATAAATATTTTTAAACATAAACATAGTTCTCCACGCAGTTCCCATTCGCCATTCTATTTTATACTCAAGCCTCTTATCTCATGTCAAATAACAATATTGAAACAAAACATTTAATATTATGTCATTGTCATTACAGCTGACGTTTTTATTATCCACTCCACCCGTGCTTAAAATTATGCAAATTTGTCAATTGTCGACTTTGAGGTTGGTTTAAGTCATAGCTAGTGGGTGTCATAGTGGGTGCAAGTGCTTGTGCGATTTCAATGCAGCAATGAAGCGAACTTCGTACCTAATCATAAGTAAATAAATGTTTCGTTTTAAGTGTCTTAACTTGCAAGGAACAACTCGTTAACAGTTTGCACACATTAATCTATGCAAACGGTCTCGCGTGTCTCCCACTTTGGAGATTTTGAAATTATAATTTTCTGTAATGGCACAGTTATGGTGCATCTCATCCAGTCATTGAATGAGTGGATTTGTTTAATTGATTTTTAAAATATCTCAAGGCGTATGAATTATATTGTATTCATGGGGCAGAAACTTTTGTTCCGTCATTCGTCATCCGGAAAGCAACATATTTCAATACAACAATATTGAATCTGAAGAGTTAAGTATGTATACTCGAGTACATATATTTATGAGTAATTTAACTACGTATGATGAGAAGAGAATTATGTATGTACTGGGCATTGTGGAGGTCGACGATGTTTCTGTTTTTCTTCAACTTTTATTTGCTCAGAGATTAGACAAACAAACAGGGATTGAATTAAAATTGGATTATACATGTAGCCTTCCAACTACTCTCCACAAGAACGCATATAATAAGTCAGCGGATATTTATAACAACTCTGCAGGCAGATAACTTCATATACAAGAAAGAACATGTTCCACATGCTATTCTTCGTACGTGCATATTTCATAACAATTTTAGTTACTGCCAGATGGAGGGATTTTAAATAACTCTAAAGTTATACTTAACGAGATAAGAAGTGTGCAACAAACGCGTAATAAATTAGTTTCAATTAGCAAATACATTAGAACCGTCGTATCAACATCCTAGGTTGATTAATTCTACAAATGTGCATTATTTAGGTGTATGTGGTAGGTGACGTTTAGCGAGATTATGCATATAACACTACACTTGTTTAGTACAAGCATGCTGAAGTGGTAACATTTTGTGTATAGCAATTACAATATCAACTGATGGCACCAACTTAATAAAGTTTTCTTGAATTTTTTTTTAGAAATGGAATCTCTGATGTCCCCAAAGCCCCCAAATTTCGACGACCGGTGGTAGGTCTAAAGGACAAATGGAGAGAGTCGTGGTCCTCTTCTTCTGCAAATCCTAAAACGCTGCTCAAGTCAACGTCAATGGAGGAGGAAAATCGTCTATGGTTACGATGGTTCTCCTTACGGAAAAACTCTGCCTCGGCCAATCTGGACAATTCCTCCAATCATATGACCTCATCAAATGGGGGTCATCGCCACTCAACCCTCCCACAGCTGACGGAGGAGGACCTTAAGCGGATTTCTTTCATGGAGGACGAGGAAGGCTACTGGCCACGCAGGACGGTCCAGCCACCTTGTCTTCCTCCCCCACCTCCAGACCTTTCGGGAGACCAACTAACCCGGAGGCACATCGTTGCTGCCATTGTGCACAGTGAAAACAATTATGTGGCTGCATTGCAACGACTAGTCAACGTACTAAACAAATTAAGACTAATTAATTATTATTACTTCAATACATCAATCTAAGCCGTGTAATCCTTTTGTGTGCATAGGAATACAAGAAACCTTTGGAACACAGCCATCCGGCCATCCTAAGGTTAGTATATAAATATAAATAAATCTTTTATACCATGATTTTGTCCTGGAAAGTAAATGCAATTTTTTCCGCAGTCATTCCAAGATATCCGCAGTATTCCACCGTGTTCCTGAAATACTCCAGTGCCACTCTTTGTTTCGCATCGCAATAGGTAAGATCAGTCGATCGGCGTGATATTACCAAAAATAATTCAGCATTTGCGGATTCACAATAATATTTGTACAAAACTACCAAAACTAATAAGCTGGGAATACTTTTCAGCGGAATGTGTAAGGAAATGGGACACGGAAGAAAAAATCGGAGACGTGTTTGTCGCAAGTTTCTCCAAGAGTCTCGTCCTGGATGTTTATTGTGAGCAATTATCACGTTATTTGTTAGTTAACAATGTGCATTAATGGTTATGTATTTTATTCTGTTTAGCTGAATTCATTAACAACTTTACTTTTGCGCTGGAGACGGCTAAAGTGGAGGCGAGAAAAAAAAGGTTAGACAATAAATTATTGGCAAAGCTAAATATTTGTTTTTCAATTTAAATTTGTGGAGGTGATCTGTGTGAGATTTTAAGAGGCCGTCCGTGGTATCCAGAGAAGTGACTGACACTTTTATTTTTTGCTTTCAGTGCCTTTGCCGAATTTCTTAAAGTGAAACAAATGACATCTCATGACCGATTGAGTTTATTCGGATTAATGGTGCGACCCGTTCAAAGATTTCCACAGTTCATTCTTCTATTGCAGGTAAACAGACAATTTCATGAGCACCCATTATTGTAAATATGACTAAAACTTATGTAACCTGTATGCGAACCCCGAATCTACTGATATTTTTATATATGTACATAGGTACATTTTTGAATCCGAATGCAGTTTTTTGTGTGTGTTGAATTTAATTTCAATAACAATTTAATTTGTCTAAAATTACCAGGACTTACTGAAGAATACACCGAAAGATCACAAAGACAGAATGAGCCTTCAGTTAGCTCTTACCCAGCTAGAATCGCTGGCAGCCATGGTATGCTAGTTTTGTCTCATGTATTTTACTATTTATTGATGAAATGATTATTCGCATGTTAATTTTATTTATATTGTCCATTTATTTGTTGAAATCCGTCTACTTCTAAATACTTTATTCAGAGACTGTCAAATAATAATAATAATGAATAATAATAGCAAAAGACGGACGAGCAAAATAACTGAACAAGCCTGAAATCTTGCAAGCTAATTCAATATTAATAAATAACTCCCATCATAAATATTTTTAGCTTAACGAGAGGAAGCGGGAGAGCGAGCAGTACCAAGCTTTCAGAGAGACAATCAAGTCAATCGGTGGGGGCAAGTTTGTTCTCCTCCGATCCATCGTCGATGATCCCAATAGAATCCTCCTCCGCCAAGATTTAGTCACCCAACTAGAGTTTGACAGCTATGGTTCGACAGTGGCCAAGTCAAAGACGAGGAAATTGCTTCTGTTGAACGACATGCTTATCTGTACAACAGTCAGCGGTAAATCTAGCTACATTTTTTATATAACAAAATTGTGTATATTACTTGTGGCATTTATTTTACATTACACTTTTTGACACATGAAAGGCTCATCTGCCGACGGTCATCCTTCTACCTCACAATCAACTGCCCTCTCTCGAAAAGGGAGCTCCGAGGGTGAACCCTTCTCAAATGGAAGAAGAAAGTCAGAGAAATCCGTTTTCAAGTGGTCGTACCCTGTTCGAGATGTCGAGGTTGAAGACATCTCAATATCTCCCACCATGAGCCGTTTCGTTCAGAACAAAAATTCCAACTCGGGGAAAACCTCTGCAAGCCACACTCCCACCACGGAAGAGTCCTCAATGTCCATCACCCTGTTGGAAGAAATGCAATGTTTGATGCAGGTAAATGGTTAAGCATGATAAGTTTAATTGATAAGATAGATTAGATGGTGATTCTATGGTTTAAAATAATTTATGCGAGACTCAGTTGAGGTTTGGTAGATACATAAATAGTAATTGCGAAATTCATTTATGTATGCAAGCAGAAAATAATCACGTATAAATGTACAAATGCTGCATAATGGTACAATTAGAAAACAGATCATATAGTACATTAGAATATATTGAAAATGTACAATCACAACAATATTACGAAATCAATACAAATACGGTCGGTTATAAGATTTAAAAAATAATGTCCGGTTTCCCGTCCATGATGATCAAAGGTTCCAAGTTGACGTTGAGTTGCAAACCGGTCCGGATGGCGAATATCATGTCCAGCAATTCAGGATACTTGACACTGTTGAAGTGTTGGTCAATCTGATAAATAATGGGACGGATGTGATGACCATCTTTCTTCAACTTGAGCATCGAAGCGATTATGGTGGAAAGGCTTCCTAAATATTCAGCCTGGAGAGCGGTCTTATCCATCTCTGCAGTGTCATCCAGAATTTCTTGGAACAATGGGACAATCGTGTGTGCCAACCCCGTCAGAGCCGTCTTCTGTTTCCGGTGGGATTTACTCCCAAATCCAACCACCACAATCGAGTTTGATGTGCTAACGCCGTCGTAAATTCCTCCTTCTTTACCATGCCCTTGGTAGCTGTAAGGCAGGGTCTTGACAATTTTGTCTTCTGGTGGGAAATAGTGGGTCGGACGGAAGTTGTAGTCGAGAGGCAGAGGAGAAGTGGAGAACGTCAACCCATTCTTGTTGACAAACTGTAGCACCTCGTCCCAGAACTGAGAATCCGCCCCCAAAAAATGAATGAATTTCATCTGCAGAATTACTCGATCCGTTTCTGTACTGGCCAAATTATGGAAATGGACCAAAAGTGACGTCCCGACCTAAGCAATTACAAATTATTCACAATTCACATAACATGTGAATGTGTTGATAGTAAATTAAGCGAGTTTATAAATAATGATTTAACTTACACTAATTACATTGTAACGTCGTGTTGCTTGTGTGGTTGTCATTGGGAGGGACTGGTCAATCTCGAACCAAAAAGGGACAATATTCTCCCAGGTTTCCGGATGCTCCTCTTTCATCACATTCACTCTGTCGGTCATATACTTATCCAAAGTAGGATAATTTGTACGGATGGATGGGTTCCTCACGTACTCGTTAATGTCCTCCTCTGTATAGGTGGTCATTTTCAGAGTTGGGCAGAATACTAGGATATTGGGATTGGTGTAATTTTTCACATCCCTGAGTAACATGACCTCTTCAGTCTTCTTGGAGTGGGGTCTGCAATATCCAACGACTCTATCCTGAAATACATAATACGTACATAATGACACATTTAAGTAATTATCTACATAACATTATCACAAGTACAAGATATTTAACTTACTACTGAAAGGGACCAGCAAGATTTAACGGTGCAGATTTTATGGACAGATCCCCCTCCTGTTTTCGTGCCCCAGTTGAACTGTTGCCCTGCAACCCTTACTTTGAAGTAGACATTGGTGCCTTTGAACCACCTCACCATTACGTCCTGACCGTTGTGAAGAATTCTGGTGACCGTTCCATCGCTCCGTTGCAAACTGCAGACGTGTTTGGATGGGTCGTCGCCTATCTCCGTCATCATGGCGAGAAACTGAGGTGATGAGTCCATGAGCATATCAGTTTCACCTGGTTGCTCGCCCCAACGAAGATGTGCCTTAAAGGCTTTGAAAATGGACATGGCTACCCCCTCCGGTCTCCCAGGCCAAATCTCTTCACGCTCTGTTTAAAAATATAACATATCGAGAAAATCAGTTATATGTACATAATTAGTACATGAATAATAATAATACTGGAGGGGAAATGATAAATAGAGAAATGTATCAAATCAATTCATAAATGGTATAAATTTGACAGTAACAAAATAAATACATTTTTTTTACCTACTAAATCCAACTGAACTGGGTCATCATCACCACTGTGTAGCACGGTCACTTGGAACTTGAGTCCTTGGGGATCCTCACTTTGAAGTGCTTCTGGAACTGTGAATTCTAGCGAGCGACCATTGTATTGTAAAAAAACATGACTTTTATTTGGTGGTTGTTGTTGTGCAGTTTGTGTACTGCTCTTTCTGCCTTTCTTGCGGAGCGGAAGAGCCTCCTCGCTCGTTTTCCCCTCCATTTTTCTGGCTTTCCCGGACATGACGACAGAGTAAAAATATCGAAATCACTAGACAGTTGATCCTTCGAACTGAATAATGACTGACCTCTTCGACTGACAGAAAAGAAGTGATTATCGAACAGAGAAGGAGTCTCATATTTATGCTATTTTGTAAGGCGTCCCCACGCCACGCTCACTTCGGATGATAATTTAGTGTCCAAAAATACATTTCTTATCACTAACTTTAGATGCGTCCTTCGTTTTTTTTTCTTTTCAGGACTATGAAGTTTTGTCTCGAATATTAGGCAAGCACAGAAACATCAAAACATGACATAATTATCACCGCCATAATGTTCCTTATTGTTACAATTTGTTTTCCAAATTCTTCTAGGCAATGTTTCTACCCTCAAGTCATCGTACGACGGGCTCTCGGTTGCTTCAGTGAAGGACTTGATGCTTGAAATTCAACATCAGATTCGATGCAGAGATGAACAAATTTCATATTTCGATTCGAGCTGCCTCGTTCTCGGCATAGGTGTGAGCGGTCATAAGGAGAAAGTGGTTTTCCAGATGCAAAGTCCTCAAGCACGGTCAGCGTGGATTGAAGAGCTGAGACTGGCCCAACTTGCTCTCGACCCAAATAACAGTCCGGCTTGGGATATTCCACAAGAGAGTCCGTACCCATTGCACAAGTTGCCACTCTTTGTCAAGGCCATACCTTTAGCCAAACAACCTCATCTTACCGTTGTAAGTGACGTAAATCCATATGAGTTTTTTATGACAAAAACTAAACGTTGTGATTATTATTCATCATATAGGTTAAATGTGGCTGCTTTTTTACCCACACTTTTGTGAGCCAAACTGGTAGATCCAAAATTTTGGATTACCTGTGGACTTGCTCTACAGATGGAATCTCATCACATCTGACCGCTTTTCGGTCACAGCAGAATGTTCTGAAAGAAGTTTCATCTCTCGACCTGGTCGAAGAGAAGGTGAATGACATGCTGTTTGTGCAAGGTTATATCTGGGTGGGGACGGAGAGCAGAAAGTGAGTTCTTGTAAAATTAATGTAACCTTTTAGAAATATCTTTTTAATATCAACATTTTTTTTGTATATTTACAACTATTGTCTTGCAGAATAATGATCTATGATCCAGCAAACACAGAAAAAGGTACGTAAATGTGTATAAATACAAATAGCAGACAAATCAATGCAACAATGGTAGATATGTAGAAAACCTCGTGATAAGGAAATTCGAAATCATGAATTAAATGAACGTACCAGTGTTACAACCTTTTCCTTTTGAATTTCCTTCAAAATAATAAATATAAGTGAAATATTTTTATTTTTTAAACATTGCATTTTGGTTAACAGGTCCAATTGCTCAACAAATTTTAACTGATGCCGTGCTGAAGCTTCTACTTTACAATAACAACGTATTTGCTGCCCTTGCTGATGGTCATTTGGCAATATTTTCTCAACTAAACTTTGAATCAGAGTTGCTGGATAAATTTTGTCCGGAAATTTTACTACAACTGGGAGCTGACAAAATTGTATCTCTATTTGGATCAAGGGAGCACGTTTATGCAGCATGTGGGAGTGCCATTGTAACCGTCAATTCTACCACATTCACAGTCGAGGTAAAATTTTTCAGTTCAGTAATTTAATTCACTAAATAGTAATTACACATGCAGTGCTAAGTTTTTCCCTTTTTCAACAATGCAGAGAAGTGTGACACTAAATAATCACAATGGTCATATATCTCACATGACCTGTTCTGGAGTTGGTCTATGGATCACCACTCACGAGAGCGAAACCGTGTGTCTGTATCACCTCGAGTCATTCCAACATCTTCAAGATGTGAGCATCAGGCCTTCCGTGTATCGAACTGTACGCGATTCATTCCGAAGGTCAAAAGGTGTTTTTGTCACTTGTCTCGTAGCCCACAAAGGTAAATTGTTGATATAAAGCTTGTAGAAACAACAGGTGACCATTTTCTCACCGTATTACACAATTTGGCTTATATTTCAGGATGGCTTTGGATTGGAACAAATCTCGGTGTGATTCTCACAATCCCTCTTCCTCGATTGGAAGGGGTGCCAATAATATCCACCGGTAACGCCAACGTTTCTTATCACGGCTTCTGTGGACCCGTGACATTCTTGATGCCACTCATGAAATGCGCCGTTCCTCCCGCTCTGCTCCCAACTTCCGCTAAGAAATCTGCGGAGAAAACTTCAAAATCAGTCAGCATGAAAGACACCGACATTAACTTTGATAATCTTCAAGTTCACAACGAAATGCAGCCAGCAAACATTATTGACATGCCTCAAATTTCGAATGACAAAGTTGAAGATCAATTGCTATCATCAGAGACCAAATCTGCAGATCACGCTAGCACACCACCTCCAGAACCTCGTCTGACAAGTCCACTAACCATTGAGGTTGACGTTCCCGACAAATCTGCAAGTCCAGATGTTGGGGGCAATAATCAAGAGTCCAATAGTCCCATGTCGCCTCCAAGTACGAATGGTGTTAACCTCCGCTCCAGAAAACGCAAAGATCGGGACCGTGGATCTAATTCCAACTCGCACAACAATTCCTCCTCTAGTACATCCTCCATCGAAAACTCATCTCCATCTCCCAGCGCCATTGCACAGCCTGGAGCATCAAAAACTCTGGTCGTGCTTCGAAAAAAGAGCTCAAAAGACTCGTTAGTACAAATGCGGAACTGCAAGACTCTCCCAAGGGGTGGGCCAATACCTTCAAATTTGAGATTCAGCATTGACTCGGATGTTTACGGCCTCTACGGAAACCTCATCAATGTTAGAGGCTTGGAAGATGAAGGCCGCTTTATTGGTCAGTGATTTACTTGAACCAAACATCCAATAGTTATTTATCTATATTAAATATGTGCGATTAGTTGTCACACACATGCATAGTATTTCGCTTCGTGCACGCCGTGGTTTGATATGTCTAATGAATTCTAAATAGAGTCCGATAAATTTAGTAATCGAGAATTTAAATTAAAATATTTTTCAGACCCACTTTATGACGCTTTGAGAAGAAGTGACCCTGAACTTAATTCGCTGGATGCAAAAATCAGTACCTTGGATCGTCGCATGAAGATGAGGATGACCCGGCCTCGCTCCCTTGACTTGAGCAATTGGTAAGAAAAAATTTTAAAAAAACACGCAACAAGCGTACTATAATAAGTTGTACAAGATCTAATAAATACATATTTGGCTAATTCTTCTAGGTCTGTGGATTCCAAAATTTCGGCGTCATCAGACGATTCCAGTGTAGGATTGAGCAGCAGTAAGGGCGGAGATTTCACGATGCATCTTCACACTCCATCCGATACGTCGCCTACACCTCCAAATTCTAGAGAGAATACTAGCGAGATAGACTCGTCTACCGCTGTCAACGGCGAATCTGGACTGAGTGCCAACAATTTCCCTGTGACGTGTTCTTCTGCGGGAACAACTACGGGACGGAAGAACAGAACAAAAACCAAAACTGGAGGCCCTCACCAAGAACGCACGATCTTGGTGGTGGTTGGGGGTCGAGGCTATCTCAACATGAGGGCGATGGCACAAGAGCATTTTATTTCGACTACAGACACCGAAGCAAAGAGCTGTCCCCACTTAACGCTGTGGCAGATGAAAACGTGAACAGTTTAATTTAAAACCCTGCAAATGTTTTTAATGTAACTTGTAAACAAATGTATTTTAAAGTATAAAATAAATATAAGTGCAACGTTCAAATGCTGAATTAATTGTTGTTTCTCCAAATTGTTTATTACTTTGCATCGATATGTAAAGAGAAATAAGACAGCATAAAATAGATGTTAAAAATCATTGAAAACTGCTGACGTGATTCAAGTCGTATTCGTCTTGCTGCAGTTTGTTTGTGCGTAGGTACGGACTTATGCGTTCACATTTCATATTTTTAATTGGCACGCACTTGATCTCATCCTCAGCCATAACTGTTAGTTCATACATGATACATACCTACCTACATATGACTGCATGTGTACCCATATGCATTTCTGGTTCACTTGAGGCGAGGCGAGTTGGTGCAAACAGTAACTGTAGTTTCACTTACCTTTTGACGTCATTTAGTCACTATGCTAAAGGTAGATAGATACACATCGAGATGAAGGTATAGACCGGTACCTGCTGACCGGTTTGAAAATGCATACGTGCCGTAGATGCAGTTCTCATTGTTTACGTCAAATGCATCTAATGCGAACAGGTATAAAATCATGCAAGTTTTAATTTTGATTCACACAAGCACGTTGACAGTCATTAAAGTGCGTACCTCAAGAAAGGATACATTATTTCAAATTACTTTTTAGAATTTTGAACTTATCAAAATCATCATGAAAGTAACCATCTCAATTTTCCTGATCTTCGTTTTGAGTGATCTCACCACACCCACTTTTGTCAAGCCCAGCACTTTCCTCGACTCCAGACTAGCCAAGGGTTTCTGGGTGTCAAATAAAGACATTGAATTTTCTCACTCTCTGTTCGAAGGTGGGGCTAGGGCTAAACCCGATAAAACTTATAAATTAGTTTAAATGAACATTAAATTTTGAATTTAGGTGGTTGGGTGTGGACTGCGTCCGGAAATTTACAAGTGACGCATGTGTGTCGAGCAAAATCTGGTCTCTTTAACGACGTGAGCATAGTTCCCGGAGAGTTGTTGAACGAGACGTGCTACGTTTCCGGAAATCCAACAGTGGCTTCCTTGTCAGGTGTCCGTGCTTTCAAGGAATACGAAGTTCTACTCAAGGTAGAGGACGAGGTTTTCGAATGGGTCGAATTTGATCGGGATGAGGGAACGGTTCCCCACGGTGCCATAATTGGCGGTATTGGAACATACTACGAACCTATCCTTGTTTGTCGCAAGTTCTTTAATGGGACGGCAGGAAACGTTCGAAAATCGAAAGCTGTTTTGGGGAAATTCTCTCCAAAAGAAGGCAAATGTTTTTATGAAATGGAGGTCAACCTTGGAGCTGAGTGGATCAAGTGGGACGTTAGTTTCGCTACAGAAAAATTTCAGCTTCTCATTTTGAGGGTCTGTTTTTAACAACTGCATTTGCATATGTACATATTTATAATTATCCATTTGTGGACAAGTAAGTAATCTAAGCGTCATTTCTGCATAGGCGAGAGGAAAGGAACAATGTGCTGAACCAAGGAGCATCAGACAAACCAAAGAACAAAAGCCAGTCGAACTACCTCAATTTCATTCACTTAAGTTATAATATTTTAATATCGAAGTCTAAAAGTCATACATAAATATTAAAATATAGGTACTTGTATGATTTAACTTGAATTAAAAGAATTTTTTTAAGTAAGTTCGTAGTTCTCAGAAGACGAATTTTTGGTTTCCCCTTTTCATCAATTCCAATAACCATTTTCATGTATTGCAGCAATAGTACCCACTGCAATAGCATTTGGAATATTTAATGAACACTTGCATTATTCCCAAATATGTTTCACAAGACATACTTAAGTCAGTTTGCATAAGCGTCAAGAAAATTCTCGAGCCTTTCCGGGGAATGGGTTGGCTGGCAATTTAAACCGAGAAAGAAACCACCCGAAATCTGGTAGAAAGTCAAATCAGCGATGGTTTTACTTGGAGCATTTCGCAAATTCCCGAATTTGTACGAACAGTTGCCAAATCTGTCCTTCATTTTCAGAAAGGCAACATTCACGCGACCATGTAAAGAACGTGCTTGTACATATGTGCATATGTGTATCCAGTGCATCTTGTTGTTGTTGTTATTGACTTTGTCAATCAATTTTATATGTACACAACTCACATCAGGGGAAAAATCTATCAAAGTATTTAGTACATTTTACGTATAAATATACATTACATAATCTGCTACTTTTTGGACTGGCGTCACGAGGTAATTTCCATGCATTGTATTTTTAACCTGAATATAATCTAGAGTCGCGATCCATCCATCGCATTGGTTTAGCAATATTCATTGGAAACCCTAAAATTAAATGGCAATGAACCAGAGCATAAGACAAAGCTAGGAATGATCGCATACCTTGGCACGTTTCCATCCCATGTAATTGTCCTTGAAATAGTGTGTCGCATGACCTTACCCCCTGACTCGATTTTTATGTGCATACTGACAAGTTAGACAATGTTGGATTAAGATGGGACAACCAGACCTTGAAGGAGATTAGTGGTGGCATTTAAATTGTGTAATACGGTGCGTGTAGTGTGGTGGTTATCTGCACTACTGCTATTATCTACATGTATATATGAGGTGCTAATCCGAAGCGAAGTATTTGTGTGTGCAAAACTATTTTATCCTAATTTTGTTATCTTACTTTCTCTGAACAGGTATGTACCTGGTATTGCTGTATTATTACTGCCCAATTTAAATGCGCACAGAAATCAACAAAAATTCACTCTACCGCAGAAAAATACAATACAGCAAGTATTATATCACCAAAAAAGATGAAACCTTTATCATTGTTCTGGGACTACTACAACTTCAAACATAAATGTTTGAAACCCGTCAACAGCAACTCTGAGGGAATTTACTCCCAATTCTCCAATCCTGAAATCGTCTGTGATTGTGATCAATCGGTGAAAATTCCTCCAAGAAAAATGCTATTTCATCAGGAGATCAATTCTTGCGAATTATTCAGACACCTGAATCCGGGATTCATCTGCTAGCATTTATTAATTAACAGTAGTTTTGGACATCCACGCAATCTCGGATATTTCGGGTTATAACTTTCGGCTTAGTTTCCGGTGTAAAATATTTGACTACTTGTTGTGAGACATACGGATTAATTTAAAATGGTGAAAGAAAAACCAAATTCGACACGTTTGTACGATAGCGATGGCTTCAGAAAGAGGGCTGCTTGCGTTTGTGTGAAAAATGAGCAGGAGGCTGAGGTTTGTGATTTCATTTTATTAATTATTATGGACTACACCCAACAAAAGCTGCACCTGTTCTGTGTTCATGCAGGTTCTTTTGGTCACGTCATCGCGGCACACTGATCAGTGGATCGTTCCAGGGGGAGGCTTAGAGCCCGAAGAGGAAGCTGATGCTGCGGCTGCCCGTGAGGTTATCGAGGAAGCCGGTGTTCGGGGTAACATATGCCGATGCCTTGGCTCATTTCAAGTAATGCGATAACCAATATTTGTGTAGAAACAAACCCACCTCCTCATTTTCCTATTTTCATTTGTAATAATAATTCCAACTTATTGAAACATCTAGAATGATGATCGAAAGCACCGAACCGTCGTGTATGTGCTGGTGGTCACGGAGGAACTGCCAGAGTGGGAAGACTCCAAGAATATCGGTAGATATACATATATCTACATACTTCCTGTCATATTTATAAAAACTGACAAAATTTGTTAACAAAAAGCGGTATTAACAAATAAATGCTTATAAAAGGACGAAAAAGGAAATGGTTCAAACTTGATGAGGCGTCCAAGCATCTCGCCCACCGTCCGTTGCAGCTAAATTACCTCCAGTTACTTCGTCCTCACAACAAAGTTAGTGGAGTAGTAAATTCTAGCGACTTGCATCTCATCAATAACTAAACAAGTTAATATGTATTGTTGCTATTATTCTAGAGAAATCTGGAGACGGAAAAAAGACCGACATAATAAAGCCTATAAATTTCGTCATCAAACTCTCTCTCTCTTTTGCTGCCATGACCGTGCTGCCTACAATTTTATAACATTTCAGCCTTTTAATGTTTTGCATTTATATATATCGGGCCTAGACTTTTGACTCTATGACTTGCCAATCTTTCGACTCCCTCCGCTTATTATATATCAGTGCGTACCAGAATGTATTTAATGCTGGCATCTCTGAAAAGAATTAGTCGCAATTTGCCATGTAACGACGCTGGTATAATTGCCACCTCACCTAGTGAAATAGAAGTATGTTTTATAACGACTCATAAAATGGATAACTGAAAAAATGTTAAAGTCATACTTATGTATAATGTGTAACAATTTGTAGACATATTTATAAAAAGAAGCCGAGTTGAAATGCCAAGTAATTTATGAAATAAAAAATTTGAATGCGAATACACCGTATCAGAATTTTAATATTTTTGCATTTTTATTTGTTTTCCTATTTCACCTGTTCAACTTGCAATATATTATGTACAATTATGAATAATACACGCTAATATTGCTTATTCTATTAATCTATAATATACTATTTTTATCGATTGAACTTTTATTTATTTATTTCCAGTAACTTATATATTTTTATATGTACTTACTTTTATGGTTACCTTATATCTGTGCTCCATCGTAATCACAAATTAATTTAGTTTCTTACTACCAAAATTGACTGGCATTTATGTTTGTGACGCAACATTCATACTGACGATGAGTTACCAAATCAGTTTTGATTTGGTTTCGATTCCGTGCGTGTTGTTCATTCTCACAAAAATAGTACATATTTTAAGCGTACATATATTATGCCAATCATCAAAAGTTGCACATATATAGATATCAATCGACATATACACATATGCACGCTCATGCTGATTTGTACAATATCATCGAAATTGCAGAACGAGACTCAATACAGAAACATACTATTTTTGGAATTTAATAACATTGGAAAACATTTAGCATATAAATATTATGGAAACTTTAAGCAAAATGAATTAAAATGTTAACGGCATACAAGTAAATACATGCATAAGTCATACATATTTTGTAGTAATGACTGATGCTGGAATGAAATATTTTGAAACCGGGACGATTTTTAAACTCAGAGTTAATTGTTCTGATTATGTTCTGCATATCATGTGTTGATACGGATCCATATTTGGTATAACTATGTAGAGAAATAGTTCATAGTTAATCTGCTATGTTAGTTAAGTTATGTACATATATTTGTTTTGTAGGTAACTCGATGAGGAGCAGGTATATAATTACGTAATTTGTTCCGAGTTCTCGAAAAGTAGTTGTTATTATGTAAGAAGAGAAAATTACAAGTTTTGAAGTCATAACAAAATTAAAATGAAATCCATATTTCATCTCTTGACTGGACTACGTAACTGTTAAATTCGTATAATTCATACTCTAGCGACAGATCACATGAGTTTCTGGTGAGTTGGTTGGTGAGCCGCATTTTTGAAGGCTTTCCTCACTCCTCACCGGCAATATGACTACCATTTTCTAATTATGAATTGTAATTACTGGTTTAACGTTTTACTTTTATTCACAAGTACGCGTACCTTTAATAGATTTCAGGTTTCTGTTTTCAAAAAATAAAGCCAAACACATTTCAATAAACTTTCGGTGCGAAAAAGATAAAATAATTCTGGTACGTTGATCCGATCTTGGGTATCATCATAAATAATAATTTATCACGTAACATTTACAAATATTATTATTGCCAAAAATATTCAAAGTAATTCATGAATCAAACCTTCACTGGAGTAACAATGCAAAATTCCTGCCTATTAATGTAGCTATTCTCCGTTCCAATATTCTAAGACAACACCAACTTAGTGAGAAGAGTACGAGTACAAAAGCCTAAAAAAGTACATTACGGCGAAGTAATAATATATAGCTAATTATTATACATAATAATCTAAAACACCTGAAATTAATACAGAATGAAAATTTTATAAAAAAATGTGCTATACGTAAGACATCTAGAATCGACGTATTTAATTTGTGATCTAGTGGCAATAAGTTTAGGTAGTCTAATAAATAGTTTTAAATGATGATACTATAATTTCGAAGGACAGTTTTTTGTAAGTGAGACAAAAATTTAGCATGTTTCGTCCAAAATTTCCTGAAATACTTTGATCAGATTACTCAACCCAAACATGTACCCCGTGTCTGCGCCTTGATGCTCTTTGCCACAGTCCAGTCCACTATGGGTTGCATGAGCGAAATCAATCATTCTAACGTCAACGGACTCCAGAGACAATGACGTTGTCGAATTAGCAGCAGAACTTCCTCTCGTCGCCACGTTACTGATGCTGGTAGAATTGCTTTGACTCTGACTTATTCCCAACCCGATCCCATCACATGCTGGTTCGGTTACAGTTTCTAGAGAGAAGCTGGAGCACGAGGAGTCACCAATCTTTGGATTCTTTGGTGTACTTTCCTCCTTGTCGAGAGAACTTGTCCTCTTCAAAGAGAGAGATATTTCATCTGCGGATTTGGACGATGGAATCATTCCGAGAAAAGAGGAAGGTGCTTTGATCTCGGAGAAATTGTGGATAACTCGAATTTCTCCAGGGCCAGGGTTCGTGGTGATGGTGCTGTTGTTGGGATTTGAGACTGAATCGCTATCAAAAGAAGAGGTGTCCGTCATCTCACTATCCACGGAAGCCATGGATGAGTCGTCGTCCCCATTGTAATCAGGGTCCAGCCCTTCGTAGGCTAACAGCAGAGAGCTTGTATAGAACCTGGAATACAGAAATTATAAGTAAATTCATGAATAAGGAACGAATTGAATGGGGTAAAATGCATTACCTAAAAGTTTCAAGTGTGCCTAGGACTGCTTTCAAGTCCTTGAGTTTTTCAATAAGTGGAAGTACTGCATCAGTCCGCAAACGCTTCCCATTATGAAGAAATTGTAACATGGCTTCCTTGAAACCATCCACGCTTAATTTTCTTCCATAGTACTTGTTCCGGCATAGAAATTTTCCCGTCGATTGTTGATAAACCTGTCAAGTCACAAGTCAAGATGTGTTAGATCAATGTGTTCTTTTAATGTGCAATTAAATCGTCGTACAAATGACATGTACAATTTTTGGCACGAAGAAACAAAAAATATAATTAGAATAAGTGATTCGAAACTCATGCGATACGGTATAGGTTTATTTTTTCAAATTCAATACCAAGGCCACGTTTCCAATATTATTTCTTCCAAATGTTGCAACACATAAAATTTCATACTGATGCCAATGCACATTAGGAACATATCATTATTTGTTTACACAGTATGTCGTATGTCGTGTCTCGTAGTATGAAATGACCTCAATACTTTAATATAAACAGCTAATCAATAAAATAAACCAATTACTTATTAAAAATTAGCTGTGTTCACGAGGAAGTTAAGTTGGCCATAAAGCACATCATACGAGCCTGAGTGAGTGAGGTATCCTTGCTTTGTCATCAAGAATAATATTCAACAACTGCATTCGGAATTCACATTAAATTCCTTTTCTTAATTTAATAAGACCTCCGTCTGCTGAGACAAGGCACAGCTAAAAGAATTATATACAACCAAAACGACCTACACATTTGTAAAGTTACGGACAATTTGCAATGCGTCGTTGTGGGTTGCGTTGGGTGCCCCTGTCACTCAAAACCATGGTCTTGGCCAAAAACGCCTGGTTTATTATTATCATAATTTCCTTTCCCGTGGTGCATAAAAAAAGCCATAAACCTAAGTATAAGGCAATCTATTTTTGAACTAGCGTAGTTCCTATTTAGTATGCAGATTAAATGCTAAATAAGAACACATGAGGGAAGTAGGAAGAAGTGGCAGAAGAACATTCCCTTCCAGCAGAAGCAAAATGCAACTACAAGTTTTTGAACAACTGCGAAGTAGAAAAGGCTAACAAACCTGCATTCCACAAATTCGGACTCCTAGCTGGACCGAAGTGGAGTTGGCTGCCTTGGCACTCTGGCTTTCGATCTTTGCAGGTGTCGCGTCATCTCCATATTGTCGGGTGCCCATTTTCAAGTCCAGAATACAGGGGTATTCGAACCTGAAAAAAATATAAAAACTTAAAATTCAACGCCATTCATTTCATCAATTAAAAACAAAATTAGTAAACACATGTCTAGCCATTTTGATTTTTTTTCTGTGGTACAACACAACCCTGAAATTATTCAGTACAGAGAACCCTCCAATAGCATGCAAAACCATTGCAGCCAACCAATATTGGACACTTCTTTGCCAAATAAAGGCATATGTATGAGTATTGGTAAAGTCTTAATTCAAAAGTTTACACATTTTCCTTCGAATTTGGAACAGATCCAAGTATTGGGAGACATGCCAATATAAATTTGAGTGTGGTATTTACACATAATGTACACTCAAATTTCTGTCGATAATCATGCAAACCCGTACGTTAATTTTTAATTGTTTCAGAGTGTATTAAAATATGTATCAATTCACTTTAGTTGTTGTGTCGGACGGTATGAAATTGGTTTTTGTAAGAAAATTAATTGTTAAATTTACCTCCAAGTGATATTTTCCAGCAGCAAAAATTCTGAAAAACAAATAAACAATAATTATTACTATCATGAGGAGAGTACAGGTTATTAAAAAAATAATTCGTTATTTCTATTAGCAGGCGTACTTTGACAAACGGGTTCCTTCTGTTGTTGTGGTACGGTAGCAGATCTCTTCAATTTCGATAGCTGTCTCTGGTGACATTTTAAGACCCATGGATTCAGTGACTTGACACCTTTGCTGGTTGTGGCTTGCTGTGGGTCCTCTTCAACAAACAGGTCGTTTAGCTCGCTCTCAATTTCAATCTCAATGCTTCCTGAATTCTTCACTCGGATCCGTCGTCTATGAATTAAGTTGAAATCATAAATTATACAATCGCTTCACGAATTGCTTATCACATAAAACTACGGTTTCATTTACTACGAGGAACATTAGGGTTCGTTATTCGTATGGAATCTGCAAACGCCTCATTTAAAAGTCGTCTGATTTGATCTAGTCCTGTGTGTGAATCAGTTTCATTCTATAGTTCAATCGAAATTACTTGACAAAGCGGAAATGCGTTAAAAAAGAGCAAAACCTCTCAAATTATCGTTTAACATTGCATATCACATATTTCTTATCCTTAATTTCACATTGCACAGTTGTTTTTGCTTGTTAATAAACATGGAACCATCCGTCTGCAAAAAATCCAATATTGTTTACTGCTCAAAATTTGGATCATCTCAAAATGCATTTTTTTCCTTTACTCGAACTGACATTATGGTAAATAACGAGCATATACGCTGACTAATATTGATATTAGTGTCAAGTTCAATGTCACAAGGCGTACCAGCAGGCATGAAGGTAATTTTAAATGTATTTTGTGAGTCGCCAGCACCATTTTGTAATTAGCAACTGACAACTGATGAGCCGAAACCTTATTTCTCCATCATGACATTTATTGCGGTTTCAAAAACGCATAGACAACAGCTAACCAATGTATTCATCTTTGCTCAACGCGTCACAAACTCTTTCTATTCTGCATTTTGGCACAAATAATGTAGTTCCCAATTTTAAATCAGTATGATTCATGCTCAAGTAATTTTAGAGTGCGCACTAGCTTCACGTCAATACGTCAATGAAGTAATGTTACCCGAAATTAGATGTCAACATGCGAGAAAATGAATAGTAAAATAATAGTTCGAGACACTTTTAGTAAATACGATGATATTTTTCCTACCGTTCTAAGCATTCAACGTACACGGCTTTATTTTGTCTACTCATAAATACACACACCTACGGTAAGTATATATTTTTGCATGCTTACCGGCTATTGTTCCTCTGCTTTGACTGACTTGGCTGATATCTGAACGACTTTGGGGGGTAAGCAGCTACGGTTAAGTAGCCATCTTTGTCTTCTTCAAACCGAACCTGAAAGTACAAACATGATCAAATATTTACACGATCGACATTAATATTCTTCAGTAATGAAATGCTATCAGATCATGAAACACGATTCGTGTATGTTTCGTCTTAAAATAAAATGAATATTGTAAAATGCATCATAAAACAATTCCTCATCTTATACGCAGTGTATGGGTGCAACGTATGTATGAATGGTATTGTATACTTTACTTATGGGGACATTATTCTTAATTAATCCGTGTTTTTTCTCAGTAGATTGTCTATATATAGAACTGGTAAATGTTTCAACGTTAAAATGACGATGAACCCAGGAACCTCATGAACAAGATTGACATCTTGTTGACAATCGTCTCTACTTTAACACAGTTGTAATTTTATTAAGAAATGAAGGAATCATAACAAATCTAGTTTCATCAGAATTGTTTTACAAATATTAAGTAAAAAGTGACCAAATCGTAAATAAATTGCACACTTACGAAGGGAAGTAAAAAGTTATTTCGAAATAGTCAAGAAATGAAAATTGGTCTAATAACCATACCCCGGACAAATATTTTTTTATCCTACCCTACTCGTGTTGAGCTCAACATGAGTAGGGTAGGATAAAAAAATATTTGTCCGGGGTATGCTAATAACAAATCCAAGTAAAATAAGAGATAAGCTGTAATGATTGACATTTGTAAAGTGGGGGTGATGTAAATTTTCCAATCTCTGCATCAAACTCGAAACCCACTTCTTGCAATACTTACGGGTACGCAGTTGCCTTTAATTCCTACAATAATTAATCTACATATGTATGCAGATACGTAAGAGCATAACCCCAACATTTTTTTCAACGACTTATAATTTTTTGCTTTAATCCACAAGTACAACAATCCTCAATATCCGTCAATCATCCGAATTAAAAATAAATAATTTCATCACTCGAACGAAGATTATGTTGAAACACTTTGCGTGTCATGAATTGAACTCATCTCAGCAACCTGACTAATCCTAAGCAAGTGTACCCGGAAAAGTTCAATGGATGGATCGTGAGCGTGACCATTAATTCCTACGCATGTGAATAAATCCAATTGTGTCGTGAACACCCGAGGCTGCGTTTTAGCCTCCTAAATTTAGAGCATAAACTACTTTAGAGGACAGACTCAAGATGTGAACTGAATTTAAGCTCGTTTCTCTTATTGCTTTGGTTATTTGAGATGGTATAGATTTTTCCAGGTCATCTCGGATATCGGATTGGCTTTAGATGATTTTATATACATATGTCGTTAACTATAGCAAAATTGTTGAACCTTAACCCATCATCACGAGTCACAAGTGAATAGAAAAATTGAAATAGAAGATAAACGCGAACATAAGAATTGTAAGAAAACTTGTGGAACCCTGACTGACGGTGAACTCTGCATACTTTAAACGACCCTGTGAAAATATACACATCATGGAAATAAACGTTGTTTTCGTTAACTCTAACGCAGAATTTGTTTAGTAAATCGTAGGTGTTTTCATTTCACTACTGGCATCTTTCCAACCCCAACTAAAAAATTTCATTCGCAGATTTGCGAAAAACAATCCCGTGTTCAGTGAAGCTTAATCATTCATTACGTACAACGCCCGAATCAAAGAAAACTCTGGATTGAACAAGCCAAAACCGGATGGATACATTTTGTTGTTCTCACAAACAGGATGCCCATTCAATGCTCATGATCAAATGCCACTTGAAAACACCGAGAAAACAGAGCAATGAAATGGGGTGACAATACCCATGATAGCAACTCGTTAGTAGGAGTAGGATTGCGTCATTATCACGACATATGCCAACTGATATGTTTCAATTGCTATAAGCTGTTCTTAGCAGATATGATACTCAATAATGAAAAACTGGACATGTTAAATGTGTACAAGCAAAAAATACGACTCAATATGTACGCTTACCTGAACAACACCACGATATTCAGGAGTGAACTTTTTCATAGACACTGGCAGTGACTCGTAAAACTGAAAAAGTATAATTCGTATTAATGAAAGGAATCAAGTCTGAACAATTTTGAATTTCGAAGCTTTGCATATTTCTAAAATTAAAAAAAAATCGGAAATAGTATGAAGCAAATTACCTGAAGTTCTTGTTTTATAAGCGGTTTGCACACAGTTCGTTCGTCCAAACATAATATTGAAGAGTGACCCCCAACTTGGTGGATAAATGGCTCCAGCTAGACGAAAATTCATATTATACATATAAGTTTATAGATGATTGATCTTTTAACATGCAAAGTTTAAACGATTTTTTAATTACCTGAACTGGTTCGCATTCTTGAAATTCATTCAAGTATTCTTCCATCGGCAACTGACCCCTTTCGGTAGATTGTAACTGTCCCCAACAACGCCAATGATGTGCAGCACTTTAAATTTAAAGAAACACAAACTTGTCAGCAAATATGCCTCGTCAACTTATTCACTCAATATCGATTCTAACTGGAGTATGCTAATAAACGAACTTTCACAGAATTTATAATTTGTTTGCAGAGTAATTTGCACACACGCGACTACGATGAGGTCTGTCTGCCCGGGTGTCTGTTCTACAGTAGGACTAATCAAGGGTTGAAAACTTCTACGATTATATATTCACTCCAACCAACGAAACTGACTGACTCACTGGACTAGATAAGATCAGATCTGACCACTTTTTATTTCACTGTGAGTTAGCTTTGCATGACAGTCGCTCCCTTTACCAACTAAATGATTTTCTCATCCGACCGATCATGCATACGTAGAACATCTCAAGCAAAATGAATGATAATTTTGCTGACGAAATGAATCTTTCAATTCTTCTTCGTATGTATTATATTTGAACGCAATGTGCATGTAAGTACCTCTCGCAAAGCTGTTCTTTTGCCGTGATCGTTTCAGCAGAAATTTCACTCCGCTGTGCAAAACTAAAACACACAACGCAATTAAATCTAATCTACATTTATAAGATCATTTCTACTTTGCAGGCTCTGATGGTCTGATCTCATCCCAATTAAAAGTGGTGCGATCGATGTCATGGATATTTATTATTATTATTATTATGCCGACACAAAATGTTGTCCTTATTGCTGTGTGTGTGCATACACTATTTGTTCAATTATCATCGCCAGTTGACATGCAATTGAATCTAAACGAGATAAACATTTATCTGTTGGAGCAAGACCTCAGTCAGTTGGGTTCCAGCAACTTGTGAATATTGATAGTTTTCCTTCTCCGTTATGCAACACAATTGCAGCGTTGTAAATTACAACTTGTAATGACATTGAATTTACTCGGATTTTTCAGTTATTTAATAGTTTCAAATACGGGTTCGTTGAAAAAGAGTTGACGTAAAACACTAAACAATGAGTATTTTTGTGTTTTATGATTCTGAAAATCAATTGAGTAAAATTCGAATAAGTTTTGGATTAGTGGACACTGTGGGTTCTGTGAGCGTGTCAAGTGAGCAATGAGCTTGGAGAGCAAGAAGTGAAGTGTTTTATGATGTTTGCAGCACAATATCGTCCACACCAGTCACACGTCCACACAAATAAATATACCAAAACTGATTTGCAAACTTCGATATCTCGCCATACTTTTGTGGACAGTTATTATTTTTACATGGCGCAGAACAACTTGCTTCGTATTGCAATATTACGAATTACAATTTGCTTCGATTAGGCGTATGTTAAATGCGAGAGTGCCATTGTAAGCAAGCAGATTGCTCCAGTGTCACCATGAAGCCATTCACCCACCATAAGCATAAAGTACATATATTGAATTGATACGAGTACATGCACGCTTATTTAATATTGAGTCGTGTCACTGCAATGAGAATGAGGGACACAATGCATGAAAGGAAACCACGTATCCCATCAAACTGAAAAAAAACATATTCAAGTGTGGACGCTATTTACAAACATTCTTATTGTTTAACAAACTGCTTCAAATTTAACGATCAGGACGTGTGATTGTGTATATAACATGAGGAAAGGGAAGGGATATGCGACAGTGCTAAAGAAATATTTAATTTACGGCTAAATTTCATGACACTGGAACTATTCTGGCAGACAAATAGCCTGATCTACATAACAACACGTAGAAATTATCAATTTGGGCGAATTGTGACGCAGACCAATCTGCTAAGGCAGGACCAGGGCATGCGACTTCAGTAAATGTAAGGATCACAAGAGACGACTAATAAACAATTAACCGGGTGGGCGTGGAGAAAATTACTGCAAATTGGGTTTTGATAAGGACAATAAACATGGATCATATAAGCCATTAGAATTATCACCCACCCACATGCAGAACCCCTCCCTGGTGTTTTTTCATCAAACAATGTCAAATTAAGAACGACAGTAAATCATATAAAACCAAACACAACCGGAAAAATCTAATCAGCTCTGCTACCAATTTTCGCAAAGATGATGCAATTCGCAACGTTTGTTAACAGATCATTCATGTCATATGCATAATGGAACTGGTTTATTCAAGATAGCTCAATCGATGCGAATATCACTAACTACGTAACTGCGTATACTGTCAACTTACTTTCCTAAAAAGTCACTTGTAAGAGAATGCACGTCGTACATTTGTAAATTTGAGATGCTAGTTGTCCAATTACCAATAACAATTAGATCATCCCGAACAGTACAAATAACATCAAACATCAAACTAATCCTAAGTTATATCGAATTTTATTTGTCATCTCTGTAAAAATATACTTGGAACAAGCTATACCTAAAATACCTAAAGCAAGATATATTCTTATCTACACATCATTTGTGATTGGACTTATGGGGACTTTTTACCCTATTCGCAGAAATCTGTCTAAACCTGAAAATAACCCACAAATATGAATGAGGAGGTCAGGGTCTAAATAAGTTAGGATCATCACCGTGTCATACTTGGAAATTAAATTAAACCCAATAAACTTGATTGTTTTCAAGCTTACGTCCCACAAATTTCGACACATACTCATAAACCGACCATTGAATGCAGCGTGGAACAACGCAAGTGAGCTAGAGGTATACATTTTGAATGCCATAAATTCCACAATTGCTCGAATACCAGGTAAACTATTTTAGCGGCAATTGTATTAATACATTATCTTTAAGGCAGTTATCGGTAGCTATAAAACTATTGCGTAATTTACTGCATGCAAGTATTTACCAATAACGGCATTTTAAAAATATGCCTTTCACTCTCCACACAGTCAGCATCGATCGGCCAAGACAGGTTCGAAAATGGGAAGCACTACGGCGAAATGGTAATACATGACCTTCATGAATAACTTACAAGTTTTGGCACTGGCCACCAACAACCCTCCTTAGGCCGGAGATACTTACATGCATTAATAAATCCGTAATGTCAGAGTAAGTTGGCTTAATAAATAGCTCATTTCATAATATAAACATACGCACATAGGTTTTCAAAACAAAATTTTTCTATTTATCTTTCAAAGCCTGAAATGTTAAGTTAAAACAAAAGGAATAAATTACATTTGGTATTAAATAATTTGCACAATCCGAATTAAATATATATAAATATTTGCATACGTAGGGTATCTAAGAAAAATAACGCCGCACACCTTGTAAAAATATAAAAGCAAGCGATAGAATCAAAATAAGCAGTAGAAATAGAAATCTTTATTGACACAGCCTGCACCATTCCATATTTATCTTTCGAAATTCAAGAGTTACAGTTCCCTCCCACCAAATGCACTGGGCGGACATTTCTTGCAAAATTTCAGCTGCATTCATCCCCAACTCCGAAAAAGACATCTGACTATGACTGGACGCTCTGCAGCCAAGCAGGACATAAAGGAGTAAAGTGACACTGGATCCAATATACACATTCAAACATGTCCAATCCGACGCCACTGCCAAGTTTTCTTCGGGATCTGCTTCAAAACACTGCATAACACTTTCCGCCCCACATTCACTCAAAACATTTTTGGCACCGGTCTCCACCTGCGAGTCCATATATCATTTCCTTTCAAATAGCAGCAGAACATTCTGCAAAACTAATCTGCTTCAGCAGTCTTGCTTTCCTGCCTTGGTGGTGCCGAAAAGAAGCAGCGTATGAACATGTTAATATTGTGTGAATGAAATGGCTGTAAATGGTTATGTGCTATTTACTACTGTGCACATGATTCTATCCGAACGAGATGCCATTACCCGAAAGTTGAGTCAGCCTACATACAAATCTGATCTTTCAAGCTCTTTGACTGCGCTGAGTCATAAGAATAATTGTAATTATTAAATCTCGAGTTTCCATCCTCCAGCTTCGAGTCAAGAGGTCGTCAGTCCTCGACTCTTATTGGTCTGACCTTCAAATTAATAATTTCTACATATATGTATTTAGTTATGGAAAATAAGTAAATTCCAAGTCCGATATTACAAAGCATATTTATCACTCACAATTTCCTCGGTGTCGATGACCCAAGCAAAACACCAGCCATATTTTATGTCTCTTGTTATTTTATGTCGTGCTACCTTACTTCATTTCCTATGCAGCGATAAATACAACCATCGGTAATGTGACACTACAGTATAAAGAAAGTGTTATGTACTGAGAAAATTGAGGTTACCTATTCAATTCATTTGTGTTTCATTTATCAGCAAGTATAATTTCCTGGATTTAGCAACACTACAGGTGCACCGAAAGCTTCAACTACGCAATAATTTTATATTGTAGAGCGACTGGTCATGGAATCGTGTGTTCTTCAATGTACATTATTTCTGGCTGAAACCAATCCTATGTGCATGCATACCGTAAGAAAAATTGTAGGACGTAAGTGCAAAAACTTCTAAAGCGAGTAACAAAATTTCGTCAACATCTTCCCTGCAAATATTTATGTATGAGCTTATTATTCAGAAACATTAAAACGAAATATGAACCAGCTAACTGAAATTATTAGCGAAAAGGAAACTAGACTTTCATGAAATTCCAAACGATCGATTCTAATTAATCCTTCATACTACAAACACTTGGTATCCATATACCGATATACATACGCATATGTGCATATGTACTTTGCCCAGTATCAGCAAGCTCAGACCTCCTATAGAAAACGCCTAGTTTTCCCATATCTTGGATAATTACAATACTATGATTGTTATTAATATTATGAGTCGAGGGATCTCCTTCATATTCAATCTTTGCCATTCACTAATGTATATGCATGCAAGCCACAACGCCCAACAATACCGTAAAGGAAAAGTAGGAGCTAAAAATACACTCGTCAATTTTAGAAATAACCAGTGAGGGTCAAAAATAGAACATTTCCAAATACTGGAATCCTGAAGCATCATTATCAAAATTACTTTGCAAGCTTTCCGTTACAGATTTGCTCGACAATCTACACGTGAAGGCAATGACTTTATCCTAATATAAAGGAAAATTTTCCGTCCACGCTGTCACAAATCCGTGGGACGACTTGTTAAGGAAATATCATTGATTTAATATAATATATTACTCAATGGACATGTAATGACCAGAAAATTTTATGCTTTAGTTTTGTGGGTTTCAATTAACATTTCAGAACTTGCAAAAGCTGTGATCTTGATATTGGATTCTTAGGAATAAATGCATTGTCCCAATCTAATCTTCCAATGAAATCTCACGTACTTACGTACACATTCACCACCAAATTACTACAGTTATCAATATATTGTATAAAATGAACATCCAAAGTCAAGCTGGGCTTCTTCTGTTCGTGACGCACTCTAAAAGCACTCAAATTACTCAAAACGCTATGGAGCTATATAAGCTTGTGCTCTCTGTTCAAAGCTTTTACTATTCAGACATATAATTTATATGATATAAATACACGATAACTTTGCATCATGCCATTTGTCATCTAGAATCAATATAATTAAATTAGTATATATCGATATAAATGACAATTTTACCATTAAGGGAGCCATTAGATAATCCTAATTTTTTGCAGAATGATCGATATGATATACTTCGCAAGAGGAAATCGGTTCACAGCACATGAAATGCCAAAAGTGACATAAGATTACAATCCGACAGCACTAAAAGGGTTGTACATAATTACAGAGTGAGCCATCGGTGACCAAAGGACAATAATTTCGTTCAGATCTCGGATTTACCCAAAAGGTTGAGAATATGTACACGTTCGGGGGATGGAGTTTTTTGTTGTTCAAAACAACCAATTCTTTCGGTCTGATTGATTGTTATCTAATGATAATTATCATTTGCACAGTGTTTGCTTTTGAATGGAAACACTCTAAGCTTAATTGATCCATGGATGCATATTAAATAATGACACCAAGTACATATGTACATAAATGCAAACATATTATAAAGAACTGCCCATCTCCACGTCTGCAAGCTTTACTTCCTCCTTTAAGCAGGAAAGTGAGTTTCTGCTCTTAATAAATAAATTACCATCCATTGAGATATGTAAAGAACTGGAAGGTCATATTTATTATTATCTGTATTATTATCAAACAAATAATTCGGGAGCTTCATGTAAAATCATTAAAACCTGGTTAAAACGTGGATGTCCTCTCTAATATTATGCTTTCACAACCTTTATTACAACTACGTATGCACACATAACACTCTTTAGTTTCAAGTTCAATCGATAAAATTGGATGTTCAAGTGGATTTAAACTGCAACCATCGAATAATGGTATTATATATCGAATGACATGACAATGACATCGTTGGAGTGACAAACAGCACGGTGGTTACACGACCAGCGGTTCTTATTGATTACTATTGACAAAATGTAGAGGTTCAAACAAAAAAATATTTGCATTGCACGAAAGATAATGAACACCAAAAAATTAAAGCTTTGCAACACATGAGCGTTCTTTAAAATTTTATAAATTATGCTGCCAACAACACTTTTTTTGGCCAATTGAGAGATTGCCTCAAAGAAGTGGTTTTTACTCTGGACTTCGATATATTTCTTTTTGTTTGCCAGAGTTGAAACTATTTTGCATTTATTCTTGTATCTCCTATGCTCACTTACATGCACGTATCTAAATGTCGCAATATTTTGCTGCATGTCGTAAAAGAATTTAATTAAAAAACATGCATTTTTATCGAAATTGGGCCAAACTTCAATACTACGAGAATTTTGGCCTCGGAGTAAAATTCATGCGGGGTCAGTATACAAGCATGAGCACAAAAAGAGCTAAGCCATTACCCTGATCATTAAACCAATTCAAACTGTCAAGTGTCAACGCTGCTGGGCTTGTTGGCGTGGAGAAGTATTTAGTGGGGGAAGGATGTTTCAAGGTTGTATGACTCAATTTATTCGATTTTATGTATGCATGCAAATTTAATTCGTTCGTTTTCCTGTTAGAACCAGACTACTTATTCAATCATATACCAGGGACTTGTTCATTTATCTTCGAACAAAACTGTAAATACAGTCTTATGTATGTACGTAAAGGAAGAGAGTAAAAGTTAAAAGTGAAATAAAAATCAGGTTAATGCTAAAAATGTGGTGTCTGTACAAATACCAATGGCCCATAAAACTTGCTGAAAGTGATCCTAGCACTTTATTTTAACCACAGTGCTACCAGGTACACACAAATATGTATGCATACCATGGTGTCTCCCAAGCGAACATGAAGCTCGTCAGTCAAATGATGCACAATATCTCACAAAAAAGACCAGGAAGTTTCTTGTTAAGAATGTGTACTAGTTAAAAAATGTTGTATTTAAGAGTATCAGCAGTTTAAACGATATGCAATCGAACTACTTACATATTTCAGGGTCTGGAACATATGCAATTGTATACCGCATGAATTTAATTAATTTTAGTGCTATTCATTTATTTTTCTTTATGCTAACATATAAATACCAACCCGCATTACGCATTATAGCCTCTTATGGTAAATAATATGCAGCTTCCAAATACTTATGTGTACGAAAATCTTATCACTTACCATTCCAGTTACAGAAGAAGGCTGTCAATTTCGGTTGTTTCAGTTTTCACAGCAACTAAAACCAACCCACTTCTTGCTTTGTGTCGATATCGGACCAGCCGAACGACAGTTAAAAATAAGATGAAATCACGGTGAAGATGAGACGACAATTGGACTTTTTCAGATTTCTTGGCAAAATGTGACCTTTTTTTACTACGGCTTCAAGCAAGTGGTTCTCTGGTAAAAAAAAGTAGCACCGCTTCGTAGTGAATACTGATTGAATATGAGAAGTGGATGATAATAGTCTCCTTGTTGCTGCCTTTTGTGGATGATTAGATTATTGTGTGGGATTATGTGGTTGGATTTGTACGTCCTCTTCGCCTTCTGAGACTTTCACCTTGAGGATGTGAGTTACCAAGTGAAATAAATGAATGAATGCGGATGGCAATACTTGTGGGCCAATTGCGAATATTTGATGAGAGAGAATCGGACGACGACGACGACGACGAAGATGATGAAAGTATACGAAGCAAAAGCTGAGTCTGCGCTTCAACTCTGCGAAAATCAGCCGTCGAGCTCCGAATTCCCACTTTTGTCCGAATTGCACAACTAATTTGTGCAGCAAGTGGGCCACAAAACCCGCAAGGAGGAAAAATGCAAGAAAGACCAACCACCCAGCTCCACCTCGACTTTCAATACCCAACGCTCTCTCTGTCGTTGCATCACACGAACTTTTGTCATTTGGCCTGATCGGTTAGCAACTTTAGCAGCCCGATGTAACTGCTGATGGTGGGGGAACGTGGAGGGGAATTGATCTTGGGGACAAGACATACACCATGTCAATTTTTAAAAGGACGGATCTAAACAAAACGGCAAAGAGTAATTCATTAAAGAGATCCAGCAGAATACGAGTTGTGCCATGGATGACGCCGATTCGGGAGAAACGATTGGCTAGGATAGGAGTATGTCAGAGTTTACTTTATACCCAACTACAAGACAATTATTGGAACCTTTTTATCCAAAACTTACAACATGGCCCATGAAGCCACCAAATTCTCATTTTCCCCTTGACTGATAAGCCTACTTTGATAAGGAGTTGCCTAATTTGAGGTCCACCAGATGATTTTCCACCAATTTGGCAACATCCCACTGCTCCCTCCCTCCCCCTTACGTCTCCTCCACCTTTCTCCCTCCTTCGGTCATGAATGATGGTGCAAATGTAGTAGTTGTGCAAAATATTTGCAAATTCGTTCCCCTCGCCCAGTCTTCCTACAATCTCTCATAGTATCATCCAACGTATTAGGAATTTGCAATACTAAATACGTTCTGCTACATATATAAAGTGCGAAGGATAGTTCATCTTGCCGCTTCCTTGCAACATCTCATGCAAAATTCGCATGCTTCTAGTTGTTGACAGAGTGGATTATTGATCCTTGGAGTTGGATTGAACCAGATTTCCACAATTTCTGTGAACGGCTTTAAATTTAGATTTGAACTGCTGGCAGTTGAGGAAGTCTTCTTCGTCAGTCTGTGTCTAGCACGAAATCTACAGCATCAAAAAACGGGAACTTGCTCAAGTTTGCGTCTGAGAAAAGAGGTAACAACAATTACATATTGTTAATAAAACTACCATAATCATAGGAACAATCCTCCCCTGACCCCTTCTTATACCCCTTCTGACAGATAATAAGTCACATACTTTTATTTCATTTCCAAAATCAACACACCACAAGACTTGAAAAATCTAACAAATTCTTAATTAACCGTCTTCACTGATTTTTATTCATTCAGAATAAGCGTAAGTCAGACACAGTCCGGCTGGAATTGCTAATAAATTGTCCTTGACCTGCTTAGTTTGTAAATATGTCCATATTTACTATATTTTGACGAGAGAGGTTCCTTGTAGCGACTGGCTTTTGTTTCTGAGTTAAACTAATCCGTAGATACATATGTGTGTACTTACTGTTAATTAGTTGTTAAATCCACAACAAATTAATTAGTACTCGGTCATTCACTTGTAGATATATCGGTTTTTGAATGACATCATATTTCGGCACTAATGGTAATTTCCGGTCCGTAATGTTGGCTGAGTGAGGGCGTGCAGTACAACCAATGTCCCAATGTCAGTGACTTTATTAAACACTAAGCAAAGTTTGATGCCCATCATTGCCATTCCCCGTGAATTGTGGCGTGGTGAGTCTCAATCTTCCTAATCCGTGCATTCTGAATAGCAGTGATGAACTCATGAACAACAATAGACAGACATGCAAATCTGCATACATTGTATTTTCATATATAACTGAAGGATTTGTTTCTTATCTGAGCTTATTCGTATAATGTTGAATCAGTTTTATCAATTTTTCCATATTTTCCGGCTTATTGCCCTTATGTGTTGTGAGCACACGTGGAAATCACATGTATCGTACGCTGAAGACGACATGCATCATCTCATGAATCTCTAATAGTGCGAATGATGTTATATATTTTATATTATCATCATAAATCAGCTTAATGATTAGCAATTGATGATAATAATTGTTGTCGCATTATACTTTAAGTGGCGGACGGAAGGACTTTGAACGTCTCAAATTGAGTCGACATTTGTAATTATCTAAACCATGTAAACTCGCTTGAGATCCCACAGGGTAGTACATATGACATACTCGTACTTATGTCCATACATATGTAGAGATGTGCGTACGTTTCATTCATGCTATTGATAATTGTAACAAGTCAAAGATCATGAGATGGGAGGCGGTTCGTATGTTTAGTAGAATGTGCAGACAGGCAGTAATTCAAATTCGGGATACTCACATTAGTTGAATAAATGAAATACCTATTGGATGAGGTAAATAGATTCAGATCAGATTTCATTGGGTTTGAGCTGATTTTGCAATTCTAGACTAATAATTTGAGCTTTTAATCCCTCCCGTCACTCAACGTCAGTTTTGAAATTCACTCACTCTGCATTCTAATACATTGATTAATTTATTAGGCTTAGAAAATAATTCCATATAAAACATGCACCCATCCCACTCCACATTTTACTTCTTGTCGAGATTTGGTGGGCAAAAGGGAGGCACAGATATTATCCTCATGCATATATTCTGCATTGTCCAAGTTTTGTTTCACGCTCTGCATATACAAATATGACGTAGAAATTATTTACAGATACCAGTTTATTGATTAAATAAGTAATCAAGCCAATATATCAAACAACGCTACAATATTATTGTTTTAAGCAACTTGTACTTATCCAACCTTTGACAATTTACATTAATTTACAGTTCTTGGAAGCCTGGAGTCATAAATAAATACCGACCAAAATAACAAAAATACTCGTACTATTTCCAGCCTATAACTCAACCACCCTCACCGCAAAAACAGCTTACAAAAAACCTAAACCCAACAAACCATTAAATCCGGCATTACTAAACAATTTGGGACTGCCAGTGAATCATCGATTTCTCATTAAGTTTGTGATTGGACAGAAATACGGCGAAGCAGTAAATTAATTAACAGCTACAACAACAACAAGCACAACGCCCTGGTTGAGCCCTCAACCATCTGCAAAACTAATAAAAACGGTTTTATTCGAATGTCCGAAAGATCTATGCAAGAAGTAACGTTTGGAGGTCCACGTAACCACGCTTCTGCAGACGTCGATTATGGGTGGGGGTCAATTGAGTAGTGGACTCAACACACTCCATCATCATCAAAAGCATCACCCAAAACTCTTAGTAATTAATACAAGTGTTGATTGCTCAAGTTTTGGTACTTCTTACTGCAGTCCAACCGAAGCCAAGAACTCACAAGACTCGTTTAACATCAAGTCGTCTTGTGGCTCCTCGTGTTGTTGTGAGGATTTTATCACTGTCGCCTGTGATAAAGCTAATACCACTAATAACACGTATCAACAACAGCAGGAGTTGTTGTTTTGTATTAATAATTACTGTTTGGACACCATCAACACTGACATTGAGGACGATACTCTGATGGAAGTTCCCAGTGGAAGTGCAAGTGTTTTCGTTAATTCCGTACCTTTTTCCTCCAACCTCACTACGATTGGGAAGAAAAAATCTCAGTTCATTATTTCCAAGTATTTTTTATCAAATACTAATTTCGCCGTTAGTCCCTTTCTCCGGGAAGAACTAGTTTCGTAGTCAAACGTATACTTTGACATTGTCAAGTTTTTTAGTCAATTATCCACAATTTTTTTCATACTTTCTCTCAAATAAGTCATCATCAGGAGATATTTTAAATTCTGATTTCGTTTGCATAAATTGTAATTAATGTTACGTATGTATTTGTTTAACAACGATTAAGAAGTTTCAAGGGATATTTCTAATAAATTTAATATCGCACACCGTACAACGAACGCAAACACCTAATCTATTAAAATGGTCCGAGATAAGATAAAAGATAGACAAAATTCCGTAAGAATATATGACGAAGAAGGATTTCTCCAGCGTGCGGCTTGCATTTGTGTTAAAAATGGGGCAGAGGACGAGGTAAGAGATACGCATTTATGGTTAAATATGCAATATAATTTCCTCGATATGAATTATGAATGGAGTGATCTTGAGGACAACATAGCGAGGAGATCGTAATTCATGGCATAACTTTATCATTCCATTCTGTTGACAAATTCTTATTTACAGCAATTTCAACTGCTTTTAATATGCACTCTTAATATTTGGCGAAATTTAACGAGGCGTATTTAATTATCAAGTGACACATACAACGATGAGCAGAAAGCTAAGAGCGTATTTATCTTACAATTAGTAAAATTCCATTTACTGGAGGAAGACGAATATCAATTAAATCTTAAAAGCTGAAGAGATCTTTCTCTTTCCCCAAGTCTAAACTGGTTCTATAGTCTGATCGGCTCCACTGGAGCAATTTGTATGATTTATAAAAAAACTATAACCACGTATAGGACTCGAACAACAAGAGAATTAAGATTCATGCGTATATTCGCATACATATGCTGCTAACTAATTGTGCATCAGAAGTAACAACAATTTTTCCTTAGAATATTATTAATGTATGATTTTTATGTAAATATGTATGATCAAATCTTTTTCCCGTTGCAGATATTGTTGGTCAGCTCATCGCGGCATACTGATCAGTGGATCGTTCCTGGTGGTGGCGTCGAGCCTGAAGAGACGCACTCCGTTGCTGCGATGCGCGAAGTGGTGGAGGAGGCTGGCGTCAAAGGTCATATCGATCGATGCCTCGGAGTATTCCAGGCAAGCGCTTACTTTATTCCACAGTCAGTCGTACTATAAATAAGCGATGCAACATGTTAAAAATTGAGCAATTTTATTAAGTGTGCAGCATATGTAACTGATAAAACACTCACGAATGAGACATGAATGAATACTATTCATAACTGTGAGGATTCTTGTGATATTTTACAGAACGAAGAGCGCCGCACGCGAACAGTTGTGTACGTTTTGATGGTCACCGAAGAAATGTCGGAATGGGAAGATTCCAAGAATATTGGTCGTAGACGGAAATGGTTCGGCCTGGAAGAAGCATTTGAACAATTGGCCCAGCACAAACCCATTCAGCTCGATTACCTTCAGCACATGCGTCTGAAACACAAGGTGTAATAATTTGGTAATTTTTGAAAATTACGTGTATTGCTGATTTATACTACTACTTTATTGATATTAATAAACGGTATATTAAGCATTATTACTGATGATTAACGATATAATTTTCCAAAGGACATAGAGACTGGCGCTCAACCTAACACCAAAGCTGAAGCTTAACAAGAAGTAGCATCATGAGCCCCATGGTCCCATCACTGCTTATCGACCAACAACCGAAATAAATAGAATTCCGCAAGATACTTCCTAGTCTCCTCGTCGTACATGCACACCAATAGCACCAACGCCAATTTAAAACGTCGCATCGTTAATACGAAATCGTCAATTTTCGAAATGTTTCGAAACATTAAACATTTTAAGCTTTATACAATAAATAACCTGCATCTCGTTAGACATGTTTGGTGTTTAGACAATTACAACGATTTTCATGAACTATTATAAAAAGGTGTTTTAACATTTATGTAAATAGAGCAAGTAGAGCTTCAGTACGTTACGATTACATAAGTATTTATGCAGTTAGAAAGATGCCAACATACTTATGTATAATATTTGTTATTATTGAATATAATTTCAAAAAGCCAACACCTATACGATTATGATATACTTAATTTTGGACTTTTTTAGACGTGAAACGGTGATTTTATGTTATAAGATCATTACTGGTGATTTCAGAAATTATAATTTCGATTTGAATTATACCAAAATTTGTATGCACAATTCTCACTAAACTATTAAATGCATTAAATAATTGCATCTCAAACATTGTTGTGCAATATTATTTCCCTTCATCACTTAATCAATGAAGCGAAGTTATTGAAGAAGTAATCCATTTGAAACCTTGAATAACCTTTGTATCCTGAATCTGGGGTGCATTATTTTTTGCATTTGCACTGCATAAAGTTCATCTGATTTTTAAGCCGTCGATCAATTCCCTCAGGTCAATTGTACATACATACACACCCCGAATCATAACCTTGAAGAGAGGCTACTCTCTGAGCTGGACTATTGTGATTCGCATTTTTCTCATTTGTTGAAAAAAGTTTGATTGCTTGCAGTGCACCAATGCCTCTGTTGTATATGCACACCTGAAGCGTTCAATTGCATGGCACTGGGATTTGATTGTTGGAGAGAGAAGCGTTGGATGCTTGGGGGGTTTAACGTGCTGAAGTAAGCTTGCTTTGTGTCGAAAGTAAGTCGAAGCAAAAAGTCTATAAATTTAAAGAGCATACATGAATTCAGCTGTATTTTAGCATGACTGGGTATATCTATGTACATAATAAGGCTGAGGAACTAGCTGTGCAGACGCTTCTTCTTGTACTCATTCAGCTCCTTTAAGGTGGATACCTCTTTATATTTGCAAACTCTAAGGCTGCATAGTTAGTTTACATTTGTGCTTTATGTAAGTCGGATGTGTTAAAGTGATTTGCATTTCTAAAAAGGCAAGACTGCAGCTATAATCCACTCAAAAATTTGAAACCGGGTTCGTCAGTTTTGCAGGCAGTGACTTTTTGTTCAACTTTTTTGGCAACATTTTCAAGCGTATTCCATAGTTGGAATTTGTGAAATTGTGCTTACATATTAGACGAGGAGGCGCACAAGAACTCATTAAACCTTTCTAGCCATGGGAATTTTCAGTGGTTTTAATTAAACTTAAAGGAAGTAATGAAACTTTGTTGCTATTTCATAACCCAAAACTGAGTTAGTCTAATTCTTAATTCTTATTGGGTCACCACAATTCACAGCACGCTCAGGTGAAGTGTACACTTAATTTACATCACCCATGACGGAAATTGCGTAAAAGTTAAAATGTTAAACGAAATGACATTAATCTAACCATTATTGTTCTCAAAATAGTTTCGCGATAGAATTAAGTGTTACATAAGTAGTATGAATATCTGCAAGGAATAAATCAAGAAATGGCCAGCGATTACGAGCGAATAAAGTGCATCTGTGTCAAAAGAGGTGATCTGTGGGAGGATCCAGACTTTCCAGCAGTACAAAATTCTGTGTTTTACCATCAAACGCCTCCATTTCAGTTTGTGTGGAAACGACCAAAGGTACATATTCATGCACGATTGCATTCATCACGATTATTTGACTAAGGGCTCTGTAACACTGACTTGTCGCCTCTTTACTTACGTTCTAAAGTTTGCGTGAAAAAAATCTGCCTTTTGACCACTAGAAATCCAAAATAAAAAATAAGGCTAATATTCTAAGCTAATTTTGTCATGATATAATTGAGGCTAAAATTAGGATTAATATGCATAGGAGATGATGTTTTAACAATTGAAAATGAATGTACATATACATGCATATAAATATATGTCTCTGACAATTTTAATTAAAACTCTTCATTAGAGACCCCACGTACTTATGTATGTAAATATATACAACTTTTTTTATACAAGACAACACGTTGTTTAATATTGGACAACATTCGCAGTAGACAACTCAGGTGGTTGATTGAAGAGAGACTGCATGCTTAATATTAACAAAGCCTCTTTAATAATCTATTGAATGATAGTTGTTATCGCAGAAATTAGCACAGACGAAAGTAAAACATGTGGAATAATAATTAATGGTGTTGATAATTTACGGATTCAGGCCGGCTGGGAAGGAAGTGTGCCCAGATACATTTTAATTTGTTAAAGTGTGTGGTTGGTCTGGTTTCATTGGCAGCGAGTAGGAAATTGCAAATGAATGACCAATGACCAATGAAGTGACCACCTTCTTCGCCTAGACAACTTTTACTAAACTATGATTGCGTTGGATGGTATCTTTTATCACATTTGCGTAGTAGACACGTGTTATAGAAATAGTTTCATTTTCACATGCTCAATAATCATTGTAATTTAAAAGCGAATCTGATCCAATTTATTAATTACACATCGTTCATCAGTCACTACAAAAAACGTCGAATGATGAAATGGATTTTTATGCAAAAACTATTAAAATGTTCTTCGCACAGTGTAAACCATTAATAAATGCGCTTTCTTCGTTGAAGATGCCAAAAGTATCCAATAAAATTATCGTATTCTTAATTAGACGTCTCATCTTCTCTCATAAATCTGATGCGTATAAAAAGTGTACGCTATAAATTTTAGCAATAAATAAACCACTTTCAATCACATTAGTAACAGTAAAGACTGACAACCTCACCACGTTATTAGCCAAAGAATGTCTACCTTTCATCTCTGTATATATAGTCGTTACTGTTGTGTCAAACGTCTCATGTACATACATATTTCTGCATTCATGTCACGACTGATTTTTAATGGAACAAAAGTACTCAATAGGCTATTCCCTTTAAATAAGTACACAAGCTATCTCCTCATAAATAATATCCAATCAGGAATTGATTGATAATATCGAAATCCAATCAATTACATTTTTCTTTGTCGTATTCGCGTGGTCAAACAAAGGAAAGTAATGACTTTGTCGAATTCGCTGGCGTTGGTAATCATGCGTGCTAAATTCCAAACATCAATCAGTCATCGATAAGCAATCAATCTCTTGGCACTATTGTCGCTTTGATTCCTTTCTCTTGCAAATGCGCAAATGATAAACACAGGAATGTTGGACGACTCTAGAAGTTCCGATTTACAGTTTTAGTCATATCATGCATGTATTTATTGTCGGTTATACAAAAAATAGTAATCGATGATTTTTATTTCAAGGAATGTTGGGCGTCCAGTGGTTTAGAATTAGCCTGCATGCAAAATAGTTATTTTTCATTTATTTTTTAACATGTGACTTAAAAACAAAATATTAGATAATAATAGGATTACATTATTTGAACCTTGAAAAATATGTCGAACTTAACGTAATTTGTCACGTCATTTTTATCTAGTTGACTGTCACTTGCTGCATTTAATTTAATCTAGGCCTGCATCTGCAACTGTAAATAAATGACTCTTTGCCTCGAAATTTTACCGCACACGAAGCTCCTGCTGCACTACTGCCACAATAACGACTCGAAACTAATTCATGTACAAATTGCAGTCAAATCCATGAGTGCTTTTACCTTGGCTTACATTGGTTAGCCATAACTGAGCAAATTATCATTATTTTTAAACATGAAGCCATATTTAAGCGAATTTCCCGATAATTATTGGTCTTGTCTTTGAAGAAATTTTCGGATTAGGTTTAAAACATCTTTCTTCCGTTTCAACAATGCTTGGCAGATAGCAGTGATTCGATCGTGCATCTACATTGTGCACACATTGCACTAGGTACATATGCAAGCTATACAATGCGGTATGTGCACTTGCTACATGTAAAATACAAAAACGAATAGCACAAATAATTTCAATGCAATAATAGTTTGTTCGTTGGCCCACTGACTCTGATGCTGCCAACAATACACAATCTCTAAAAAAACAAATTGTTCTTTCTTCTTGTCAGAATATAGTTGAGTTCTACACCTTGGCGTCATATTGAAGGGAGTCGACTAACTAATGTCATTACAATGAGACGAGTTTTTCTCAATCCTTCATTTACTTTTCGCATTAACTCAACCTTAATTCGATTCATCTTACTCTTGTTGTTTCCCTTGCATTTTGAGAGATGCAGACCTGCAGAGGACCGACAAAGACTTAAACAAACCACATATGCGAGTCCTACCTAATATCTCTAAGACATCATTAACGGTGGCATGCGACATTCGAATTAAAAACGCAGGAATTTCTTACCATTCCGCGTTTGTCTTTTTACACATTGTTACGGACGGAGCATGGCATTATTAACTCAAACTAATTTTGAAAACCGTGGAATGTGCGGCGACCCAACTACAAACTTTTTCTAGGAGACGTATTTAATTGCACTGCAATTTAGCTTGCTAGATAACGGTCTGTTATACACACAAACATATTGCTATCCTAATCTATACAAATGAGGGACTCTTTCCCTCTTAGAATTAGTATTTTTTGAATAGGTTCTTGTTAATCTTGTCCGGTTCGTTTTTTGCATACTTTCCGTGTTATGTCATTGCTTTTGTCCTGAAATTACAACAAATGCCTCATGCTAGATTATAAATTGAGGTTACTGATCCATTTTTCTAAATTTCAGGAACTTTGTAGCAGCCCCATCTTTATACCAAATTCTAGTCCGAACTACGAAATTATACCGGGAAAATTGGGTAAGTTTTATAGAAGCCTAAAAATCTTCTGCAAATGTTCAAATATTGCATAACCTAATATTTTTTTGTAGGAGATAACTGGTTGGTCTCCTGCCTTGGTGTTTTATGGTTATCGAGAGAACTATTTCACCGCGTTGTTCCCGCGGATCAGACGTTCGCGGATAAAAACATTGTAAAGTGCAGTGACGACTATGGAGGCGTGTTCCGATTTCGTTTGTGGTGGTGCGGCGACTGGAGAGAGGTTTTGGTTGACGATCGACTCCCCACAGTCAATGGACGGCTTGTCTTCCTCCAGTCACAACAAAACGACGTTTTCTGGGCGTCACTCTTGGAGAAAGCATATGCCAAGTAAATATTTGTATTTCTTCACCATTTGTTTGCGATGATAATTGTCTCGATCAGCGATTTATGCATGTCTGTATGTCACTGTGTGTGTCTGAGATGTTTTATTATTATGCAAACATTTCCGCTAATTTGGTCTGTTGTATGCCATGTCGTAAAAAAGAGTAAATAGAGAGTAGAAAATTACAGCTTTATTTGCACTGGAATTCATTCATTTTGTTTTACGCTTGAAGGAGAAATTTTGGCTAGTATGTTCGTGTAGAAGTGAAGTTTATCGAATTTAAAAAACACAAATTTTCAAACTCAATCAACTTCACTTCCGCTGGTTGAAAAAAATTAAAAAGAATGTTAGCAGATTTAGAAAAATTAGCATTTTAAAGTGGGGGGTAAACTAATCCCGATTTCGCACATCGCACAGGGAGGAGTTAGTGTAGGTGAAAACAATGTTATTTTTGTACCGACGGTCAGATACGAGAGTAGGAAAATATACACTCCAACAAAAAATTGTCATCCAAATGTACAATGGCCCCTTAAGCTTCATATGTCGATGTTTAATTGTAAAGTCGTACGGAGTTTCAACAATGAGACTGCAAGTAGTTGAGTTGGATGTTTGGACTACAACGAAACATAACTTTCCACAAAGTAAACTGAAATTATTACGTAATCTTTTTTGATAATTGCATCGCAGTAGTTGAAGTACTGTAATTATGACATATGCATTTATGCCATATTAATATGCGACACACAATTTTATTTATATGTACATACACGACACGACTATAAATGCAAAGGATTAAAGAACCAAACCCGTCTTTGCATATTAACACTCACTTCTCATGTAAACCATAAAACAACGAGTAACGCTATCAATTGCAAGACGTGATCTTTTAGTCATAATTTAGCTTCTGATTTGGGACTTTTGCATGCAATGTCTGAAACTGTTAAAATATGCATGTTAACAAAGTTTTCCATATTTATCAATTTTTAAGTTTGTCGACTTTTATGAGGGCTGAGCATTTTCCAACCTTTTTCCCAGGACAAGGGATTAAAAGGGTCCTTTTGTTTTTATGCCTCATTAGAAGGGACACTTCGTTTGAGCATAACTCTGCGTAGTTTGTATGGTCACTTCTGACCACATATTATTACATATGTATGAATGTCTCCTATGTACTGTCGAAACCTTAAAACCAAGTTGTTTAATAAAAATCACCATCAGTCTAAAAATATCTTCCAGCGAGATCATTTTTACTTTCATGGTAGCAAAGCCGTTAGTTTGTATGATTCATATTGTTGGTCTCAACCTGCCTCATTGAGTGTCTCAAAAGTGCCCCAGTCTCAGAGTCTGTTAAAGTCTCACAACGAGAAGAACTGTTTCCTGTTCAACACTTGATAAACTGAAGTAGATCAGTGTTATTGTTGTGAAGTGAAAAGGTCAATTCATCAGTTAATAATAGCAGTAAGTCTCCACTGCCCAGTGCCAGTCTGGACGGAGTAAGCCTGTAAAAGTGTGCCGTGAATTGGACCATTGTTTGGACAAGAGACATCAACCCTTTGACTCTACCCGAAGCTGAACCTTCCGCCCGAGGACGAGTTTTATTGAGGACGACCACTCTACCCAAATCCTGAGTTCCCGTCTACCAAATCTCGACCTTTTTCGATTCTACTGCTCTTTATTAGGCAAAGAGAAGGTAACAAGTCTATTTCTGTTTTTCGCTTCTGCTTTCCCTACTCCACAACGACAAGATGACATCAACAATCAAAAGAATACATGTTACGCACATTGTCAAGCTAGACGACACCAATTACGCGAGGTGGAGACTTCAGATAACTTTACTTCTCAAGTCACATGACCTGTGGGAAGTGGTCAACGGCACTACCCAACGACCTGCAGATGAAGCACAACAGCCAGCATGGGATAAGAAGGATATACAAGCACAATCCATCATTGTCCCCACTCTCAGTGCCACTCAAACAAATCATATTTATGACTGCGCTACATCAAAAGCAATGTTTGACAAGCTGAAAAGCATCAATTCAGATTCAAGCTCGCTTAACAAGCAACATACCATGGCTAGATTCTTCAATTACAAAATTGGCAAGAGTCAGTCATTGATTGAAGCATTTGCAGAGGTGGAAGAGCTGGGCAGAAGACTAAATGAAATGGGAGTCGTCATGCCTGAAGCATCCATTGTCACAAAGATTGTCTCAAGTCTCCCCGACGAGGAGTATAATGCTTTCAAAAAGGCATGGGACAGCGTTCCGGATAAGGACCAGAGCATGATAATGCTACTTGCCCGTCTGAAGAAGGAGGAGTTGGAGAGGAAGGAATCCAAACCAGCAGCAACCAATCAAGATGCAGCAAAGGCATTCTTGACCCATGACCAGAAGAAAGGCAAGAAGAAACAGAGCATTGAAGAGTTGAAAAAGGCAGCAACCTGCCATGGGTGTGGGAAAAAGGGCCACTGGAAAAGGGAATGCAGGAGTAATCCACAAAATCAGAGCAATAAACCTTCAGATAATCCCGCACAAGCCAATAGAAGCCCTGGGAAAGCGTTCATGCTAAATGCAATACAAACCCCCATGCAAGCACCCGTGACTGAACAAGTGTGGCTAAGCGATTCTGGAGCTAACCAGCATGTCTGTGGAGATAAGGCATGGTTTACAAGATATGAAGAGTTTGACACTCCCAAGTCAGTCTTCCTAACGGACAAAAGGGCTACACAAGCACTAGGAAAAGGGACAGTGACACTTGACGCTTACATCAACGGCATATGGGAGGAATGTACCATAGATAACGTGTTGTACATACAAAGGGCTGTCAACCTTTTTTCTGAGGGATCAATGGCTAAGAAAGGGTACTCCATCGTCCGTGACAAGAATGGAGCAATATTTTATCAGGATGGACGGTTTAAGGGGCCAATTGCCGAGTTCAAGAATGATATGTATGTCATGAAGTTTCGTCCCACTTCACAAATTATTGCTGCATACATGCATCCCGTGACTAATGCTAAACTATGGCATCAACGCTTGACACACATTAATATGAACTATGTGGTGGACTCCATCAAGAAAGGCGCAGTTCGTGGAATTGACCTGGAGGCCGTGTCACATAAAATTATGTGTGAAGACTGTGAGATTGGGAAGCAATCTCGAAAGCCATTTCCAGCCGCAACAAGAAATGCAACGATAAAACCAGGGTCCATATGGACTTAGCCGGAAAAATGCCTGTTGCATCCCTGGGAGGAGCTCAATATTTCTTACTCTTGAAAGACGATGCTACTGGCTTCCGCACTGTATATTTTCTCAAGAGCAAAGACGAAGCCAAGGATCGTATCAAATGCTACATTGAATTTATGGAAAATCAAACAGGAAGAAAGGTCAAGATATGCCGTTCAGACAATGGTGGAGAATTCTGTAATTCTACTTTGGCATCATACTTCAGAGACCGGGGAATAATTCATGAAACAACCGTCAGCTACAATCCAGAAATGAATGGGAGGTCCGAACGTGAAATAAGAACTTTAAAAGACTGTGCTCGAACTATTCTGCTGGCAGCTAAATTACCCGAATCTTTATGGGCTGAAGCCGTTGCCACCACCGTCTACGTCCACAACCGAATACTGGACAAGCAAAGTCCAAATATAACCGCATTTGAAGCAATATTTGGCAAGAAACCTTCACTCCGTCATTTGAGTCTTTGGTAGCGTAGCATTTGCACATATACCAGCCCAGAAAAGGACGGTCTGGGGAGCAAAGGGAGAGCGACTTATCCTGTGTGGGTACGCATCAGAGAGCAAGAAATATCGTCTTTACGACCCTGAGTCCGGACAAGTGGTTGAGGCAAGAAATGTATCTTTCCACGAAGAAGCTTTTGAACCGACAGTAATGATACATGGCGAAGAAGAAAGAGATGAACCTGATGAATCCAAATCTGAAAAAGATGATGCAAAAGATGATGCACAAGATGATGCACAAGATGATGCAGAATGGACGGACGAGGAGAAATACGATCCCGAGGACCCACAGCCTGATCAAGTTGACCCACAGCCAGTACAACCTGACAACGAGAAAATGGGTGATGAATTAGAAGTCCAAGTTAAAACTGAAAAAGGAGACTACACGGCTCGCATTCCATCGCAAGGGACGACACGTGTTGTCTTGCCTGAAACAAGTAAAAAATCAGGAACCACTCGCAATTTAAGAGACAGAGCTAAAATTAAGAAACCAGATAGATATCAAGCTCATGCCATTTATGCAGACAAAGAACCTTCAACTTATAAAGAAGCCGTTGAGTCTAAAGAGAAGGAAGAATGGATAAAGGCAATGCAAGATGAGATTGAAAGTCATAAGAAAAATGGGACTTGGAAATACGTGAAGAGGCCAGCCAATGCAAGATTGCTTGACAGTAAATGGGTATACAAGCTTAAACGTAAAATGGATGGAACAATTGATCGATTTAAAGCCCGGCTTGTCATACGAGGGCATAGACAGAAAGAAGGCGTCGACTATTTTGAGACATTCTCCGCCGTATCTCGGTACGAGTCCATAAGACTTCTACTAAGTATAGCTGCAGCAAAGAAAATGCATATCGCACAGCTGGATGTCCAGACAGCCTATCTCTACGGGATTCTAAAGGAGACCATATACATGTCACAACCTGAGGGTTTCCACAATGGAGATGACTCCATCGTGTGCCTCCTGATCAAGGCTTTATATGGATTGAAACAGGCTGGAAGAACCTGGAATGAAACATTCACCGAATTTCTCGAGAAATTCGACTTGCACCCATGTTACTGCGATCCCTGTATATTTGTTGATGCAATAATCACTTATCTCAGCTTATGGGTGGATGATTCACTGGTCATTGGAAAAGATAAAAATGCCGTGCAGAAGATCATCAATGCAATCAAATCCTACTTTGAAATAACGATAATGGAGCCCACAGCCTATGTTGGGATGCAAATAATCAGAGATGGAAATGATGGTTTACTTTTGTCACAACCTTTTTACATCCGTAACCTGCTTGAAAAGTACAATATGCTGGAGTGCAACCCGACGAATGTGCCGATGCAACCTCATGCAGGAGAACTCGTCCCAGCCGCAACAATAAACGAGACCCTTCCGTATCGACAGCTCGTTGGATCATTAATTTACCTAGCCAAGTGCACACGCCCTGACATCTCATATGCAGTGTCCCGCCTGTCTCAGTTTATGCACGCATACGACGAAACTCACTGGAAAGCTGCAAAGCAAGTCCTCCGCTATTTAAAAGGCACCGAGGAACTCGGAATCAAATACAAACCGTGTGAGGATATGATTCTCAGGGGATATACAGATGCAGATTATGCTTCCGACAAGATGGATAGAAAATCTACAACAGGTTTTGTCTTCATACTAAATGACAGCGTTATTTCATGGTCAAGCCAAAAGCAACCCATTGTCTCAATGTCATCAATGGAAAGTGAATATATATATCTCGCTTCTGGAGCGCGTGAAGCCGTTTGGTTACGACGATTTCTAGAAGAATTAGGATTCCCACAAGAGTCCCCAACAATAATTCATGTTGACAACCAGAGTGCAATAAAATTGGTCAAAAATCCAGAGATGCACTCAAGATCCAAGCACATCGATGTCCGGTACCACTACACAAGAGAGCTAGTTAGTACAGGACAGTTGGCAATTGAATATGTACATACCAGTGAACAAATTGCAGATGGATTAACTAAGCCACTACTGAAGACCCAGCATTTCAAGATGAGACACGATCTCAGTATGGAAAGAAATGAGACAAAGGAGAGCAAGGACAACCCAACTAAAGTAAAGAGAGGTCCCCTCCAAGCCAACTTCTCACTGATAAGCCTTCTCACCATCCTTCTTATGTTTATTACACAAGCTTGTGGGGTGACACATCAGAATGCGATCCCTTTACTATGGAAAAAGAGTCCAATCCCAGTTACAACGGGATATAACCAAGTCCACTTGCTCGTCAAATTCATGAACCCGTGCGAAATTTTAACACAGGATCTACTCCATAAGGATTTAAGTGCCTATGCAACCGAGAAATGTAACAAAATATACGACGAAATGTTCCTGGATGAGCTAGAAAAAATGTGCCCTAAAAGAAAATTCTCCGATCATATTAATTCGCGACATACCAGAGAGATTGGACGAAGAGTGAAGAGAGTCCTCCCATTACTTGCAGTTGGAATAATAATTGGTGTGACTGTCCTTGTAGCCGGCTTATCAGTTGGTGGAGCAATCAATTCGTTTGTTCAAACTGGAAGAATCTCTGCTTTGCAAGGAACAGTAGCGGAACAAAGAGAGATGCTGGATGAATTGGAACGTCGCGTGGAAATATCGGAAAGAGAGATTGAGAAGCTTAAGGTTAGCCTAAATGCTACACTAGAACAGCTTCAGCTACATCAGCTTGATCACGACGAACTCAAGGGAAAATCCATTGACACCAATTTCGCAATTGCCTACCTTACCAGTCGCCTCATGATAGGTAGAGAAATAATTAGAGAAGCAACAAGACAGTGGCGGCGAGGAAAAGTTTACGCACCACTAATGGATTTCTTTAATTTCACGTTACCCTGTGGTGATGCTTGCCCAGTCAGCTTCGCACAATCTCAAAAGTGCGAAATATCAGATGACAGAACCAAGCTGTATGTGGACTTCACAGCAACTGAAATTAACAAAGATTTGCAACTCATCGAGGCAGACTCCTTCGATCTCAAAGTTGAAAGGAAGAATGAAACCTGCGTTCTAAAGTACAAGGGACCCCATAATGCCATCCTTTCTACGAAAGATGACTGCGTATACTCCATCAATGTTAAGGAGCCTACAACCCCCGACCTAATTGTTTCGCCCACTCGAGGATGCACGCCAACATCGAAAACAAAGAACTCCAATCACTTTGACATAGACCACTGTTATGACAAGAACCTTGCTGAACCATGGGATTTTGTACAAATCAAACTACACCATGGACAATATCATATCTACTGCCCTGGGTCCAATATTACCATTGAGAGGAAGCTGCAACAATGCCCTGCTAGCGTGTTCATCCTTCCAATGAATGCTAATTTTAAAATAAATGATATTGAATTTTCAGGAACTGAATCCAGCCTTGTTCACCAAGAGGTAGTCGACCCACTATTCACGATGAAAGCCAACTGGCACTTGCAGCCTAGTTTCAACTGGACCAGTCTGATGATCAATGGTTCCACTGACGAAGGAGGGTCAATCCACTACCACACAAGCAATGAACCAGCCTGGTCAACAATGGAATGGATCTTAACCCTTTGCATACTAATAATAGTTGCTCAAGCCACTCTTTGTGTTTTCCTTTTTCTGAAAAGCCGGCCAAATGTAATTTCGGTTAGGGCAAATCCAGTGGAAACTGCCGATATTGAACTTTAAAAATTGAGGGAGGATGTTAAAATATGCATGTTAACAAAGTTTTCCATATTTATCAATTTTTAAGTTTGTCGACTTTTATGAGGGCTGAGCATTTTCCAACCTTTTTCCCAGGACAAGGGATTAAAAGGGTCCTTTTGTTTTTATGCCTCATTAGAAGGGACACTTCGTTTGAGCATAACTCTGCGTAGTTTGTATGGTCACTTCTGACCACATATTATTACATATGTATGAATGTCTCCTATGTACTGTCGAAACCTTAAAACCAAGTTGTTTAATAAAAATCACCATCAGTCTAAAAATATCTTCCAGCGAGATCATTTTTACTTTCAGAAACATCCCTATAATTTACTTGGATTGAGCTTCTGATACCCAAAACAACTACTACAACTCAAAATAAGATTTATAGCCTCTAAAAACCCGAGATTAATGCTTGAAAAAATCATCACGTCGTCGGGAACACATATTCAGCCTCAATCACTTGAGCAAATTTCAATTGCAATTTCATGGTCATTTTCCTTGCCATTTCACAACATACTTTCAAGGATTTTATCAAATCATTCATTCATAGAATTTGCTGGAAGGGTTTAATCAAGACGAATGCAAAAGGCGAACGTGCGTGATCCGCTGCTGGTTTGTGACAGACCTGTTTTGAAGACAAGAACAGCACCAAATGCAAAACCTAAGGCAATAAATATACGAAGGAATGTTATTGTATCTGGCTATTTGTCAATGTCACTTTGAGGTGACAAAAATCACGATCGCCACAAGTAAGAAATCTCCACTTTAACAACGGGACAAAGGTACAGCTAAAAAATGAAAGTTTGTGCGTGCTCTCGTGAAAACCCCAATTTATCGCAATAGGTCGTGTTCTCTAATGGAATTGCTTAGGAATTTGAACTGATTTTGATGTTTTAAATTATCCTCCTATTATTTTAGATAATCATAAATATATAAGGAGAATTGGACAGAAAATCTTTTTTGTCTAGATTTTGGTAATGTTTATTTAAGGTTACATAGGTTTGACAAGTAATGTGCAGAGTTAACTTTCATTTCATGTTTATTTTATCTTCATTCATTCTACGTGAGGGATCATTTGTTTAAGTTTTCTGGTTTTCGTATCTTAGAAAAATGTTTTTGTGTCCAAATATTAAGTGGCTCATTGAAATGAAAATCAAGTCAAGAATGTCAGTTGAATAAAATGATATAAAAATCCTTCAGTGAATGAAACTTGAGATGGGATGGGGACGAGAATGAGAAAGTCCACGAAGCAAGCCAGCCACATATAGCTCTGATCTCCTTGGGGGGATTATTTTACTGCCATGACCACTTTTGATTTCAAATGTGATTGCTTCCGAGACGTACGAATGTACATGTGTCCAAGCAGTGCGAAATCTGATGAGACATGATGACTTTGTCGAATTAAAGATCAGTTACACTTACATACAAGGGCTACTTGCACTACTTTCAATTAGCAGAGTTTAACTCAACACGTAAAGGAAATTGGGTTGGCTGTGAAATACATATTTTTATATCTTAAATGATCCCTATAAGATCTCATCACATTGTTCGCATCATCATTGCAATGCAATAAAAATAAAAATCTAATAAGTCTACAAATGAATGTACGTACATCTCAACACCTTACATTTCACTTGGGCTAATGAAATGTACCTAAATTGATTCTGAAATGAGATGAGACGATGAATATTCAATTGTTGGTGCTGACTTGAATGGAAATGTGAAGTCATCCTTGCAAATTTAAAATGAATTTTCACAATTATTCAACATTACTAAACAAGTGAATATTTTCTATAACTTTATCATCTAGATTACACGGATCGTACGAGGCCTTAAAATATGGGACTTCGTTGGACGGATTTTCCGACCTGACTGGTGGCATCACGGAGTCAATCCCCCTGCGACAAGACCCCACTTCGTGCAGCAGACTTTTGAACAAGTTGTTGCAGATGACGTCCATCATCACTGTTTCCGTTCGTCAGTCGTCGCATCAGGTAAAATTGTAGCTAAATCGATGGAAAATGGTACAACTTTCTTAGAAATGTCAAATGTCACGAGTTTAACAACATGTGTGGCATTAGGTTAGTGGGTAGAGCAGAAATAATGAAAGAATGCAAATTTATGACACGACATTTCTACAAAGTATCAAAAACGCGATGAAGCAGTATTAACAAAACAGCCTCAGGCTTACATATGAATAATACTTGAAGAGAGTTAATTTCCTTGAATTTTGAGAGCACTACACTGATGATGATGCCCTCTCACATCCACTGCTTAATATTGTGTTTGCGTGACATTAACCTGAATACTTTTACCATACCTCAAAAATGTGAAATTAAACCATTTTCTGAAACAATAAGTATAGAACCTTAGTTATTGGTAGAGCAGACCATTAGTTTCCCACTATGGTCTGCAAGTACACGAGAGCTAGATTTGTCAGAGTCAAATCTCGAAAGAAAAGCTTATTTAAGCCCGTTGCCTTCTATAATCCAATTAAATGTGTCCTTTGATTTGACTTTTGAGTAGGAAGTTATTAAACTGTGATTCTTATCATCCTCAATATGTAATCATTGATAGATGACAAGTTGAAGGTCTCTCGAAATGCAAATCCTTGCTCCTCTTTTCAATCGTGGGTGAATCTGATTAATGCGTGTTTACTATTGACATTAGATTTAAAACTTTGGCTTGTCCTCTCGAAACCTACGTGTAGTTTTTATCATGACAGCGACTTCCTTGTTGAACAAACTACAAACATGATCCATTATGTGATGTGATCTCCTTATAATCTTATCCTTATCATCCTGCATTATTATGTGTCGTAAGGAGGATGCGATTTAGCTGCCCATCAGCTCCGCTTATGCGTTCCCGTGTAGAAAATGTGCACAAATCTCAGTCGCCCATTTTTCCATTTTGAGATTATTAACTGACTTTTTGGTCCATACAATGATTGAATCTGACAGTTCTCAATAGAATTACACACCTTGTTAATCCACGTGTGGGTTGGACATGTGTCTTATGTTTGCGCACAACATCGAAAGGGAATGCAACTTGAACTGTTTATTAAAAACGTATGTACATGTTTAACTACATGTATGCATAAAACATGAACCGTTCGTGTGTACCAGGTACTCCAAGTAAAGTTTACAGTCTGACAAATTTTAATCCAAGGTAGTTGTGCCTGGCATGACACAGGTCTTACGTATTAGATTGTAGTATCATCCCACAATCCCGTATAAGTTAGCAGTTTAAGGGTGTACTGCGTATTAGAACTTGCCCACAGTAAAACTAAAAAATGAAATTTCTCCAACATAAAGTCAAACAAAAGTTTTTTCTTGAATAAAATGATGAGAAAAGTCAAACAAGACACATAAGCACACAAATAAATCATAAATATCTTACTTTATTACTTCAATAATCTACAACATGTTGAAACAAGAGTTGAAGCCGTAAAAGTGTGAAATGGTTGGGGTTGAAGATTGCAATTGAACCTGCAATTGACTTGGCGTGTGCTGGTTGCCATTTCTCATTAGCATATGTACACATACAACATAGTGGACATAAACTCGTTCAATTCTTCTCGTGTTACACGAAAGAAAATTGCAGTGAATAACTAAGTACGCTTTAAGATTAGACTAGGGTCGTGATAACTTTAGATGATTGCACTGCATATTAATCGCAGCCTTGTTGTCTTATTTTCTAATACTCGCAGTCGTTTATATTTTTTAATTCGTCAAATTTTTCTAACGACATATGTAATTACATGTCTTTATTATTTACAGAATGGAGGTGCAGAAAAGTTGGCAAACGGAATTCAGTTTGGAGTTAACTATCGTCTTTATGAGGTTCAAAAGGTACTCACATTTAAATACCTTGAATGTTTTTAAACAACGTTGATAAATGGTAATGACCAAAAAATGAAAATAATTTGCATTCTCTTGCAGTGTTGATAATATTCAAATTAATTTTGTATTTAACTTTCTTCTACTTCTATAATTTAATCCCACACAAGTCCTTAACGCTTTGATACCTTTTCACAACTCTGGGCAGTAATTGCTGAATAAACGCATGCCCTGTTTTGTCTTGCTCAGTTTCCTTTCCGGCACAATCTTCTGCCCAGTTGCACTTCCTGTAGTGATGGACGTACGCCACAGTTTCTGGAACTAATAGTTCGATACCGTTTTTTGGAAGGGCATGAACCATGCTGTGAATTCCGGGCTCAGTGACAAAGTCTGGCATCGTGATGAATTTTGCACTGTCATATAATTTGTTTTGAATTAGCTCATCCAATGTCCACGACTACGCATGCCATATTTTTTCATAAGGTGATTTCGAATTGTAGACTTACCGGTAATTGAACGGTTCGATGTGCTTTAATCTTGTGACGTGCTTTAAAAGATAAAGTTTATTTGTAATTTTATCTTCAACTTTTGTAGCTTTTTTAGCATTTTGATACGCCGGCCATCCAAGACCAAACAGTCCACTTCTAAATTGGAATTGAACCGGAATATGTCCCTTATATTCTAAATTCGCTAGAGAAAATTGCACAAGTTGATTGTAGTTGTTGATTTGTTGTGATAAATTTTGTCTTGGTATGATGTACTCGTCATAGTCTAAGATGACCACAAATTTCGCTTTATTCTTGAACCGCGCAGCACAGTCGGTAGCTTGAACGACTTGACCATTATTATGGAGCTCTGGAATTTGTCGAATATTTTGCCACGGAAGAACTTTTATGATTGGTCCTGTTTGTGCGTTCATGTTGTAGTTTTTTATCAGACACGAAGTTTGAGGCCCAATCGAGATGTTATAAAATGTAAAATGTTCCACTCCCATAATCATTTGGAACTCGATCCACTGGAGAAATTGCCAGACATCGTCATATTCATAGGTTGGCTGGACACAAGCAGCAAATCCAATCGTCTTTGACAAAATGTTCTTATCACCCCTTTCAAGGTCATTGGGTTTATTATAAATCACTGGGATAAGTTTGATCCTCGATCTGCTCAGTGCTCGATCAGGGGATAAGGAAACGAAAGAAGGCAAGTACTTTAGTCCTGCGAGCTTGCAGAAAATTGTGACTGGACTGCAAGATATTAAAATATTTTAACAAGTAGATTTTACAAAGAGCGTCGTTGATAATTATATAAATAGTCTTGTATAGTTTGTTTCTCAACCTTATCTGCAGCTCTCTGCTAGCATGTCTGGTAATTTGAAGGGTTGATGTAACCGTTTCATAGTGTTCCCTTGCGTTGTCAAATAAATGACAGTAAAACTTTGTTTGAATCTTCGGGGTGGTTGCTCCCAAAACTTTAACTATTGCGTCTCCTCTATTTAAAATATCGTGAGCACTTAAAATGGACAATTGATGCAATGATCAAAGCGAAATTTAGTCAATTTACCCCAAATAATCATAAAAGGCCGAGTAGACAAAAAACTTTTCATGGACCTGTGTCTCAAATATTTGTTCCCAATCTTGAACTATTGGCCAATGTTTCTGTCCATTGTTTGTACTGCTTGAAAAACTGGATACAGATAAGTAACATTTTCCAATATAAATGGCTAACACGGCCACCAAAACGAAACATATCACATCAAGACGTAGAAAGTGATGCGTATATTTCGAGAACATGCATTTTTTCCACTCTAATATTTTAGGCCTCGGTTTATTTTTTATGCTCATTATTGTTAATTAAAAAGATACTTTACACTAATTACAAAAAAAAATCCAACTTTCTGAACATATGAAGCACAACTTATAACTTCCTATAAGACTTGGTTCAGGTTGGCAGATGTAAATACATATCAGCGTCAGAACTTAAATATTTGTACAAGTGGCGTTGGCGAGATTGCTAAAAAATTCGTATAATGACCGTATTTCAATGTACTTTAGTACTTGGTGAATTTCATATGTACAATGTATTTGAGGCAAAATTATCCATTATGAAAATAGCATCCTATTTATTACTACTATAAATACAACATTAATAAACCTATGAAAACGCTATGCAAATGAAAAGTGAGACCGTTCTTCCTTCCTTCTCGTTATTTCAAACACCACACACTTTTACGCAGATTCTTTAATAATAAGCAATTATGAACCTAATTACGACGATGAGAAACTTTGTTAGATTTTACCCATTGATATCCTAATCAAATCAATGCAATTGTATAGGAACATGTGTTATGCAAGCTTAATGATACAACATGTGCTCATTTTATCAAAAGCAAGGAACCAAACAATTATTATAATTTGATGATTTAGTCATTCATAATTTCAATCTTTTACTTGGTTTTATAATGCATGTATAGAATTTGAGTCGTTATTATGAGGAAAATTACGCAGCCCAGTGAAACTGAATTTTATTTTTGCAGATTGAAACTCTGAGTGGAGAAGGGGTTCAATTAATTCGCCTTCGAGGGTCCGGATTGGTCAGTGAATTTATCGGCAGTTGGTCGAAAACGTCCACAGAATGGGCGCAAGTGTCTGCTATCGATCAACAGATCTTACAAATCAAGTCGCTAGCCCAAGGAGAGTTTTGGTGAGATAATTTAAATAATAGTTTTTCCAAGAGCTAGACTACGCCGAAGTGAAAACAACAAATTTTGACGTTTTTGAAAAGTTCCCGTGAGAATTTCGCTCTGTGGTTTACCGACCAACTAAAATGAGCTAACCACTGATAATAACTGTCGGTTTTAAGCAACTTATCGCTCCTTGTTGTAGCACAATAGGATATTTTTTGTTTGTGGTACTGAGATTACTACGGCGCCGCCAATACCACTCTTGAGGTTACCAACTCAGACAGTTTCTATTCTCTCGACCTCTGCATTCTAAGCAATTTTATAAAAAATGAATGGCTCCTTCCACAAGTCAAACATGTTCAGCAATAACTCAAGCCAAACCAAAAATAATCGTAGACGCTTTCATTTTCTTTTCAAATTTTCCAATGAATGATACCAATTTTGATTTGGAATAGGATGCCTTATGGAGATTTTTTGAAAACGTTCACTCACATGGAAGTAGTTCACTTGGACCACGAAACAAGCAAGGACGAGGTTTCTCTAAATAACAAAACGCCGTGGCATGTAAAGCAGTTTCAGGGGGCTTGGATGCGTGGCGTAACGGCTGGAGGATGTAGAAACAACACTGGTAATTAAAAACACGCTAACGTTAACGCTAATCCTAAGTTGGCAATCCTTGCTAAAAAAGCCTAATTATCATTATTACTCGATTGTCATTAAATAATTAATTACAGACACTTTTCACATCAACCCTCAACTGCACCTGCTGGTCACAGAAATGGAAGAGGTGGTTCTTTCTCTCAATCAACATGCCATAATGGACCCCAAGGTAATGAATAATTTGAATAGGAACTATAATTAAAATAATTGTAAAGAAATTATCAGTGTGCTTAGGGTTATGCTTTAATATTTATTGTGAAATCATATTTAGTCCACCACACACATTCGTAAATTACTTTTATTTGCATCTCAAATTCAATATTCGACCCATGCGTTACCATTTTGTAGCCGATATCTATCCAAAGATATTTAGATAAAGATATTTAGTAATCATGTGTGGAACTCTGTGGATAGAGAATAAATCGCCACATAATTAAATTAGTGTGAGTTGACTAGCTGAATATACGTCAAAGGATCCGTTGATTTCTTCTTAACATAATCCCGTTACATGGCGTAGCTCTATCGTATTAGGCCACCTGCATGAATGCGTCTAAAATTTATTTTTGCAGTTAGCTGACTGCTGACACATTTTGGTAACTGTGACGTGGTGGCATCATCATCTCATGCTACTTACAGCATTATAATACAAACAGTCAGGTGGATTTACTAAGATACACATATCTTTGTCGTGAATATTGTTGAGCGAAATTGTTGGTTTGGTTTACCATGAGCAGCAAAAGATTATTTGTGTGACTGGCTGAACGCCTGAATGACTTTCACAGAGATTACCGAGATTAAATAAAAATTGCCAGGAACAGTTTCATCTTAATATTTTTTGTCGCATAATGCACAGATTGTGTTAAATGATCTTGTCCACTAGATACAATCACATGGATGCAATAATGATAAAATGGTACAACTGGGTATTTGTAATTCACAGGTTATTGGATTCACGGTCTATCCACTACCCAAATTAAATTCGGATTCAATTGGGAAAAGTTTTTTCAAAAAGAATAAAAGCTTGACAAATTCACAGTACACCAACAGTCGACAAGTACTTGATACTTTTATCAGTAAATAAATTGACGTTGGTTGCATACATGTAATATTTCTAAAATAGGTCAGTCAAAGATGTCAACTTGGAGAAGGAGGTGGTTATTATCTCGTGATTCCAACAACTTTTGAGCCGGCTCAAGAAACATCCTTCACTTTCCGGGTTTATTCTGCAAATACCATTAAACTCAGGTTTGAATTTTGCATAATTATTTCGTCTTCATTAGTACCTAAAACTTCAAATGACTTTATTCCATAGATTGATCGATACAACACCTTGCGTCAAAAAATCGGCGATTCTTAAGGTAATTTTTGGGCTTAAATTGCATAGTTGATAGTGAAAACGTGCATTGATGCAAGATGGATAATTAATTTAATCATATTCTAGTCTGCTACGTCATGCCAGGAAACAAAGAATTTTCAACAGTATGAAGCAGTTTTTCAACAGTTGAGTGATGAGCACAGGACAATCAGCTCTTTCGATTTGCAAGAATTGCTTGAAGCTGTACTACCGAACGGTGAATAACAAAATGCGAATTTTAAAGTATAAACTCAATTAGCGACTTGTTTTATAATTTATCTCGACAGACTACATCAAAAGCTGTGCGACCTTGGAAGTATGCAGACAAGTTGTACTTGCCATGGATGTAATTATCAATTTATGATATGCTAACGGTAGATTAGGTTTAGTGTAAAGTACAATATAAAAATAAAATTTTGTTTCAGAAAACTGGACTAGGACGCTTAAAGTTTCAGCAATTTAAAGAACTCATGTTTAGTTTAAAGTCTTGGCAGAACGCTTTTAAAAATCATACGAAAGAAAAGCACGGAGTACTCAAAGGAGAAAGACTTAGAGACGCTTTGACCGATGTTGGTATGTACGCACAGTTTAATTAATAAATGGACACTATTAACATGTACAAATATTCATATCAGTCCAATGAATGTCTCAATTCTAAATTTTTCAAGGGTTTCAACTAAACAACGACATATTGTCCGTACTTGTTCTTCGATTCATGAGGAAAGATGGAACTATGCGCTTTGGAGACTTTGTGGGATCAATCCTACATTTAACGGTGGCATTTGGTAACAACAATTTTTCCGTTTTCGTGCAATGATAGTATGTATGAGATAAGAAGTTATCGGTATATTAAATATTTAATCGTTATAGCAAACTACGATAAAAAAGACCCATTGCTCAATGGCCACATCAAACTGACATTGTCCGAGGTAATTGCATTAATTGCAATCATCATTTCTATATGATTTTGACACATGCTACAGAAATCTATTACTTACGTATTTATGTTTCTACTTAATAGTGGCTTAAGCTGTCTCTGATGTGCTGATAAACCAACGTACAACAATTGATTTTTAACCCATATGAAGTCGTCTTACCCTGTTTCTCTTTAACTTCTTATGATTAGCTTGTGAAACAACGTACAATAAAACAAATCATTAAACAAATTATTAGCACTAGCATGATTTATTATTTAATCGCTACGTCCATGTCACACCCTACTGCAAGTTAAAGTGATCGTCATCAGGGAATTTTTGTGGTAGGATCAATGGTCCTATTTTCGGCATTCAGTTCATTCGCAACATGTAGAACACGACTCTCATTTACAACAGGCAAACCAGTATGGTCAACCTTTTTCGGCTGCGAAGTTCTTAGGAAATGTGTAATGTTAAAGAATTGTGCGCTTATTAAATGAAGAAATTTAGTTTTTTTCTTGTTATCAAAATAGCAGCAGAGAAGCCTTTTGCTGACATAGTCCCCCACAACTGATAACGTTCCTACCATCTTACTTGGTGACTGATCTGTTTTGTTCATGACAAATGCAAGTTTCTTCTTTTCATACATCTTGAGACGGGATGCTGGAACAATTTGAGTCTGGAATGGGAAGCCGACTTGTGTGGAATAGAATGATTCCATAAGACTTTGAAGTTTTTTGAACTCTTGTTCCATCTCTTCTTCATTTTGACAGGCAACGAAAGCTTGAACATTATGACTTTGATAGCTTCCTGGTCCTAAAACATGTACACACTATCAAAAAAATACCTACATATTTACATGGCAAAATATCTGCTAGAAAATGAATGTTACCACATACGGTCTTTGTGAGTGTTGTATGATCGTCCAATAACAAAATATCTCAAAGGGAGGCATCGTGGACTATCAATAATTGACTGCGAGAATAATGCCAGGAACGAAGGGAAGGACGCTCCACCTGCTAAATACGTGGCGTGCTCCCATCCTTTTTTCACATTCGGCTGGAAATACAAAAAACAGGTGATTCTTAAATGTTTTCAACATACATGTCTAAATTTCAACCATCAAATATAATTAGTAAAATTGACAATTCACTTTACCTCACGAATTCGCAAAAACTGACTCGGGTCAATTCCAGCCCCTTGCAAAATTATTCGCTTAACATACTCTGCATTTCCAGTTTCTACGAATCCACCTTTTAATAAGTGTGTTTGAGCTTTTTCCCTCAAATGAACGTCCAACCAGGCACTTTGCCCTATCGGAAATTCTGCCAGAAGTCCGGGTCCCACTGGTGACTCGATGGCAGTGTATTCAGGAAACTCCCATTTTTTGACTCCTTCAGGAACCGTCGTCTGACTCAAAAGAGTGGCTTCAGCTTCTGGAGTTTCTGGGTCCAACAAGTTGGGCAGAGATAACACATAGTCTACTAATTCGTCATTGAATTGGTTAAACTTCGCGTCAGACTCTCTAAGTTGTTCTCTTAATTTTCGTCCATTTTCTTTTAAAGTCTTCATTTCTTCCGCTTTAATTTCCTTGTCCTTCTCGGAACGAACAAGTTCTTGTACTCTGTTTGTGGTATCGTCCCGCTGAAGCTGAATTTGGTCTCTGACTTGCTTCGCTTCGAGAGCTTTGGAATAAAGTTCTTTGACTATTGACACTCTTTTTCGATTAAGTTTACGCTTAGAGACCGAATTTTGAAATAAGATTTCATTACGGAAGATGTTTTCAATGTCAAGAACCGGCTGAAGCAGTCCGGAATTTGTTTCATTAAGACGAAAGAGAGATTCGGTGCTGTACGATCGACGTGGTTGTGATTGATTCAGAATGAATGATGATATTTGAAGAAGTGGAAATTGAGAAAGCCTTTTGATTGACGGTGGAATAGTGTACAAAGGATACACGCAATTTTTATGGTCGACATATTTTAAAGAAAAATTGCCAACAACTGAGGAAGCAGTCTCAAATTTAGGATTTTGCTTGTTGTTGGGAATGTATGAATAGGATTCGGATTTGACAAAGGTAGCAGCAGGCGAGCCAGGGGAAGGGATTCGAAGTAGCGACTTCAGCATTGCAGCAATTTATTTAAAGATAGGCTTATTTATTTCTATAACTGTGAATATCTGCAACACATAAGTAATATATAAGACATGAGCTTACGCATACAAAATACCTTGATTCTTTTATAAGGAAATAACTTGCCAAATATTGAAATGATATAATTACGGTAAATTTTGTGATTAGAAATTAGTCGTCTGCGATCTTGATGTCGTCCTCAATCAATGTTGGGTTCGGTTTGGACCTCTTTGCAGGCGGTGGGAGGTATGAGCCCAGTCCCCCGGCTCGTTCGGACTCCTCCACTGAATAGGGCACCTCCTCCGTCTCCTTCACCCTCTTCTTGTGCACCTTCCCTCGCCGGTGTTCCTCGAGGGCGTGTTGGCTGATGTAGTGCTTCCTGTCAAGATCAAACAAAAATATAGATAAACCAAATACAAAAAAAAGTCAAAGCCGGAAACACTTCATGGTCAAAAGCCCTCATGTTAATAAGTTGGTGGTTAAGGTTACAATGTACAACATTTTAATAAGAATGTGAAGTTGGACTAATTACGCGCAATGAAGACAGTAGAATTGACCTCCTCCGGGTAGATCAAAGTCGATGGGTTTCTTTTCAAACTTTTCTGGATGATCCAAATCCTCACAAATAAGATCAATGTCCCTGGTCCTCCGCTTGGTTCTGTATTTCTTCTTTTCAGTCGTGATCCCTATTTGTTAATTAAAAGATAATTAAATAAACTAAATGCTCAATGGTAGTCAATGCTGTATGCTGTGCTGTGGGTGAAAAAGTATCAAAATGATCACTTCACCTTGGTGGTACTTTCGTCTTTTAGTAGGCCCTGGCATATTTCAAGAAAACTAATAAGTCTAAACTACAATAGAGGCTAAACCTTGAGTAATCCAGGGTTTTGGATAATTTGTCACCTGGTGGTTATCACAATAATGAATTAATAGGATATCCAAAACCGAAAATTATGAGCCAAGGTTTATTAATTTCACCACGTGCAGAATTAACAGCAATATTTATGGTTTCCTTCTTTATTTGCTCTATGACTGCTGCTAATCCCAAGCAGAAGCGAAGTCGCACTTTATTGATAATTGATATGATTGAAAAGCTTGCTTATGTGTTTTGTGATTTGCCTCATAGATTAATTACAACTTGTAAATTACAAGTTTGTTTGACTTTTACTAAAAATTTATCAATTGGCACAAAATGAAATAAAATTATTTTATATTTAATTTCTCATAAAGCTAATGAAAATAATGAGGTCAAGATCTGCAATTTAATTTTCATGGTTAATGAATCGCATAAAGTCTCGTTTTCACAATCTCATCCTCATTCGGTATTAGTATTAGTATTATTTTTTTTAATAATCAATTTGATTAAATCAAGTCTCATGGATTATCGATACCTACTTGACTGCACGTTCAAGCAAGAAGGTCTAAAAATTGAGAAATTATTAACATTTAAAAATCAAATGAATCTTCCCTTTTCGCTGACAATTAAACTCGTTCATTGAATTTTCAAGTATATTCATAAAGTGCAAAATTTCATGTCTATATAGGTTTTTCATAAACGCAAGTCCAGATTTATTAGTCAAAAAATTCGAGGTTGAAAATCTTTCACTACTAATCCTATTTTATAATTTAATATGCATGGAACAACACGAATAAGCCAAATGAAGTGTAAAACAAAAGTTATATTAAACTATTTATATATATTACAGTAATGCGTTAGGGTTCGGTACTTATGCCTCCAACTATAAACAAAAATAATTACGAAATCCGAAACCTCCTCTACATTGTAAACATAACATTTATTTATCTATTCGGCTCTGTGGTATCGCAATCTATAATCAGAACCCTATCTCAGATAAGTTAATGCCTATGCATGGTAGAGCTGATTCATTCTCAATTGTAATATTTTCATGAACTTCTCGTCTTTCTGTATTTGCTCAGTGCATCAAGCCAAGCAAGCCTACCACCAGCAACTAGCTGCTAAATAGCAGCAGCAACACATTCCAGCAAACGTTCATGAACATAAACGAAACCCCACGTCTTGCAGCCAGTGCATAGGAAGAAAATTCAAGACAAGATTAGGACTGTTCGTGTCCACCCATCATTCACTTCTTATTGCAACTCATTGACAACTCAGCCAACTTTTACCATTTGACTTTCGTAATTCGTGTGTCGTATTTCGTGTGTTGGGAATTTAAAAAAGTCTTTTGAGAAATATTCAAGCATGAACGTGGCGCAGGCCAACGACCTGTACCGGGAGGGTGTGGCTGGGAAGCAAGGAATGAGCCGCTCCATGCAGCGCTCATATCTCGAACGGGCTGCTGAAATATACAGCTCAGAAATCCGGAAGCAGGATCCGAATACAAACACCAACACTACCGTGATTCTGAACAAGAATCTGGGCATGGCGAATTTCCGTTTGGCGGAAATTCAGAGGCCGCAAGACCTGACTCGGATTATTTACCTTGTCGAAGAAGCCCTACGTGGACTTACGAATGCCTGGCGCTGGCAGCAACCTGTGACCCGTGAAGGCGACTGGGGAGTTCGGCTACAAGGCCACATTTCTTCATTGTTCATAATGGCGTTTAAATCAAGTAAGTGAAATTAAATTAATACCAAAATATTGACACGAATTTTTGATTGGGGAGTAGAGGAAAACTCCATAATAGTATGAGCTGGTTGGTAGTATACAATAGTTAATTTTTATTAAAGACTAGTTATTTTATGTCGGGCACAGGATGTACAAATATAATGTTCATTCATACATCACATCATGTGATTCATATGAAAAATTAAGAATTATAGGAATTTACCTTTGTCTTGCAACTTTTGTGCATATTAACAAAATATGAGCTGATTTGATTTACTATATCTATATTTAATTTTGACACAGTGGAGGTGACGGCAACCACCGATAAGCTCCCAAAGTATCAAATGCTTGACCGAGGCGTCATCAAGATTTTTGAGGCGAAAGAGCTTCACATCTTTCAAGTGCAGTATCGTTTGGCGAAGGGAAATTACTTTTACCAGATGGGAGTAAAGGCAATGGAAGGGTAATATACATAAATATGTGTACAATTTGTTTCCTGTATTTTTTTCAACTAAGTTATTTTGCTATATTTACATATTTACTCAGAGCCGACTTCAAAAGGACGCAGCAGCTGCTGGAATATGCTCGAGACGAACTTCACGCTTTCATGATGTTTTGTTCTGAAAATGCTTTCACCAACGGCAGAGATGCGGTGTTGGCCGAATATCTGCAACACCTTGAGCAAGTTAAAAGCCTGGAGGACGACATTGCTTTTCTTTCAGTGTCCTGTGAAGCAGTTCGATATCGAAAACAGGTTAAGACTTTATTATTACTTTATACTAATGTTAATTAGTTATACGAGCACATGACCATAATAAATAACCGACTTTATATGCATTTAAATATTATTTATTTGCATTAGGCTGATGCACTCTTTGACCAATGTGTCAACGAGACTGAAGAACTGGACTTGGAGGTCATTTGGGACGCACTGGATACTTACAAAGCCTCAGGATTAAGCTGTCATGAGGTCGACATCGAAAATGAAGCCATTGCTTTGTCCCGTCAAGGAAGGGTTTTTGACAAAATATTCAAGATTCGAGCAAAAGCGCATGAATACTATCGAACGGCATTTGACATGGCACAATGCTTGTTTCCTCGCGACATGACAAAGAAGGACTGGTACAAGGAATGTAAGGAGGCGTTGGAGCGATTTTAGAAGGACATTGTACGCGAGGAGGAAGAACTCCGGGAGAAAGAAAAGGCACCCTATTTGGCCAAAATGACTAATGTTCTTACTGAGCTCAAGGCTGTTCATAAACTGTAAGTTTTCTTGGACGTTTATTTATATATTTTATTCGTTTCATTTCATGATTTCATGTAACTTGTCTTTTCTGAAATCTAGGGAGGATGCGTACAAATTGATGAAATACGTTTACACGAAACATCCTCCGAAGTGTAAATTCACCTACGATGAAAAGTTAGTTACAACCTCGACGGCCAAGAAGCACCTCATGACGGCCATCACTCATTACCATCCTGACAAGCAGGTTTGACTTACTTAATTTCCTATAAAAAAGTCTATTTGTCGTCTATAATCAATAGTAATTGGTCAAATATAAATGTACACAGGTCGAATACGATATGGAGTGGCGTATTTTGTGCGAGGAGATTACAAAGTGTCTCACAGTTAGGTATGAGGCATTTAAGTGAAATGATAATTTTTCTTCCGGCATTTTCATTTTCAATTTGCAAGAAATTTTTCCAAGCGTTTGTAATTTTAATCAAGCTTTCCATGAGTATTAAGTTGTTCTATAATTAATCCAGCCAGTGAGGTTTTTTAGTATTGATGGACAATACTGAACAGATATTGTAATGGGGAATGATAATTTAACTAGTGTACATTCACTGCACTCGTATAATAATTTTGAATTTATGAACTAATTATTTCAGAATAATTTTGTCAAACATGATTTTTTCACATGCACTGAGAACTTTGAATAAAATTAAAACAACATGATATTCCCGATTTTCATGCACTTTACGCACGCAAAATCAACGTGATATACTTGATATGAACCCAAAATCAATTCACATGCTCTACTCTACTTCAGTTGCAGTTTAAATTTAATTGACCATAATCATCAGTCTCTACATACTTATATATGATTCACCAGTTTTGCTACCTATAGTTCATGCAATTTATAACTATTTCGCACCCCCACATTCATCCACACATACGTACAATTATGTACATAGGAGCACATCGTCCAGTTGAATTTAATAATAAATATTAGGGTCTCCCAAGTTTGTAAAAAAGATCTAAAAAAGCGAAAAGCCAAAAAATCTGAAATCCGCTTTTTTCGCTCAATACTTGACTGTCCCGATTTTTTATCGCTTGAATACGCAGGAGCAGAGAATGGGTGGTCAGGAAACTTTGGAGTTTCTTTTAAAATTTAAATTTGCTTCATGTTGGATATGATAAAACAACTATCTAAGTAAATCCACAAATTACCAAAATGGGATGAAAATAGGATTTTTGGCAAAGGTTTGAATGCGGTAGTTTTAGTGGTTGCAATGATTTTCAGGGGGTGTGGCGGGCGCAGGTGGGGCCATGGAGTAAAATCCTCCTTCACTTTCCGTACACTCACCTTTTATTGCAATATATTCCATAGGGCATCAAAATCGGGTGATGTCCCCTTAAACATGTCTCTGAGAGACTGATTTTTCACTCAAAGTAGTAAAAAGAGCGAAAAAATCATCTTAAAGTAGATTTTATTTTTGAGCAGAAAAAGCGGAAAAAAGATCGGAATCGCATGCGCAGTGCGGTTTACAAAAAGAGCGAAAAAATCGTGAGCGGAAAAAGCGATTTTTTTTATAAACTTGGGACACCCTATTATCCCAGTAAGTGTATGTACATATGTCCCACATAGCATTGCATTTATGATGATGATGATTTTTTTGCCATGATGAATGCTTGTAAAAGTAATGTCCATGCATCTTTAGTACAACTTTTGATTTCTACACTGACCAGTACAACACGCCACTCTGCAGTGTGGTTCAGAAGATTTGAAGCTTTTCATTGTTCGTGTACAGTCTATTGTTTGGATTTACATACAACTTCAAGCTAGACTCAAGTTTAGGAACGTTTGACCGACTCTGTCAAGTGTTTAGTAACCAACAATCGATTTGTGTACTGGAAAGCGACAAGTAGACAACGATTTGGAAATTCTCGAAAATTTTATACTCCTGTTGTTAATACGAATTCAGAAATTTGTGATTATACTCTGTGAATATTTCTGAGTTACTACTAATCCTAAATTCAGTTAAAATATAAATTGTACAATACTCTCACTATAAATACATATCCACTGTTTGTCATGAGTATTTCGCGATTCGGCAAATATCTTGAGACTTTATTGGTGATACTCCTGTTATTCGCTGCAATCTTAGTCAATTCATCTGCAGTGACACCACAAGGACAAGGGTAAGAACCACGTCAATTTACAGATAAGTCGGCATGATTGAAGCATATATACATCATACATTTTTAATTTCCAGAGATGCCACCGATTTGTTGCAAACTTCACTAATTCGTCCCAATAGTTCGGATGGTAATTTTTAAGCACTCGTATAGATTTCTCAGAGACTGCAAGAATTGTTGATTGCCATTAGAATGAAGTTGGTAATTGAGTCTTGTCAAATACGCAATACATGATTATCACCATCAAATATCTACATACATAATGCTGAATTATTCAAGAAATACATGCAAACAAATCGTGTATGATGTCTACTGGTACGGAGAGCACAATGAGTCATTAATCATTCCAGTTAAAATATTTTTTGCGACTGCAGCAAGTCATAATTGGCGTAATATTAAATTAAATGACCAAATATTTTTTTCATGATGCTGCAACTTTTTAAGTTTTCCTAGAAAAATGCAAGAAATTTAAATAACATATACAAAATTACATGTGTGCCAGACGTATCTGTATATCATGCGGTGTGAACTAATATTGATATTTCAGGGTGCATAACTTGAGTATTGTTTGGAATTTATAGACGCTCCTTTGGAAGTAAGGGTGCACTTTGTACTTCATCATGTCGCTATTAACGTGGATGACTTTGTAATTATTATTTATATACATGTACTCGAGCTCTAATTTATGAATATCCTTAAACTTGAACTCGATTTTCAGGACATGACCTTGACGATGGATGTGTTTGAGGAGTGGACGCACTCGAATTCAGTTTCTGTCTCACCGGAAGTCCGTATAAATAGGAATGACGATGTAACGAGCCATGGAGCCATGCAACTTTTACAATCAATTAACTCGTAGACCTGTGTCCAAATCTGATCTATCATTGCAGGCACAAATCACAAACGAGACCCACGACAAAAGAACGGACTATGACGTAGCGGTGGTTAATGCACGAGAATCTACAATTCTGAAAACACTGATGAGATCCGACGGAAATGGGTCGACAACAAAATTGACCAAGTAAATATATTAATTAGAACCTACATATGACATACATAAGCAGTGTTCGTTTAAGTGTGTAAGCCTTTATAAAGCTTAATATTTTTATGCATGATGTTCGCAAATTATTCATTGCAGGCTAGAAATTACGACCTCTTGTTCTATGAATTTCTTCTACTTTCCATTTGACAAACAGACATGTGCGATAAAAATCATACCGGGTAAGACCAACTAACAAAACAGGATGAAATATTGTCGTTGAATTTGCATTTGGACATAACTCCAATGCTAAAGTGATGCAGCCAAATGCATATTCAAATGCATATGGCGATGGGATCAATTTGTAACTAGATTCACTTAAAAATACATTCAGGTGAATCCTCTAGCAAGAAAATTGCATATGCAATTGATTCAACAAATCATCCATTGACCAAAATTACGGAATTAGACAACCTTCGACTATATTCCTTAACGAAATACAAAATCAGCCAAGGTGTACTTCTAGATGAATTTGGTAAATCGTAGATACAAATTCTGCATGCGTGGAATAAATTGCACTCAAGCACACTATGTATTACGTATTATGAACTTCCAGGTGTGTATAATCAGTCCAGCATAGAGATCCAGTTGATGTTTTACCGTCAATTTGAGAGGAGTCTTTCCTTTCTCTACTTTCCCGTCGTGGCTTTGATGACAATTTCCTGCATGGCTCTCTTCGTCAAGCCCAATTTACACTCTGTCTACATTACGTTAGCATCCGTGAGATATTGTTATAAATCGGAAACAATATGTGCCAAAATATGCTAAATGCCGATACCTTGTTTATGTTTATAGTTTATGACAATGGTGGTGTGGATCATTTCATGCGATATGACTCATGCCGGGTTTACGACAATGCTGGATCATTATCACTTTCTCTGCTTGAATCTTTCGTTAAACGCTGTATCAGGTGAAAGTGCAATTTAACCGTATTCATTTTAATCATTTTTAATTTGACAAATCAGAAACTAAAAATGAAATTTAATTGTAATTAGTGGCCCTCATGATTCATCTTTTCATGCAAAGTGGTACTTCGACACAAAAGAGTAGTGGAGCTGTTTTGGAAAAGTCAGAATCTGATCAATCTGACAACTTTACAGATGTGAAAGTAATTGCAAAACAATGAAGTAGTTATTGTAACTATATTACGTAGATGGAACAAGAATGAAATACAAATTACATAAAATTACAGTTGGAACTCAATTCAATTACAACTTCAAATACTACAAATGGTTACATACAGAAAACTAACAAGGACGATGAAGAAATAAAGTCTGAAAATGATCCTGAAGCGCATATCCGTGCAATGGGGAAATTCAAACAATTCATATACTTGTGAGTTACCTACTCAGTAATTAAGCATTACATAACATATTAAGCCATTATGAAATGTTATAATTTTAACCGGTTTCAGTAAATCTGCGAAACCAGCCAAATATCAGCTACCGATTATATTTACTCTGATAAATGTGATATACGCGGTGTGGATTATTATTGCACGGGTACATACGCCTTCTGGATTTGAAAGTTTTTAATACGTTAGTAACGAACAGTTAGTTAAACCTACTGTCCACGTATTTCTCTTTACATGCGTTACCAATAAATGAAATAAATGCAAAAGATGTTATTCACAATTATTGTAGTTCATTAGAACTTGATCAATTTGGGTGATGCAAATCGTGATGATGTGTGTACTCAAATAAAATGCTTCAATAGTGCATGAATTATCGTGAGTTGCGCTGATCCCATAAATTCAAACATAAACTCTTAAAGAAAATCTAAGAGGAACGATACATTTTATACCGTAACTTAAACTTTATTCTGGACTGAGGGTACAAACAAAGAAAATTAAGGTATAAAATATTTAACGCTTTCCTCCTACTCTTGGGGCGGCCTTTTGTTGAGGCTTGTTGCTGATCTTCTGCTGCTTCTTTTCGACCTTTGCAGGTGCCTTCGTAGGTGCGTTCGCCTTCTTCACAGCCTTGGTAGCCTTCTTTGCCTCCTTGGCGGCACGAATTGCCTGGTCTCTTTGGGCCTTTCGAACCTGCAAAGAAAAACAAAACAAAACCTTATAACGTGTGACCTATTTGTTTCAAGTAGTGCATCTTTTAAAATCACTGTCCTTCTGATCCAACGGATTGCATGTTTCCAATGTTGTCATACTTCCTATAAAATGTAATAAATTGATAATATTACCTCTGGTTTCATATTGCGTTTGGCTTGAATTTCAGAGAGGGAAGCGCCTACGATGGCCCTTTGAAACTTGTGGGTTCTACGGGTTCTTCGTTTCTGCTGCTCTTCCTCTTGTCCCTTCTTATGTTTGCGCCTATAAATTACACATTTTCATGAAATTAAACCAACAAATACTAACGGTACGAATTTATATGCCTTGACACGCCACGTACCTGTAGTACACGGTCCATGTGACCTTCCTGGGATTCCGCTTCATCAAGTGGGATCTCTCGCATTTCCCATTAAGAAACGTGAAAACCTGTTAAAAATACCACCACACCACCATTTAGAATAGTCCAAAAACAATGCTAACAAAATCTGTACATTTCACCAAATTCACCGGTCACATGTTATTTAATATCGTTTACCTTGCCATCGATCTTGACCAGGGTTTTCCCATGACCAGGATAGATCTTGAAGGCGCTGTAAGCACACAAACCGACCCTAGACACAAAAATATCAAATACATTTATTAATCAATCCCGTACTTAGCAAAATTAAGCTCAGAAAAAAACATCACATTAAGATCTTAACTCAACTTTAAATCAACGTAAATGAAAATCAATAATATCTTTATATGAGAGTAGTACAAGCAAATAGGTTAATAGTGAAAAAGGTAACTTACTTCATTTTGATATAAAAATTAAAATGTTTTCTGCACTGAAATTAGAAAACCTTCCGGATTTTATCTCGAGCTGCTCCAACAAGGAGAATGGTAAATCGACGACGTGCTTTCGCAGTTTGTGTCTCGTGCGCCCGCGGGGCAGTGTGAGACGATTGTGAAGGAACAGGTTTTAGCTGCTCTGCAAATTTTAACGAGATTCTCTTTGTTTCATGCAAAATCAGAACAGTTTTCGCAAAAAATGTTGCAAAAAGGTGTATGTACTGGGGTGGTCTGACTACTCATTAATAGCAGACCAGCGACATTTAAGGCTAATTTCCGATAGTGCATTCCGTTTAAAATATGTTTAAATCATTGAATTACTAAAATGTTTTTTTGTACGTTTTTTTCTTATTATTATTGTTATCTAGTTTGTTTGTTAGTCCTTTATCCGTTAATAATATTAACATGGTCTCTATATTATTATCAAGTATGTGTTACAATAAATATATAAAATAATTAGGCATTGCAAACGTGACAAGTAGACGTCTTGCCAGAGTATACACTCTACTCTTATCTTTATGTGAGGAGTTTAGCAGTAATGATGATTTTGCAAAATTACACCCGGATTTCCATGCTTCATGGAGTAGGATACACGTTGGTAACGATGCAAAATAGCAACAATATTGCTACACATTGTTGTCCTTGATTCCTGTCGAAATGATGCTAAAAAGGTCGTTGTCTGGAAGGGAAATATGTCGAGTGATGATGACTGAGAAATAAGAACAATTATTCAATACCAAAAAGTATTTTGATGCAAAATATACACATTTATACATACTTACCTCTTTTAGGTACATATGTATAGCTTCTTATGCAAAGTCAGCCAATCATTCGTGGTTAAAATAAAAACTGTACAAAGACCCCTTCCGTGCGTTAAGAGTCAGGTCCAACCCCGGTATTAGTTCTCGAAGTTTTCGTATCCAAATAATTTCGTCCATATTCGGCTCCTTTTCCACTATGCTAGCCTTGCACCGGAACCGGGTGGAAATGTCCGGACCGGAGCACAAGCCTGATTCCACCCGACAAAGTCATGTGCCTTTTTCTCATCCTTTTTCTCTCTCTCTCTCGCTCCCTCCCTCCCTGCTGATTATCCTTCCCAAGGAAAAAGGCTGGCATGCTTTCTCTCAAGTTCAGATGGATGCAGGATCCACGAAGTTGGTCATTTCTCCCTTCCTTCCAATTTTTGCAACAAAGTATTTCCCCTTTGACATCGGGCTTCGGTCCCCCTTTTGCCTTTTGCAAATTACACCCTTTCATCCGAGTTGTCAAGTGCTCTCTCGATCATAACCTTCGACTAGCTTTCCAACCCAGTAAAACATGGGCATTTTATGCAAGTTGTTAGAAAAGAGTTCCGCATGAGCCATGATTTACCCGTGAGGAAGTGAAGGTGGAGAAGAACTGCAGTATACAAAAATAAAGGGTTTAGGATTTGGATGCACAACGGGCTGCTGCTGCATAGCCCATGGTCGTAGGTTGGCAGAACTGCAGAATACATCGTGTGAGAACTTTTGCCAGCAGCCGTTGTCTCTTCTTCTCAGTCCAACTCGAGCAGCGATCAACGCCACATCAAACCACCACCACCCACTCCGGTTAGTTGTCATCACCTCCTCAGTGTCCTCGTCTGCATTTGCCGACCAACCCCCCTCCCACTTCCTCCTCTCCCAAACACCCACCCACCACCCCTCTCGAATCCTGAATTGCTCATAAAGCGAAATTGCATGCTAAATCGGGATCATATTGCTTTGTACAGAGTTATTCTGCAGTAACGTGGCATAAATAAAACGGTATCGATTATTTGTGCCTATTTGGGCGGCGGACCTAATTAATAGATGTGACCGGTTTCAAAACTGTTGTCTTTGTCACATTTTCTTGATTAGAAATTGAAATTTGTAGATTCATTTGAAACTACATGTAGTTTGCAATGCCACAGAAATTACAGCATGCATAACTCTCTCGTGATGATATGATCCAGATTTAGCAATTAGACTAATTATTTTTATGGGTCAAATTCCACCCAGTCAGCCACCCACACCATCAGGAATCAGCAAACCACGATTTAAATTTAACCTAGCTAAATAGTGCACTTGAAAAGTAACTCGTTAAGTATCACCATTTTGTCTTGTTCTCATCCCTGTGCTCCACATTCATCGTACCTTCTTACCAGAGTCAATCCGAGTATAGTGGTCCACATTGAGGACTCTGTAAAATCAAGTTAATGCTAATTACCCCTCCTCTCCTTAATTATTTTACACATTAAGTCCAAGAATAATTAAGGTTCTCTGTCACCATTAAAAACCCGTAATATGAGGTTCATCTACATGTAAATTACATACATTACGTTTGAGCTTCTGCTGCAGTTCATCAAAGTTTCTCCCAACTCATCTCTCGCTTTGTACATGCAAATGTACGTGTAAGCATTACACCTGCGTATGAATGAATTACAAGTGTGCTTTAAGTAAAATATATAAAAAATAAAGTCCAAAAATATTGAGTCTAACCAGCATATTCAAATTATCCATGACTTTCTGTGAACTTTTGAGAGAAAAGTAAACCATTTGAGAGAGAAAGTTTGTGCATCCTGTAGAGTGAGACATTGAGACATTGTTGTCGAGGGAGGTCCGCGTACTCCGTGTGTGATGGATCCCGGTGGAGACTTGGTCGTGGGGGAGGAGGGGCCAGCCCTCAGTTCAGTCCCTACGACTGACACTTCTGCCGCCGCCTCCGAGACGCTCCTCACGCCCGGACAGGAGAGTGTCGACACATTGGACAAAGGCGCCTTATCCCCTCTGACCGGCTCCTACCTTCTCATCGTGCTGGCCGAACCTCATTCCGAAGAGGATCGCGAGATCATTATCAAGAGACTGATTAAAGGTTCGCACATTTTTATAAAATCCAATAAGTAAAATTTATTACAGCCACAATTAATGCAGAATGCATAAACCTTTGAAAATTTTGAGTCGCTTTGGGTTATTATGATTACGAAGTGGCGAATGAATTTTCTGTGTACGAAATATATGCACCTGGTCATATTTGTGAATACATGCATATCGACTGTTTCTATTGTACATATGCACATGCCGAATTACATAAAAAATTGAGATGGATGCATCTTGCGTATCATGCAACTGCCATGTTTAGCATAAACTTTTGGACTTTGCCGTAGCACTGCTGCGTGGTCCTGGTGGTCAATAATAATTACGACAAGGACACTTTGGTGGTGTGGTTAGTGTAGGGTTGCCGCTGTGAAAGCAGGTATGACATGAACGAACAACATGTTTCCTTCCACATCAGCAGGAGAAGAAAGCGTTTGTTCTTTCCTTCTTTCTCGTGCTGCTGGCTGGCTGGAGAAAGACATCAGCAGCTCAGACCGTGGATGGTGCTGCGCAATGATGACCTCTCCGCTACCTACCTTTCTCTCTTGCCCAAAAATGACAATATGAGCCAGACAACGTGCTGTCTGGTTTCGTGCTTGTGGGGAAACTGGTGGAGTCTCGACACATAGTGTTATTGCTTAATTCTATAATAAGTAACCCTCTTGACCTTTGTAACAATACCTTTTTTAACCAAAACCATGCTGTAATACTTCTACATTTTTAGGCTTTACTTTCTTTTCCAGAAATATAAAAATTTTCATCTTTGCTCAATAACTTTTCACATTTTCTGTAAACGACTTTGGTGGCCGACTTTTTCGGTTACTTTTTATCCTTGCATTTGTTGGCTGAATCCCGCACTGAAACTGAACTATTACCGGACAGGAAAGAATTTCCTTTTCATGCTGGCTAAACTCAACTGTCCTCTCGGCTATCCTTGTCATTCAATTTATTTCATTCCATGCGTGTGTGTCGTTTGTCGCTCTCATTCCGTCGAGAAAGAGGACGATGATGATGACCATGTCCAGAAAGGATGAATGATGACTGAGCGATCATTCTCCCCATTGCACTCTGCTCAAAGCAAATTGACAATTTCACCAAGATGACTGAAAGTCACAGAGTGAAAGAATTGCCCGTTTCATCTCAGCCTGTACGTTGTGAAATGCGGCTCGGACTTTGGTATCTCTCTCTCTCTTTCTATTTATTGAATAAAGCGACAAAGTTGTCTTTACATCAAAGGATGAGAAATCCCAAGAAAATTAGGGAAAAGATTGACAAATTGCTTGATTGTTGTAGTTTGTTATTTCTGGGAAAATTAGAATAGGTACGGATGGCCGTTATATATGCTTTGTTTTACACATATATAAGCTCCACGGGTGAAATAATAGAGAAAGAATAACGACAAGATAGGCGTTTCCCATAAAATGAGTGATGATACAAATTGCTGGAAAAGGACAGTAATTGAGCAACGATGATATATTGTATTGATTTATATTTTAAGTACTACTAATAACATTTATCATTCACCAACTGCTCATAACATACATTGACCTGAATTTCATCTCGCCAAAAATTGTCAAAAACATTGACTCATTTCTCCTCTTACATAGTCGTATTCGTAGAATTTCTAATTGCCCTTTATTATCAACTGTAATAAACATAATCTCGTCCCATCTCACCGCACATCTAAGTACTTAATTACGAATTTAAGTGTTTTGGAAACTTTCCCACTTCTCGAAACTGAAACTGAAAGCATTCAAACTGGTCAATAATTAAGGGGAAAGTTCATCCTGAGCAAAGTATTATCTGTTTCTGGACAATGTAACCTCTTCTCTGCTAGTTTTGTAGAAGAATAGAGAAGCCACATAGTTTCTACTTACGTGTGTGCTATAATATAATACAATGTACACAAGTGGACGCTATGCAGTGTGGCTTCTCTTTTTCTGCAAATTCCTCTCTGTAAAGGCTGCTTGATAGCAGAGAGAGACCGTGTTATGCTCTTGCACATACATACGCTCGAGTGAAATGTCAAGAGTCGGAAGAGTCTCGTGGAACCAGAACACATTACCATCACCAGAGATAGGATTTGGGTCAAAATGTCAAGAAGCCCATGCACCAAACAACAACCATTCTTCACTTTCACTCGCTTTCTTTTCCTCCAGTTTTATTTGGTTTTTCTGGTCGAGAAATTCTCTCCTTCATTAAATTGTCAGCCAAACGAATTCTTATTATATTTAGACTCATAACTTAATCTGTGCAGTATACCTTTAGAAAAAAAGTCAATGCAGGTGTGTAGCTGAAATGCTCCACCTTTAACTGTATTAATGGGTTGACATACACATACATACACGAGTACAAAATGCATATATCGTAAAGCCTGCCAAGAGTAGATTAGCAATAAATATGTATTTCATAAAAGCATATTCGTTTTGACGTCAGTGTTTACTTGAGGTGACCAAACCACCACGTTTTCCTCCTAATCAATAACTGATTGTATTCGCTGCAACTAGGCACATCTACTTTGTAAGTGCACTGTTTGACATTTTTTGAAAGAAATGCATCAGGCCTAATCCAAGACAAAAGCTTCCGGTTTATTGTGACTTTGCTTTCACCTTTTTCCTTGGCTTACTCCTGAACCTTTCTTTCGTAAAATCCATAGATTCAGTTCTCCAGCGAGCGAGTTACCTCATCCACTTTCATCGGTACCTGTGTGCGACTATAGATAGCTTTTTTGTGCATATGTCGTAGCAGGGTGCAGGCAGGGACACTGTAATATTGTAGTTCTCGCCGTTGCACACAGTATCATCGTGGGAGGAAAAAGGATGTCAACTAATCCGACCGGTGGTGGTCTCATGTAATATCCGAACCAGGCAATTCCTGGCACGATGTGGTCCTGTTATCCAACTAACTGTGCCCTGCTCACATTCACGACCACGTAGCCTGGCTGGACTGCAACGGATACAAAATCATGCATATTAGAAATAAATGCCTTTCTCAACTGCAGGTCTACATATACACACCGTCTATTTTTGGTCGAAGTAAACATGCATGAATAGGTCTGCAATTCTATTAATCTTATTATGATGATTAACCTTATTGATTTTGTGGACATTATTTTCTTAACACACAAACATGATAAATGATTCAATTTAGAGTTAAAATTCTATTCGCAATTTGAGATATATTTAAGTATCCAGAGCAGATAGATATGCGTATTTCGCATAATTGACAAATCCACACGTTATTTAGGCTATACTGCGGGACACGGGTGAATGGGTTTTATGAGTAGTAGTAGGTTGATCCTAATCAATTTTGGTGGCCAATGTCTGGCTCCCCTTGTCTTATCCATGCCACCATTGTACTTCTCTATGTAAATATGTCTGAGGGCTTTGGGTGGGCAATAGTGTGAAGAAAATCGAATCGGAGAATGGGTTATCGATCTACCAACCAACCCACGAGGTTGCAATCCAACTTTATAAATTACCAACTTTTTAATAATAACTTTATGCTCTCATATTTTACGTAGCATTACAGTGAAAGCAATATGGTAGCGAATGAGGTCGTGCGAAGGAGGGTTAAATGACTGGGAGTATGTACATCATTAATACCGAATAAGACTAATGCAAAAACCAGTGACGTAAATATCACTCGAACTAAATTGTTTGTCTTTCGTGCTGGTGTATCCTGTCTGACTGTTGTACCCTGAGCATGAGCAGGGTGAACATGCACATGTACATATATATTGGCGTTGGCGATTTTACACCTTCTTTTGTCCATGACAATTGCATACGCTGCATATGAGTTGCACTCACTGGACACGTTAGCTGATTTTTTTTGCAAAATGTCATTACAATATCCCCAATTGTGTCCATGCTCATTGTCAGACAACTCATTTACAAATCTGACTCGTGAAGAACTGCTACTGCATTGACTGACTGCGCCACTGTGTTTTACTGACTCACCAACTTTTACTACCTCGCTACTTCACTTCACTAGACTTTCCCCCCTCGACGCCAGCTTGCAGCAAAAAAATTGCAAATGTGTTGAGTCATGAGCAAGCGGAGGGGTAGCAACATCATTGCAACTTGGTACATAAGGAAGTAATAATATTCAAAACGCTTCTCTATAGTTTTACTCTATTTCGCATAACGCATTCAAAGTTAGCTGTGTACACTTCTTGTGTCTGCACTGTAATGGTGGACATTTTAGAAACATAAATTCATACATACAGTTTACATTTCCCGTTTTGGGACATTTTACGAGGAGAATTGAGGAGGTCTGTCGTGCACATGGGCATACATTTTAGGAAGGAGCTCTTGATACGATGCTCGAATTATTTCTATAACCGAAAAATTCCACTAAGGAGGGGAGCTTGCGAGGTTGATAATAACAGATATTGGTGCCCTTTGGATATGTGGTAGGGACCCATGAGTGTACTAAAACCCTGAAGTAGTTTGACTCCATGGCCACATTTGCGCCCGCCACACCCACTCAAAAATGTCCAAAAAACGCTTTCACCCCAGTTTTCACTCACTCAAATCCACGCCAAAAATCCAATTTTACTCGGATTTTGAAATTTCTTTCACCATTATACTCCCAGATAGTTGCTTTCTTCAATCCAATATCAAACTCAATTTTTTCGAAATTTTTAGTATTTTTAAAATTTAAAATTCTGAATGAGCATTGTTGTAGTCATCAACAAAACAAATTATGTTTGCGAAATAATCATCAATAAAATTGAGTTTGATATTGGATTGAAGAAAGCAACTATCTGGGAGTATAATGGTGAAAGAAATTTCAAAATCCGAGTAAAATTGGATTTTTGGCGTGGATTTGAGTGAGTGAAAACTGGGGTGAAAGCGTTTTTTGGACATTTTTGAGTGGGTGTGGCGGGCGCAAATGTGGCCATGGAGTCAAACTACTTCAGGGTTTTAGTACACTCATGGGTCCCTACCACATATCCAAAGGGCACCAATATCTGTTATTATCAACCTCGCAAGC